TTGAATTCCTAGTACCCACATGGCAGCTCATAACCAGTTACAACCATCTGTAACTCCAGAGGATCTGATGCCTTCTTCTGACCTCCAAGGTCACTGCATGCATATGATGCACAGACATACATATATGCAAGCAAAATACCCATACACATCAAATAAGAATAAATAACAGTCTTTAAAAAAACTTAAAAGAGTATAATTTCAACATGTAATCAAGAACTGTAGAGGTGGCTCAGAGTTAAGGGTGCATACTGCTCTTGCAGAAAACCCTGTAACTTAAACATGTAACCAATATACAATCACGGTACTGTGTACTTTTTTTGAATTATATATTGAGTAACAATGCATTTGATTCAGATTAGCCCGTTGCAAAGCCAGGTGTGTTAGCTACACCCGTGATCCCAGAACTCAGGAAGCTTAGGCAAAGGGCTTGGAAATTTGAAGCCAGCCTGTGCTACACAATGAGACACTTTCTTTTTTTTTTAAGATTTATTTATTTATTACATATACAGTGTTCTGCCTACATGCCAGAAGAGGACACCAGATTGAATTGTAGATGGTTGTGAGCCACCATGTGGTTGCTGGGAATTGAACTCAGGACCCCTGGAAGAGCAGTCAGTGCTCCTAACCTCTGAGCCACCTCTCCAGCCCCGAGACACTTTCTTTAAAAAAAAAAAAAAAAGTAGAAATTAGGTCGCATTGCAAGTGCTCAGCAATCATGTACTGTTGTATAGCACAGATCAGATCAAAAGGATCTTGGTCTTTGGATGGGGTGCAAATTAGCTTATACTAAGCAAATAAATTGCCCTCCTAAGCCAGCATGACTCAAACTCTTCAGACCCTGTTTTGAACAATATTGGTTCTCTGCTGTCTAGGAGGCATTTATATTTGTACATTTATTGAAAATAATTATCCTACAGTCAGATTGTTTCCTGAGTGGCTATTTACTGAAACCTTAATCAAAAGAACAAAGGAAGACTACTAAGAGTATTAACAATAGGAATAGGGAGGAGATGTTTAAATAATTTTAAAAGAAAATCTTTTAGGCCCTCATTTTAAATTCAGTAGAATAATCAACATTTTTATTAATCACAGATTTTTTATCACTCAATAATTTTTACTATTCTATTTGAGAAATTGCTTTCAGAAAGATTATTCCCAAAGCATGAAGTTTAGAATTGAATCCCTGGGAAAGGGGTAGGCTTTGGTTGACAGACTGATCTAAAAAAAATTTTTCCCAGTAGTGGAAACTCATGCATGCTAGACAGTTGCTCTACCACAAAGCTATATCCTCTAGCCTGTGGCCTAAGGAATTACTAAAGTATTAACTTATAATATATGAAAGGAAATAGAGCTGGAGAAAAGTTAAGAACACTGGCTGCTCTTGCAGAGGATTTCCATTCCCAACACTCACATGCAGTTCACGGCCATCTATAACTCCAGTTCCAGGGTATCCAAAGCCCTCTTCTGGCCTCCAGGAACACCAAAGACACATGTGATAAACACACATACTTGCAGCCAAACACTCATCCACAAAAAATAAAATAAAAAATAAATAAACTTTCTGGAAAAGTAAAAAGTCCTGGAGAGATGGCTCATTGGTTAAGAGCACTGGTTGCTCTTGCAGAGGACTCAGGTTCAGTTTCCAGAACTCATATGGCAGTTTACAATCATCTGTAATTTCAGTCCCAGGGTGTATAATGCCATTTTCTGGCCTCTGCAGGCATCACCCATGCATATGGTGCACAGACAAACATGCAGGCAAAATACTCATATGCATAAAAATTAAGTAATTAGAAATGAGAGAGATGGCCGGGCGTTGGTGGTGCACGCCTTTAATCCCAGCACTCGGGAGGCAGAGGCAGGTGGATCTCTGTGAGTTCGAGACCAGCCTGGACTACCAAGCCAGTCCCAGGACAGCCTCCAAAGCCACAGAGAAACCCTGTCTCGAAAAAAAACCAAAAAAAGAAAGAAAGAAAGGAAAAAAAAGAAATGAGAGAGATGAAAGAATGATGATGATGGAGACAGGCTCTTACTACACAGCCCTAGCTGGCCTGGAACTAGCTCTTGTAGACCAGGCTGGTCTCGCAATCACAGAGTTCCACCTGCCTCAGCCTCCTGAGGGCTGGGATTAAAGAGGTGCACAACCACTGCCCATCAAAGTTTAAAATCTTTCTCTGGACTTCTTTGGAGTGGAGAGGAAGAGGATTTCTAATGAAAGAGGACAGTTACTCTTCTAGGGGCTGGAGAGAGGGCTCAGTGGTTAAGAGCACTGGCTGCTCTTCCAGAAGTCCTGAGTTCAATTTCCAGCAACCATATGGTAGCTCACAGCTGTCTATAATGAGACTTGGTGCCCTCTTCTGGCATGCAGACATACATGCAGGCAGAACACTATATACATAATAAATAAATCTTTAAAATAAATACATAAATAAAAATTTTTAAAAGGTCTGGAGAGATGGCTCAGAGGTTAAGAGCACTGACTGTTCTTCCAAAGGTCCTAAGTTCCATTCCCAACAACCATATGATGGCTCACAGCCATCTATAATAAGGTCTGGTGCCCTCTGGTATACAGGCATACATATAGTCAGAACACTGCATACATAATAAATAAATCTTAAAAAACAAAAACAAAAAACTGCTCCTCCAGGTTCTAGAACACTGCAATTTTTTCAAGTAGCCTACGTGAAATTTCCTTAAATGCCTTTAAAAATACTGGGGTTTTTTTTTGTGTGTTTGTTTTGTTTTTTGACAGGGTCTCATTATGTGTCCCTGGCTGGCCTAGAACTTGCATGTAGACCAGACTGGCTTCCCTTCTCACAGAGATATGTTTGCCTCTATTGCCTCCTGAGTGCTGTGATCAAAAGTGTGCACCACTACGCCCAGCTCATAAAAATACTTTTAAAATGATTATTATAGTAGAACATTACTAGAACCTACAAGCCTGTTTAATGTTATTCTTCATACCCACCATGAAAGAATGTTGTTTTCTCCATTGCCAACTAAGTTTGACTGCTTTCCTTTTTCAAATACATGGCAGGCCCAGACCCTTACAGTGACTTTTTTAACCCAATTAAAAGATTTATTTCTCACCTACCCTATCCCTTAGGGGTAAATCTATAATTGAAAAAGCTAATGCACAGAACTTCTTTAAAGAGCTTTCTGTGTCCATTTTGTCCTAGATTCTTACTTGAACCATGCTTCTCAGGCCTGTATGCTTTACCTGAAAAGGATCTTAGTTCTTAATGCTGGGTTTAAGTATAAATTGGGTAAAGAGGCAGACTCAGAGGTTAAGAGCACTGGCTGTTTTACCAGAGGATCCCAGTTCAATTCTCAGCATCCCCATGTCAGCTCACAACTATCTGTAACTCCAGTTCCAGAACATCTGACACCCTTGATGCCCTCTTTACCTTCTTCTGACCTCTGTGGGCACCAGACATACTCATGATATACAGACTTCTATACAAAAAAAAAAACGAAAAACAGCCGTGTGTTGGTGGTGCACGCCTTTAATCCCAGCACTCGGGAGGCAGAGGCAGGCGGATCTCTGTGAGTTCGAGGCCAGCCTGGTCTACAGAGTGAGTTCTAGGACAGTCTCCAAAACAATACAGAGAAACCCTGTCTCAAAAAACCACAAAAAAAAAAGAAAGAAAGAAAAAGAAAAACAGTCATACAAATAAAATTTTAAAAAGCTTTAAAATTTGGGTAAAATGAGAGAGACAAGACCAGTTTGATGATGTTACCTGATCATATGGGAGCTAGGCTGGAAACAACTCCCTTGTGTTTGTTTTGTAAAGGGCCATAGGAAAAGCATGTGCTATTTAGTGGTAAGTTACATATCTAATGAAAAAGGTAAAAACAAGAGACTAAGCAGTCACTATTTTTAGAAACAAGACAACTAGAACCATTTTTCAGAGCCTTTATGCTAAGGGGCTGTGGAAACCTGCAGTGTCCAGGCTATTTCTGTGTCATGGATTTTCAAATGAAAGAACAGGGCCAGTGGCCTCAAAGGGACTGCTATTCATCTGTTCCTTTTACCTCCTCCTTTTAAAGGAGTTGCAACATAAATTATTGTCCACTAACCTTGCCTTAGTCATAAACTGGGGTAGACTTTGCCTTAGCACTTTCTTGTTCTTTCACTGAAACCTCTACACAAGGGTCTGTGTAATGTCTCCTTTTCTCTCATCCTGCGTAGCAGGCTCCTCTCTACCCTTAATTTTTTTCTTTTTTGTTTTCACTTTTATTTTGTCATTATACAGTCAGCAGCATTGTACTGGCCCCTTTATGACTGCTGGAGCCTAGGCAGACTGCCTGATGAAGGAAGACAGCATTTGGCCAATGAGGCTGGTGTGTGCCATTATTGCTGGCCATTGGGCCTCTGTCATCTACAGTTCCATCCTGGCTCATTAAAACTGTGAGCCAAATAGCCGCAAAGGCGCCTGCTGCAGCACTGTGGGGGCCAGGAAGTTAAATGGTTCTCCTAATCCTGCATAATTTATCTCCCTGTTAGTCCGCTCATAAAATACTCCAATTCAGCCCCACTACAGAGAGTTCTGAAATTTCCTGTTTTTGTGATGACCACTGAGTTCCCAGTCTTTCTCTTTTTCTCTCTTCATTGTTAATATTAAAAGTTGTTTTGGTCTTGTTCACAAGTTTACCTTGATGTTTTTTATGCCTAGACTTTACCTTAGTAACAACAATCTGTCCACTCCCCTTGTTTATACCTAATGATACAAAGCAGTTGGTGCTGTGATATCTCTCTCTCCTTTCTTCCCTGCCTTCATTGCCATTATTTTTCATCTTTTCTATCATTTCCATCATTTTTCCTCTTTTATTTTTCTATTCCCTCTTTCCAGGGACTAGTGTCATTGTAACATGTTTCTGTTTGGTAGGTCCTTTTGAAAGAGCCTTGAATGGAGGAAGGGTTGGTTTGGTTTTTTGTTGTTGATATTGTTTGTTTTTTCCCTTCTTTTCTTCACATATTCATTTCCGTTTCATTTCAGAGATTTACAAATGAGGACCACCTGGCAGTTCATAAACATAAGCATGAAATGACACTGAAATTTGGTCCAGCCCGAACTGACTCCGTCATCATTGCAGGTATTTGCCGCCCCTGAAAGTCACATGCTTTGCCATCACCAAACAGTTAAGATTAATTCCAGGGCCCAGATGTCCTGGGAGCTGCACTCCCTTTCTCTGTCAAGATCCCTTTGTGATCTGCATTTAATTAAGAATAGGTAGCACTAACAGATGCCTGGTTCCTACTGCACCTTCATTTTATTTTTAATAGTATACTTGAGTTACAGTATACAGTATATCTGAAGAAGGTGTTTTGAGATTTTGTCTTCACTTTTTTCAGTTTATTTTCTCCTTGCCTTTTCTTCATTAAGATTTTGGAAGAGTTACAAACAAAAAGCACTGTTAACATTTCTCCTTACCCACAGTAGAAGAGATGAACAAAAGAAAGCAAAAAAGCTGTTTTAGCCTGGCTGCTTCTCTTCCACTGGGTGTCAGTTTTCCTCTAGCAAGCAGATTATCAGTTCAGAAATCAACTTCCCTTGTGAACTCAGACACCGTTGAAGGCGCATTTCCAAAACACAAAGAAGACATTTAGTCATTGGGACTTTCCTAAACCAATTCGGGTGAGCTGGAACTCTTACCAGTTGCAAATATTGTTTGCACCATACTGAAGGGAGCATTCTTGGCACTTGTTTCCAAGCCCCGCAGTAGTTCTTTTGTGCAGTTTACAGCTAGATAGATGTGCAAAGCAGAGTGGGCTTTTTCTTTGGATGTTCTACGAGCTTCTAATTTAACCTACACCAAACAGATTTAACTTAGTATTTAATCAGTAATGTATTTAGTTTATGGTCATTACATCAATTAATAAACCAATTAAATTGTGATTTTAATTACTACTTGCAAAAATGTTACTTTAGACATGGAAAAGGAAACAGAACCTCCTCTCCCTATTAATGCATATGATGAAAAAGACTTGTCCTTTTACATCTCCTATTCCTTATTAATTCAGCACATATTGAATATCTACTGATCTACTGTGTGGGCTAGTCACTTTTCTAGGAGCTTACAGATTTGCGATTTGTAATCCCTGAGAAAAGGATATAAGCAGGGATAATATCAGTGATTTTTTTTTTTAAAGACAGGGTCTCACTGGCTAACCTGGAATTCAGTATGTAGACTAGGTTAGCCTGGAACTCACAGAGAACCACCTCCTCTGCCTCCTGAGTGCTGGAATCAAAGTCATGTACCACCACACCCTGCTTTATTTATTTTATATTATGAGGGAGGGGAGTGCCTATGAGTGCAGGTATCTGTGGAAGCCAGAGAGGAAATCAGATCCCCTGGAGCTAGAGTTACAGTTGGTTATGAGCTGCATGCTATTGGTATAGGGAACCAAACTGGGATCTTTTTGAAGAGCAATATTAACTCTTAACTACTGAGTCACCTAGCCATCTACCCCTTTTTGAGACTGGATTTTACTGTGTAGCCCAGGCTCATCTTGAATTTGAAATTGTCTTTCATTTACTTCCTGGAAGCTGGAATTATAAGTGTGAGCCATTGTGTTTGACATTCAGTTCTGGAGTGCTCAAACCAGTACATGGGACTTTAATTTTCCTATGTAGGCAGGTGATTGTATCTCCTGTTAAAGACACAGTGTAGGTATGCCATATATATTCCAACCCCTTATTGGACACTTTGAGTTGGCTATAATTCAGATCTTCATTGCAGTGACTGAACATGCCTCCTAAAGCAGCCCCTCTTCTCTATTACTCACTGTTCTAGTCCTTCCATTTATCATCCAGCATTCTATCACTGAACAAAGATTGAGAAAAATAGGGGCTGGAGAGATGGCTCAGAGGTTAAGAGCACTGACGGCTCTTCCAGAGGTCTTGGGTTCAATTCCCAGCAACCACATGGTGGCTCACAACCATCTACAATTCAATCTGGTGTATATGTAATAAATAAATAAATCTTTAAAAAAAAGATTGAGAAAAATCAACTTGTAAGTAGTAAAAGTTTGAGCAGGTCGTTGTGGTGCATGCCTATAATCTGAGCACTTGGGAAGTAGAGGCAAGAAAAAGTTCAAGACCATACTCAGATACATAGCAAGTTAAAGACTAGCCTGGGCTATATTAGACTATCTCAAAAAGAAGAAAGAGAAAGAAAATGAAAGACAGAGAAATGGGGGGACTACTTTGGCTCAGTTTTGGAAGCTTCTGTCCATGGTCAGTTGGCACATTATAGTGGTGTTTGTGTGGAAGAAAAAGCTATTCTCCCCTTGGCTAGGACACCAAAGAGAAAAAAGAGCAAAAGCCCATAGTTCCCTTCAAGGAAATGCTCCTAATAACCTAAAATTCCCCATTGGGTTCTAGCTTTTACAGGTCCCTTACCACCAATGACTTGGAACCCAGCATTTCATGCATGGGTATTTGGATGGCATACAAACCATAGTAATCCTCTTCTTCCTGCCACCAATCCCATTATGCTTATACTCATTCTTCTCCATCTTGCAAGCTTTTAAAAAGCTAGTCTTTACATTCTGTTCTTGTGATCACAAGCTCTCATTATTCTTTCTGTTTAAGGTTAACTTATCCCTGACTTTTCAGACTTTGTATAACCTAGCCCTATGGTACTTACCCAGCTTTATATGTAAGTTATGTGCATAAAATGCCAATCTTTTCACCAAAACAGTTTTTCCTAATCTGTGTGTGATGACCATTCCCTGCCTTTCTCAATGCCTTCACCAGCATTATTACTCTTAGCCTCTTAGCTCTTAAAACTTCTCTCTACAGTTCCAAACCATTTTCCAAGGGTTATCTCAAGTCTTGCTTGAAATCTTTCCTAACAATCCTAGTAATTAATGTGTACTTATTTTTATAATAATTTTATTCTGTATCTCAAATAGCACTTATTTTTACACAGTGTGGTGCTAGCTACATATATTGGTTTTATTTCCTTAACTAAAAAGCATTCTCAGCCGGGCGTTGGTGGCGCACACCTTTAATCCCAACACTCAGGAGGCAGAGGCTGGTGGATCTCTGGGAGTTCGAGGCCAGCCTGGTCTACAGAACGAGTTCCAGGACAGCCTCCAAAGCAACACAGAGAAACCCTGTCTCAAAAAAGCAAAAAAAAAAAACAAAAACAAAAACTAAAAAGCATTCTCCTAATTCTCTATAGAAAGACCCATGTCTTACATTTGGGTTATACCCTTATCTCCTCTCTAGATATGCATCCAAGTTTATGGATGTAACGCTAAAACATACAGAAGTATTCACTAAACACTTGGGAATCATCAGAACAGACTAGGTTTGTTTATGTATTTTCAGATTGTTTGTTCAGGAACCAGAAGCAGTTGAAGGTTAGAAACCATCTGGAAGATGAAGAATTAGGTTTAGTACAGGGGAGATTTCTTTCTTTTCTTCTTTTTTTTTTTCCTGTTGTCATTTATTGTTTGTTTTCTGTTTGTTTGTTTGTTTGTTTTTTTAAGACATAGTTTCTCTGTGTAGCTTTGGCTGTCCTGGAACTTACTATGTAGACTCACAGAGAGTCACCTGCCTCTTCCTCCTGAGTGCTAGAATTAAAGGTGTGTAACACCACTGCCCAGCCAGGGGAGATTTTAAAATTAAACCAAGAAATGAGCATGGGCAGCACGATGTAAGAGAAGTTTTTATGACTCCAACCAGAGGTCTCAAAGCTCTTCTTCCGTCATCACTGTGCCTTTAGTTGCCCCTTCTGTTCATTTGAGTTGTGATGGATGTGAGTGCCCTTACTGAGGGTGATACCACCTCTCCCCACTCTAGAGTAGCATGTTGCTTTATCTTTAGCCAGCCAAAGTACCTTTTAGAACTATTTCAGGAGGTAGTGGTAATTTTTCTCAACACTCTGATTCAAAAGACGTTTTATTTAAGTTTTTAAAAAGAAAAATGTTTCCATGGAAAATCACACTGAACTATTTCCAGTTAATCATGCTAAAAGGAACAATATTAACCCTTAGGTCTTTCTTTAAAATATAATTGAAACATTATTTATCAGTCAGTGTAGTTGACTGGAAGAGGAGATGAATTCTTGAGGTGATAAGCACATCAAAGAAAACCATCATAATAGAATTAGGGGCCCAGGGAACAAGACTCAACTTTAGAAAAGCAGGGGATAGACAGACAAGCTAAGATCTGAAGTTTGGGTTCCTTGAAAAGTTCCTATAGTTTAGGAATAACTATAAAAAAGTTCTTATACTTAAGGTTTCACCTCCTTAAGAACAATGAAGCCAGTCTTTGTGGCACATTCCTGTAATCCCAGCATTTGGGAGGTAGAGGCAAGAAGACCTTAAATTCCAGGATAACCTGGGCTTTTCTCCAAAAAAAGAAAAAAGCAGAAGCAGTGTGTTGAGAAAAAGTTTTGCACAGCCCCTGTGGGGATATTTTGACCAGCAAATCTAAACCAAATAGCCTGGTTTCCGGAATTTGTTCTGGGCCCATGTCACTATGAAATAAGTGCTATTGTTTGTAATTTCCTTTTGTAACTCATGATATTACTGTCTTGTTCCCCAGTCCCTAGATTTGCTTAGAATGGCTTCAGAAAGGAGCAGACTTTGGTGAAAGGCAGGCACCATTCCTTATTAGGTAGCTTGAGTGAGCAAACTCAGCAGTCTGATCCTTAGTTTGTACTCTCTGTCAGATTTAACACCCATCTGTTTTTTTCTTTCTTCCCTTTTTTTTTTTTGTTTTTTGTTCGTTTGTTTGTTTTGTTTTGTTTGTTTTATGAGACAGGGTTTCTCTGTGTAACTTTGAAGCCTGTCCTAGAACTAGCTCTTGTACACCAGGCTGCTCTCAATCTCACAGAGATCTGCTGCCTCTACCTCCCGAGTGCTAGGATTAAAGACATGCACCACCAATGCCTGGCATATCCATCTGTTTATATCTTCTCACTGCTTATCTTTAATTTTATTTATTTATTTATTTATTTATTTTGTTTTGTTTTTCAAGACAGGGTTTCTCTGTGGCTTTGGAGGCTGTCCTGGAACTCGCTCTTGTAGACCAGGTTGGCCTCGAACTCACAGAGATCCGCCTGCCTCTGCCTCCCAAGTGCTGGGATTAAAGGCGTGCACCACCAACGCCTGGCTACCTTTAATTTTTAAATCTAGAAGTTTTCTTGCATCTTTACTTTCATGAATGGTTTGTTTTATTGGGGTTGTGCTTTCATTGGAGGTGAAAGATATAAATCCAGCACTGAGAGAAGGTGGGTATGTGGCTAGTCACACAGAACATTGTTCTGTCTTTCCCCTTCTGGCCCTGAGACAACGCAACACAGGCACCCTCTGGTAGATTACAACCATCATCTATCCACTAAAACTCACAAAAGCCTATTTATCCTAGCAAAGACTTTCCATGTTCAAACAGAAGAATAAAAATACAATCCCAGTGCATTCTTGTTTTAATTTATATTAAAACTAAAACACATTTTCATTTTCTTTTTATGTCTACAGATCAAACACCTACTCCAACTAGATTCCTGAAGAACTGTGAGGAGGTAGGGCTCTTCAATGAACTAGCTAGTTCCTTTGAACATGAATTTAAGAAAGCTGCAGATGAAGATGAAAAAAAGGTAAGTGTGACTAAAAAAACTGGTAGTGGTTAGACATAGGCTATTTTCATTGTACCTTGAGATAATTTGCTTGTCTGGTTAAAATTCCAAACCATGGGAGCTGGAGAGATGGTTCAGTGGTTAAGAGCACTAACTACCCTCTAGAAGGACCCGGGTTCAATTCCCAGCACCCACATGGCAGCTCACAACTGTCTCTAAGTCAGTTCCAGGAAATCTGACACCCTTATACCAATACACATAAAATAAAAATTAAATAAATTATTTTTTTTTTGTTTTTTTCGAGACAGGGTTTCTCTGTGGCTTTGGAGGCTGTCCTGGGACTCGCTTGGTAGTCCAGGCTGGTCTCGAACTCACAGAGATCCGCCTGCCTCTGCCTCCCGAGTGCTGGGATTAAAGGCATGCGCTACCAACGCCTGGCTGGGTACTGGGTTTTTAACTCAGATCATAGTTTGTTTTCTGATAGTCCCCTTAGTAATCTATTGTTTCCCTTGTAAATAAATGGAAAAAATTAAAAGAATATGACAGGGGACTAGAGAGATGGTTCAGTGGTTAAAAGTGCTTGTTGCTCTCACAGAGGACCCAAGTTCAGTTCCCAACACCCATAGTGGTAGCTCACAACTACTCCAGGAGATCTGACACACACTTCTGGCTTCCTGTGGCACAAATACACACATGTTGTACACATAAATAATAATAAAAGTTTTGAAGACTATGAACTGGGAGGTTGAAATAGAGGATTACAGAAGATTCAAGGTCAGACTGTGTTATATTGTAAGTTTTGGATCAGCTTCAACTACAGACACTGACTCAAACAATGAAACAAAAGTATGAGTTACTCAGATTTATTAGGCAACTTTTTTTTGCCAATTATTTTGGGGGAGAGGATAGAGATCGAGCTCAGTGGTAGAGTGCTAACACATGCTGGGACCTGAGCTCACTCACCCCCACCTCCACCCCACCCCACCCCCAGTATAACAAAACAAGTACCACTGTTTATAAACTGATTGTTTGGGAAGTTTTTATTTATTTGCTTATTTTTATTATTAATTAATTCACTTATTTTGAGACAGGATCTCACTGCTCTGTAGCCCTGGCTGGCCTCAAATCCATAGACATCTGTGTGCCTCTGCTTTCTGAGTACTGAGATTAAAGTAGGCAGGGGAGAGGAATAATCAGTTTACCCTGGAAGTCAAGGTTATTAGCCACTAGGTAAAACTAGGTCTTGGAGGCTAGAGAGATAACTGGTCCAAAGAATTCAAATTGATTCCCAGAATCCATGTTGTAACTCCAGCTCTAAGAAATCCAATGCTTCTAGCCTCTGCAGGCACCCACACACATGTGTACATACACACACAGAGACACACACATAAACATAATTAATAATGTTCAAAATCAGGTCTGTAATTATGTCATACTTCAGAAAAAATATGTATACGCATATCAGCATGTATATATTAACGTAATCACCTCACAGTTGTGTGATATAAGGAGAGAACTGACTCTCAAAAGTTGCCCTCCAGCTTTCACATGCACACCATAGCACACGCCTGATCACAGGTGTACACACACTAAATAAATAAGACGAAGAAGAAAGAAATTGAAAGATTTAAATTTCCTACTTCACTGCTTTATCTTTCCCACTGCCATTTTGAGCTCGCTTGACACTTTCCTCAGTGTCCTTTGGTGTGTCTCTCTGTCTGTCCAGGAGTGTCTTTACTTCCCCTTGATGAGAAGTACAGATGTAGTAGAATATTATCTCCAGGGGTAGTAAATGATCCTGAAACTTTGCTGAACCACAATTTTTATAGCAGATGTCTCTTGGGAATTCTAAAGGAAAGTTGTTTTATTTTTTTTTTCCCTTAGAGGCATCCCTTCCTATCAATGTGTTGTCTTCAGAGATCTGAGAATGAGCTAAATTGGCTCTGAAAAAGTGGAACAGAAATAAAATCCTTTGATGTTTCTCACCCTTATGAGATGGAGCAGAATCATTGTTACCTCTTTAGTTCAGTACACTGAATTAGTTTGCTACTTAGGCTTCCAGGGGTTAAGGTAGCAAGTGATGGTGCACATAGCTGTACTTCTGCCAGGAAAGTTCTCTACTTTCTGGTTTCACCAGTACTGCCTCTAAGACCAAATTCTAATTTTTTCATTGATGAGATAACCAGACTTTACTTTCTTTATTATCCCCAAACCCTGTATGCCTGAAGTTTCTAGCCTCCTGCCCTAAACTGATTGTGATCACCATCTAGCATGGCAGGTTCCCCATAAAAGATCTTTTCTATCTTGTTTGCAGGACTTAAGTAACTAGTTTGTTTTCTGTTGCTTTTGGAAACTGGTTAACCAAGGCATTATGGTTGGCAGAGAAAATGTTCACAGCTCTCCAAAGACTAGCAAAGCTGGTTGGTAATTGATTGATTCATAAGTCCCTTTACTTTGCTTGGGATAAATTATAAGTATAATATTTGCATGGATTTAAGTGGCATTTATTTTACATGTTTTTAGGCATTATAAGTACTTGCTTGCAACTGATGCTATCTTCGTTTTGTAGTTAAGGAACAATAACTCCAAGAAGATACAGTGACTTGGCCAGAGTCTACATAAAGCATGAGTTCACATTTCTTTGACACTTGCTGTTCAGTGCTTTGACCAAGAACTGAACTTGGTAAAGCATGTCCTTGTCTGACCGTCAGCATCAAGAAACTGAATTGCATTTACTGTTTTCCCAGGGTGCTGCTGGGCCTCTTGACATGTCTCTGCCTTCTACACCAGACATCAAAATCAAGGAAGAAGAGCCAGTGGAGGTAGACTCATCGCCCCCTGACAGTCCTGCCTCTAGCCCCTGTTCCCCGCCACTGAAGGAGAAGGTAAAATTTTCTCCCAGAAGTCATTCCAAATGTTAGTTTTGATTCATAAATGGTGTAAGAAGGATTGGCTGGGTGCTGGAGAGATGGCTCAGAGGTTAGGAGCACTGACTACTCTTCCTGGGGTCCTGAGTTCAATTCCCAGCAACCACATGGTGGCTCACAACCATCTATAATGAGATCTGGTGTTCTTTTCTGGCCTATAGGCAGACATGCAGGCAGAACACTGTATACATAATAAATAAATAAATCTTTTAAAAAAATTTTTTAAAAAGAAGGAGGATTGGCTGGATTCAAACGGAGTGAATGTTCTTTTCTTTTTTTCTTTTTTTCTTTTTTTTTTTCTTTTTTTTTTTTTGGTTTTTCGAGACAAGGTTTCTCTGTGGCTTTGGAGGCTGTCCTGGAACTCGCTCGGTGACCAGGCTGGCCTCGAACTCACAGAGATCCGCCTGCCTCTGCCTCCCAAGTGCTGGGATTAAAGGCATGCGCCACCAACGCCCAGCCGTGAATGTTCTTTTCTTTTCCTCCTTTCCTTTCTTCTCTCTCTGCCTCCCTCCCTCCCCCCTCCTCTCTCTTTCTCTCTCTCCTGCATCTCATTGATATAGCCCAGGCTGGACTTGATTGAACTCAGTCCTCCTGCCCTAAGTACTGAGGTTTGGATACATATTTCTATACATAGTTTGAAAGGAATCTTAAATATTTAATCAATGTAAATAAATTACACCTATTCAGTCATCCATGAATCCCACTTCTGACTCCAAACTGAAGAGAGTTTAGTTTGTATGTGTACCAACAGAAATAAGTAAAACTGTTCATAGAAATTTTATTCACTTTTTTAAAAGTATCTGGGAGCTGGAAACATAGCTTAGTGAGTAAAAGTGCTTGCTGTACAAGCATGAGAACTCAAGTTGAAATCCAGAAAACCCAGATAAACATACTACCCAGGCACAGTACTATATGCCTATAATTCCACTGCTCCTACTCTGAGATGCCAGGTACAGATAGATAGGAAAATACCTAGCCTGGTGTTTACAGCGATAAAAGAAAAGCCCCTGTCTTGAAATAAGATGGAAGGGGAGGACCAAACCCAGTAGTTTTCCTCTGACCTCATGACCAAACTCACACACAAACATACATATACCACACATATACTATGATTAGACGGGAGAATGAAAACATCCCAAGTATCAATCAACCAAAACAATGAATGATCAATTGTGAGAGGTTGGTGGTGTATCTCAGGGATAGCACTTGCTTAGTGTTTATAATGCCTTGGATTCCATTCCAGCAACAAACAAATAGTGATATATTTCTAAAGTGGAATATGATATACATGATATTGGCTGAACTCGGCCGAGGATGAAATTTAGTGGTAGAGCACCTGCTTATCCTGTGTAAGGCTGTGGGCTCAGTCCTGAGTACTGCAAAAACAAAAAAGAAAGAGAGGGGAGAGTGAAAGGGGGAGGAAGGAAGGGTGGGTGGGTGGATAGATAGATAGAAGAAATACATAGCAATATGCATAAATTTCACAAACACTGAATAACAAAAAAGACACAAAAGTATATACTGTATGGTTCCATTTATAGGAGGTTCAAAAAGATGCAAAATTATTTGATGGAAAACTTCAGAATAGTGTGGTGGTGTATACCTGTAGTGGCAACTGCTAAGAAGGCTGAGGTGGGAGGACCAGCCTGGGGAACACAGCAAGATGGTATTACAAGGAGAAAGAAGATAAACAGAATAGTGGGTACCTCTCATGATGGAAGAATGTGAATTGGGAAAGGACACAGGAAAACCTTCTTGAGTGCAGGAAATGGTCTCCATTCTGATTTTGCTCGTGCAAAAGTAATTTCATTGTAATGACTTTAATTGTACTTCAGTAAGTAAAAAAGAAGTCAGGTATGATGGCACATGTGTTTAGTCACAACACTTGGGAGGCAGAAGTAGGTGAATCTCTGAGTACAAGGCAAGTCTGTTTTATATAGTGAATTCTGGGTCAGGGCTACATAATAAGACTGAGTTTTTGTTTTTTAAAAGAAAAAAGAGAAACTAGTCATGGTGATGCACATCTAACATCATTTGGGAGTTCCAGGTGAGTTCAAAGCCTGCCTGGACTGGGCTGCATAAGAGCTTGTCCCAAAGAAAAAATAAAAAGGTCAGCAAGATGTCTCAGTGGGTAAAGGTATCTTCTGACAGCCTGAGTTTGATCCCCAGGATCAAGAAACCTCTGGCCGGGCGTTGGTGGCACACGCCTTTAATCCCAGCACTCGGGAGGCAGAGGCAGGCGGATCTCTGTGAGTTCGAGACCAGCCTGGACTACCAAGCGAGTTCCAGGACAGCCTCCAAAGCCACAGAGAAACCCTGTCTCGAAAAAACCAAAAAAAAAAAAAACAAAAAACAAAAAAAAACCTCTGATTTCCACAACCCTCCAACCACAAATAAATAACTAAATGTATTTTTTAGTAAAAAATAAAAATAAAAAATGTAATTTGTTAATTAGACATGTCTTTTACCTAGGGTTACTATTGCCGTGATGAAGCACCATGGCCAAAGCAACTTAGGGAAGAAAGGGTTTGTTTGACTTACACTTCCACATCACAGTTCATCATCAAGGAAGTCATCAGGGACTCAGATAGGGCAGGAATCAAGAGGCAGGAACTGCTGTAGAGGCTATGGAGGAGTGTTGCTTACTGACTTGCTCTCCATGACTTGCTCAGCCTGCTTTCTTATAGAACTCAGGACCTCCCAGGGATAGCCCCACCTACAATAGACTAGGTGCTCCACCCATCGATCACTAATTAAGAACATGCCCTACAGGCTTGCCTACAGCCAGATTTTTTTTTGAGATGGTCTCATAATGTATTTCAGGGTGCCTTCACCTCACAGTAATACTCCTGCCTCAGCTTTCCAAGTGCTGTGATACAGGTGTCCTCCACCACACCTAGCTCATTTTGGTTTGGTTTCTCTGTGTAGTCCTGGCTGTCCTAGAACTTGCTCTATAGACCAGGCTCTGCCTCTTGAGTGCTGGGATCAAAGGTGTGTACCACCACCTCCTGTACCTGACCATTTTTAAAGACCACTTTCTTTGGTGTATAATACATATACACATACACTGTAATTATGGAGCTCTCTGACTTTCCAGAAAGTGAATAAATTTAGTAATCAGCACCAAGATCAAAACCAGATGATATCAGGGCTTCAGAAGCCCACTTATGTCTCCTTCCAGTCTCCTGGAACTAGCTCTTGTAGACCAGGCTGGCCTCAAACTCACAGAAATCCACCTGCCTCTGCTTCCCTAGTACTGGGATTAAAGGTGTGCTCCACCAACACCAGGCTTCCTTCCAGGCTCTGCTGTCTTGCCAGTGGACAGAACATCTGTACGTCATCTTGCTTGGCTTCAAATTTGACATGTTAAATTCTCAAAGCTACCATCTCCATAAATATTAGCCATCTCCCTCCCTCCTTCCAATTTCTATAGGAAACTAATTTCTGGAGATTAGAGATGCTTTCAAGGCCAGTATGGCCACTGACAGTCTAAGACCCTAACTAATTAACAGTGAGAAGCATTGTGTTCTATTTCGGTCTGATAGCTGTTTAAGCTTCTATAGACCTTGTTTAATGAAGTCCATTGGAAACACTGGATTGTCCTACCACCAGTATACCTTCCTTTTCTCACTGGAGGTCTTAGGACACTTCAGTATTATTTAGAATGAGAGTATTTGTAGGGTAGAACACCCCTAGAATTTATATGATATTACAGTGTTATATGGTATAACATTTCTCCAAAGATTTCAAATGATTTTTCAAATGATGCTAAATCATCATTCCTACTGAATGGGTAAGGTATGGGTGCATGATCGTGATGAAATTGGGTCATTTCTTTATAACTAATGCTCTTTCAGTGAAAGCACCAATTGTGTATTTCCCTATTCACAGTTCTTAACGTTTTGAAATTTTTTGTCTCCTCTCCCTAGGAACTTGCCACAAAACCTGTTTTGATTTCCACCCCTACACCCACCATCGTACGTCCTGGCTCTCTGCCTCTCCACTTAGGTTATGATCCACTTCACCCAACTCTTCCTTCCCCAACCTCTGTCATTACACAGGCTCCACCATCTAACAGGCAAATGGGGTAAGTAGGAGAGTAGGAGAAACTGTGAGCCTGGATTTCCTTTGGTTTTTTGAAACAGAGTTTCTCTGTGTAGTCCTGGCTGTCCTGAAACTCATTCTGTAGACCAGCTTGGCCTCGAACTCAGAGATCTGCCTACCACTGCCTCCCAAATACTGAAATTAAGGTGTGTGCCACCACCACTTGGCTTTTTTTTTTTTTTTTTTGGTTTTTCGAGACAGGGTTTCTCTGTATTGTTTTGGAGGCTGTCCTGGAACTCACAGAGATCCGCCTGCCTCTGCCTCCCGAGTGCTGGGATTAAAGGTGTGCGCCACCAACGCCCGGCACCTTTTTTTTTTTAAGATTTATTATCTTTTAAAATTATGTGTAGATGTGTGTGACTTCCTCTGGGTATGTTCAGATAAGTACAGGTGCCCTCAGAGTCCAGAGGTGTTGTCAGATCCCTAGAGGCTGGAATTATGAGCTACCCAATATGAGTGCTGTAAACAGAACTGATCTTCTGTAATATATGAAGAACAGTCTTGATTGTGAATTTCTGTGCTTTGAAATTATTTAATAGAAACTGTTGTTCTCAGATATGTTGTTGTTTTGAGACACAATCTTCCTAAGGGGCCTCAGATTCTCATGACCTTGCTTCTGCCTCCTGCATGCTGGGCTTACAGGTATATGCTACTGAAGTTAGCTCCAGGCATTTATTTTTACATGCCCAAGAAAATGAGTTAAGATTGTTTCCTAAAATAAAACATTTCAAAAAATTATTTGCCACAGAGATACTTGTTTAATCTTCCAGATTCCTAATAGAGTTACCTCCTGAACATTAAATTCGATTAATTTTAAAAATATAAAGTTTTTGCCAGACTGTGGAACTGGAAACATAGCTAAATAGTAGAGCTACTCATCATGTCCAAGACCCTGCTAATCCCCAACACCAAAAAGCCACCAAGTCTTTGCCAGGTTAAGGAAGTAAACTAGGGCTTGTCTGACATGTTCTAAGGTAATTTTGTTAAAACCCTGAGGCGGGGGAGGAATAAACTATCATTTCTCTCCATTTTTCCTGTGTTTAAGAGAATGTCAAGATTTTATAGTGCTGCTCCATACCTTCCCTAATGACGTCTATAAAAAAAAACTTATAGAAGGAAGACCAATAGGCAAAAGGTCGAGATTGTGATATTTCCCTTCATGTTTCCTGCAGATCTCCTACTGGCTCCCTCCCTCTCGTCATGCATCTTGCTAATGGACAGACCATGCCTGTGCTGCCAGGGCCTCCAGTACAGATGCCTTCTGTTATTTCGGTAAGCTTTGTAGTTAGGGCAGCCAAACCTGCCAGCCCACTGATCCCTCCCTTCCACCTGAATGATCATAACCAGAGGACCCCAGGGAAATGTGGGCCTGGACTGTATTAGTTGTGTGTGGCAGTCTGCCCAAACTCTTCACTAACCTCTGCCAGTCCAACACTGTGAAACACTAGACAAAGACTCATCTGGACAATTGGCTTCTAGTCAAGGAGTTAATTTTGCCAACCTGCTGATTGGTTGATTTCACTTGGCACATAGCTTCTCCAGCATTGCTAACCACTTTCCTGAAGATATACCCCCAGCCTTTCCCACAGAAAATGTCCCCACACTAAAGAATGAAATTCTTTACTCTGGGACACTCCTTAGGTAAGGTATTTCCCAAGCTATTCCTGCATGTCCTGTGAGCGTATTACACAGAACAGGCCCTGACATGCCAATCTCAAAACCACTTAATTTGGGGAAAACCAATACTACTATGTCTCCTTCTCTTGATTTAGCTGGCCAGACCTGTGTCCATGGTGCCCAACATTCCTGGTATACCTGGCCCACCAGTTAACAGTAGTGGCTCCATTTCTCCATCTGGCCACCCTATGCCATCAGAAGCCAAGATGGTGAGTACATCCCGGCCTGGAGCAATACTGGCCTTCTAAAAGAAGTAGTATCAGGGGGCTGGGGAGATGGCTCCGCAGTTAAGAGCACTGACTGTTCTTCCAGAGGTCCTGAGTTCAATTCCCGGCAACCACATGGTGGCTCCCAACCACCTTAAATGAGATCTGGTGCTCTCTGCTGGCATGCAGGCAGAAGGCTGTATACACAATAAATAAATAAAATATTTTAAAAAAAGAAGTAGTATCAGTCTAGATTTTCCAAGTAAACTGGACAAAGGAGCTTTTTGAAGCTTGCATACCTAAAGACATCCTGCTGTGGGGCTTGAGAAAGAAAAGACCCTGATTCCTAAGTCTCCTGTCCCTACCTTGGCACAGGCCATGGGACAGGAAGAGGCAGCACAGATTGTTTGGAATGGAACAGTTGCCATTTCAGTTCCAGGGTGACAGATGGAGGGTGAGTGGGCAGGGGAGCTGGCCAAGTGGTGAATAGCTGTGTAACCAGCATCTGGCCTGGTTCCAGGAGGGAGCTTTCATCTGGGTCCTATTGCTTCCACAAGCCCCCATCCCCAGCTGTGCCCAGGATGACAGCCAGGGAACAGAGTAGGCATTTTAGGGATCCAGGTGCACACTTTCTCTCCCTGTCATTGTCTTAAGGTCAGTAATAAAATACAAGTTCTTATCCTTGACAGAATCTCACTCCTGCCTTTTAAATCTTTCCACACAGAGACTAAAAGCTACTCTGACCCACCAAGTCTCTTCAGTCAATGGAGGTTGTGGAATGGTGGTGGGTACTGCCAGCACCATGGTGACAGCCCGTCCAGAGCAGAACCAGATCCTCATCCAGCACCCTGATACCCCATCCCCTGCCCAGCCACAGGTCAGTTGTGCCCTTGGAGGGGAGAACAAGATGTGTTGCCCTTATTTTTTATGTTGTATCTGTTTTCAAGATGCATGAACTGAGAGAAGAATGAATTTAACTTTCCAGGTATCCTGCTACTTTCGATGTTTTTGGTAGGTTTTTTGACTATAGTGAAACAAACTATTGTTTATCTACCTACCTTTGTGTTAGACATAAATGCAAGCAGCTTGAATTATGCAGAACTGTTACAGAGAAGACCTCTATATTTTTTCCACATATGAGTAATAGCCTAATGTAGATTCTGAGCTGATGGAGACTCACATGAAGCCACATCGAGCACTTCCAAAGGAGGTGTTTGTATCTCTTGCTTATCTGCTAAGTCTTAACAAAATAAGTTATCAATTACCTGATTAGATTTTAGAACACAAAATACATTATAAGACTATATTAATACAATATGATGTTACAGTAGTAAAATAGATGGCTCATTAAAAGTAAGAAAACACACAAAAATCCTTCTCAATACCAATCCAATAGTCCCTGTTTATCACAAAGGAATGAAAATTCTAAAAAAATTTAAAAGTCAGCAGAGGTCCCATGTAGTTACCCAGTATCTTCCCGAAGAGGGATTCTTTAGGAACTGAATAGCTTTAGTTTTTATAATTGTCTGTACTGGACAGGTGACAATGACCTGGGATTGGTTTCTAGAGTTTCATTCACTGCCCAGTCTGTCTTTTACTGATGTCACCACCTGCTTCATCAGTACTGCCACATGTCCAGACATTCTATGGCCATATGCTGCCTTCAGCCTTGGCCAGCAACACGAGCTTTCATTTGTTCTTCCTTTTTGAAAGCTAAGACTTCCCACCATTCTGACCCCTCACTCCCCAAAGCCAGCCAGTCCTGAAGATAAAGTAGTAACCCTTGCCCAACCTGGGTTGGAGAAAGGATGTGGCTCCTTGTCAGTGACTACTGAGTTCTCTTCTCTCTCTCTCTCTCTTTTTTTTTATATATATCTTTTCTCATTTTGTTTTTGGCTTGAAGTTTTGAGAGACCTCAAACTCATGACCCTCTTTTTTTTTTTTTTTTTTTTTGAGAAATAATTTCTCTGTGTTTCCCTGGCTGTTCTGGGACTTACTTTGTAAACCAGACTGGCCTCAGCCTCAACCTCAAGAAATCTACCTGCCCTGCCTCCCAAGTGCTAGGATTAAAGGTGTGCACCACCACTGCCTGGCCTGCCACGGCCTCTTGATAGCTGAGATTAAAGGCATGTATTGTGCCCAACTGGATTTCTTGAGGAAAGGCTCTCCTCAGTATTAGGATCCAAGCAGGACCTTTAGTTCATTCTATGAGTTAAAAATTCCCTAAGTTTTTCTTTGAAAAGGTAATACTAGTCTAAATAAAAGCATGTCGTAATTACTAATATTACTGGGGAACATAATTCAGTAGAGCCTAAAGTAGATTTCCCTTTTTTTGTTGGTTTTGGTTTTTTGAGACAGGGTCTTACTATGTAACTGAGTCCTAAAATTCACTCTGTAGCCCAGGCTGGCCTCAAACTCACAGAGATCCACCTAGCTCTGCTTCCCAAGTGCTGGGATTAAAGGCGTGCACCTTTCTTGTGGTTGTTGTAGCTCCTGCTTGTCTTTATGCAGATGATTACTAGCATTAGGAAAATACTAACCTAGATATTCAAATTAAAAAATAATTTAGGGGCCACAAGATGGATCAGTGAAAAGAGATGCTCACCAACAACACTGATAACCTGAGCTCCATCTTCCGAACTCACATGAAGGTAGAAGGAGAGAACTGACTCTACAAACTTGTACTCTGACATCTACAAACACCATGGCATACACACATGCACACACATACGATAATTAATAAAAATTAATAATAATAATAATAATATATGATTTTTAATTTTGAAAATAAATTTACTTTTGACATTGTCATAAAGTTGATGTGCCTTCTCCCTATATATATGTCAACTAACAGAATGGAAAGATAATCCAAAGTGCATTAGTGCAAAGAGAGCTTAAACAACAAGACCGTTGGGCAGTGGTGGTGCACACCTTTAATTGCAGCACTTGGGAGGCAGAAGCAGGAGGTTCTCTATAAATTCAAGGCCAGCCGGGTCTACAGAGCGAGTTCCAGGACAGCCAAGACTGTCTCAAAAAAAAAAAAAAAAAAAAAAGACAAGCAAATAAAAAAAGATGCTGAGTCAAAAAAGGAAAGAAGAAAGAGAGGAAGGGAAGGAAAGAGAGCAAGTGGGCCTTGTGGTACAGGCCTGTAATTCAAACTGTTTAGGGTAAGACAGGAGGAACAGCATTCTTATAAGTTCCAACACTTGGGGATAGAGCCAGGAGGAGCAGGAGTTCAAGGTTGTCCGGGACTCCATAGTGAGTGAAGGCCAGCATGGATGTGGAAGACCATGTGTCAACCAACAAGGGGTAGCATTGTAGCTCAGTTCCCAGGCCCAAAAGAAAACAAAGCAAAGCAAATTCCTAAGTGATACTAATTTCATTTCTGTGTCTCGAAATAATCAGTTTCCCACAGAACTGTGGCTTGTCTGCATGTGTACTGAGAGGACTGAGATAGGAAGCAGGATAAGAAGCTAGTAGACAGAGTAATGGGGCTTGGTGTGGTTACCAGAACTCTACCAGCCCTTACTAATCTACCTAGCTCAGCTTTGATTTGGAAAGAAAAAAATTATTTTCCCATCAAGTACTTCTCTATTCTGCCAAGGGACGAAGTTAGAAATTGATGCCTGTGAATCCCAGCACTCCAGATGCCTAAGCAAAAGAAACAAAATTCAGAATCTGTCTGGGCTGTATAACAAGACTGTTCAAGGACAAACCAGAAAATAGAAAAACAAAAACAATATTCTTCTTATTTCCTGGGCAACAGGTCTCTCCAGCTCAGCCCACCCCTAGCACTGGGGGACGGCGGCGGCGCACAGTAGATGAAGATCCAGATGAGCGTCGGCAGCGATTTTTAGAGCGAAACCGAGCTGCAGCCTCCCGATGCCGCCAAAAGCGGAAGCTGTGGGTGTCCTCCCTGGAAAAGAAGGCAGAAGAACTTACTTCTCAGAACATTCAGCTGAGTGTGAGTGGGTGATTGTCGGGATTGTAGACTCTGGAGAGCACGGCCACACATGGGAACAGCGCAGCAGCAGAGCAGAGAATGGTGTTAATTAATTAGATCCAGGAGTGTGACGGGAAGTGTAAAGGTCCATAGTAGTCAGGATTGAAACTTTTCCCTAGCAACTGGGAAAAAGACTATCTCCTTCCAGATCTTCACTAGCACAAGTCATTCAGAGATCCTTTTGGAGGTGGGAGATACAGCTCAGATAGAATGCTCAGCAGTCAGAATGGAGAAAAGGCAGGAGTGGAGACATAGACCCATCTTGAAGGAAATCAGATTAAGCATCTCCAGGGTGTGCTCTCTTAAATCATCAATAGAACCTTACTAGAGTTAGAGAACACCTGATGAGAAATACTTCACTCCAACTATTGTAGCTGTCTTAATTAGAGTTTCTATTACTATGAAGAGATACCATAGTATATCATAAAGGAAGACATTTAGTTGGGGATGTCTTACTGGTTCAGAGGTTTAGTCTTGTTATTGTCATGGTAGAAAGCATGGCAGCACCCAGGCAGACATGGTGCTGGAGAAAGAGCTGAGAGTTCTGCTTCTGGATTGGCAGGCAGGAGGAAGAGAGAGTGAGCCACTGGGCCTGGCTTGAGCTTTTAAACCTCAAATCCCACCCCCAGGGTCACACCTCCTCCAATAAGGCCACACCTCCTAATAGTACCACTCCCTATGGGGGCCATTTTTATTCAAACCACCACAGTAGGTTAGTTAATAAAAGAGAAAAAAAAACTTGAATAAAGACAGAATTGTAAAGGGAAACCTTTTCCTTGAGAGAAGCCTTCCCGCCAGCCTGGTTCTAGAGCCGCATCAGTCCCAAATAAATGCACAGGAGGCTATATTAATTATGAAGCTGTTGGCCTTTGCTTGTTTCTTACTGGCTAGCTCTGACTTAAGTAATTACCCCATAATTGTTAATCTAAGTATGTCTCTTACCGGAGAAGTTTCCAGGCTTCCTACCCCATGGTGTTACATCTCGACTCTCTGTGTTTCTCCTTCCCAGAGTTCTCCTGGACTCATTGGCCAGCAGTGCTTTATTGACAAATGCACAGGACTTCCCCCCAACATCTCCTCGTTTCTGTTTAAACAAAAAGAAAGGTCTTAACTTTAACATAGTCAAATTATATATAAAAGAACAGTTATCAAGTAAGAACATAGTTACAATATTTTGTCTATCAACATTTAGTAAGATTTAAAGAAAATATCATCTATCTCATTCTTGTGAGTCCAAAGTCCTATATGTAGCTTATCTCTTATCATAACTAAGGAAAACTATAATTATAACTCTCTGTCTTCAACTCTATCAAAGACCACAGAAGGATAATATATAAACACTAGGATTGACAGAGACATCTTACTGCCTGGACAGTCACCCGAAGTTCCTCTGTAACGTTGGGGCATCCATCTTCAGCCCATAGGCCACAATGTGTCCATATGATTTCTCAGCAAAGCAGGAAATTTTAAAACTGTCCATCTGCATTGGCAGTCTGTCAGTCATTTCTCTGTGTCCTGCAGAAAGTCTCGTAGACTCTTCCATGAAGCAGGAACCCTGTAAGACTGAGTTCAGCAGTCACTTTACTGTGGGTCCTGCATGTCCAGATTATACAACAACAGACAAACAGTCTAGCAAGAGCAGTTTCTTGCCCAAATGGCTAATCTTGCCATGTTGAAAGCAAACTCCATAACAAGTTTCTTTGATGCCCGTCTTCCTCTCAGACGTAATTGGTGCTGCCAGGAGCAGACATTTCTCATTGTCAAGAAAAACCCTAAACCATTTTAAATGCCATTTTCTGAAGGTCATTGAAAGGTTTGAAGACTATCTGTCTCAAATATATTTCTGTATATGTAGAAAACATAACTTACCTAACTATAAGTTCTAACTATTATAAGTAACTATCTATAGTCTGTATTTAATTATGCATTACATTTTAAGAGAACAGTATAAGCACAATACTTAATCAAGAGGAGAAATATACGCATCACAAAATTAACCTTGAATTTGTATCAATCAATGAAAAACCATACCAATACAAAGTACTCATTTCCATACCATAATCCCCCTTTTTCCTTCAAGAAGAGATTGGTTGTGATCATTAACCAATTATAAACAATCCCATTCAAATGAAAACAAAGATTTATAAACAAGATGGGAATTAGGACGTTGCTCATTCCAAACTGCTTCATGCTGGAAGGGGGCGCTGTTCATACCATGGGGATCATGACAAAACTCAGAAACCTGTATAAGTCCTTATTTTCAGGGCCTGTAAAACTGCATCATCTTAGCTGTTTCAGTTGTTGGAACACCTGGTCCACTGCCTCCGGGGGTCTTGGTTCGTCAAACCACAGAAGCCTGGAAGGAATCCTCAGCTTTTCATTTTCTGTAGAAACATAAGCAAAATCTCCTTTCCCAAGTAACATATCCTTATACTTAAATTTTGAAGTCAAAGCATTTTCAAAAGATAGAAGTTGGATTAATTCAGCAGCATTTATAATCAAGTATACTTTAGCAGTTGTTCCTTCCTTAGCAATGAAAAAACTGAAAAAACACAATAGCGTACAGTATCCAGACTTTCTGTGTATTTTCCATCTTTACGTGGCTTATTTATTTATTATTATTACTCTATTTCTTTTACTTTGATTTATTTATTTTTCTCTGAGACAGGGTTTCTCTTTGGAAATCCGCCTGCCTCTGCCTCTGCAGCAAATCTACCGTCGTGTGCCACAACAGCCGGCTTCTCTACTTATTTAACACTTTGCCGTTTCATTTTGTGTCTCAATCTTACGTATATTTTTAAACACACTGTAAACCTTTAGAGGTTTTGTTCATCCAAGTCTGACTTTACTGTAAATCTTTATGTTTTTCTGGCCACGTGTCTTATCTGTAAAACCGAGGCTGTTTTAAACTGCTCTTTTTTTCCAAGATGGTGGGCGTAAGCATGACTCCAGCTGCTGGCTTGGAGATATGGTCACTGCCACTTCCAGCTGTACATACAACTTTTAAATCGTTAGCAAAGCTTCTTAAAAGAAACTTGTTGCCCTTTTTTTTTTTCTTTTAATGCCGAGTCAGGAAAACTAACTTAAGCCAGCCTCAAGTCTCTGCTTGCTGCTAACAAAACAGAGCCCGCCTGAGAAAAATGCTGCTACCAAAAATCTGTGCTTCTCTCCGTTCTTCTGTTTCTAAAATTCCTTTAAAGCTTTTTTCATTCTACGTGGAAATTCAGTCCCGCTCCTGATCACCATTTGTAAAGGGAAACCTTTTCCTTGAGAGAAGCCTTCCCGCCAGCCTGGTTCTAGAGCCGCATCAGTCCCAAATAAACACACAGGAGGCTATATTAATTATGAAGCTGTTGGCCTTTGCTTGTTTCTTACTGGCTAGCTCTGACTTAAGTAATTACCCCATAATTGTTAATCTAAGTATGTCTCTTACCGGAGAAGTTTCCAGGCTTCCTACCCCATGGTGTTACATCTCGACTCTCTGTGTTTCTCCTTCCCAGAGTTCTCCTGGACTCTTAGTCCCACCTATCTAGATTCCTATTGGCCAGCAGTGCTTTATTGACAAATGCACAGGACTTCCAACACAGAATAATTTTAATCCAAGCATTCTCTTGAATATTATTTTCCCTTCTTTGGTTTTGTTTTTTTAAGTATCTTTTATGGGCCAGTGAGATGACAACCTGAGTTCTACCTTTGGACCCACATAGTGAAACGAGAGAACCTGCTCCCATAAGTTGTCCTTAGATCTCCACACATGCACAGGAAACATGTGCATGCACCACATACATAATGCATATAATGTATAAACACATACAATAAATAAAATAAATTTAAGAAGGGGTCAGGAGGATGCCCCAGTGGTAGAATGCTTGCTACCAGGTGTAATGACTTGAATGTGATTTTCAGATCCCACTTCTTATCCTGACTCTCCCTCCCTCCTCCCCCCCCTCTCTCACACACACACACACACACACACACAGACACACACTGAAGTGCACATGTGCATACACATACACACAAAATAAACTTTAAAAAAGAATACCTTGTATTTATGCTTTGACAATTTCTTGCATGTATACAGTAGGGTTTTTGTTGTTGTTTTGCTTTGGTTTGGTTTTTTGGTTTTTCAAGAAGCGTCTCTCTATGTGTAGCCCTGGCTGTCCTGGAACTCACTATGTAGACCAGGATGACCTTGAACTTAGAGAGATCCACCTGTCTCTGCCTCCCCAGTGCTGGGATTAAAGGCATGCACCACTACCACCCATCATCTGAATTTTTTTAAGATTAAATTATTTATTACATATACAATGTTATGTCTGCACATATCCCTGCACACCAGAAGAGGGCACCAGATTTCATTACAGATGGTTGTAAGCCACCATAGGGTTTCTGGGAATTGAACTCAGGATCTCTGGAAGAGCAGCCAGTGCCCTTAAACCTCTGAGCTATCTCTCCAGCCCCCTGAATGTTTTATTTTTTTTGTTTTTGTTTTTGTTTTTGTAGTAGTAGAGTTGGATAGATTGTGAGTTGGTTTAAACATGAATGACATAAGAGTATCTCTTGGGGCCGGGCGTTGGTGGCGCACGCCTTTAATCCCAGCACTCGGGAGGCAGAGGCAGGCGGATCTCTGTGAGTTCGAGACCAGCCTGGACTACCAAGCGAGTTCCAGGACAGCCTCCAAAGCCACAGAGAAACCCTGTCTCGAAAAACCAAAAAAAAAAAAAAGAGTATCTCTTGGAAACCTTGTTTTTTTTTTTTAACAGCTGCATAGTATTACACTCTGAGTTTGTTAGGTTTTATGGATCAGTGGACACGAACACTATTATAATTGTTCATTACAATAGTATTGCTCCAGTAGAGCTCCAGTAGACATTGTGTTTACTTGAATAATAGTTCTCTTAAGGAGATTTCTAATCAGGTGGTGGTGGTGTACATCTTTGACTCAAGCACTTGGGAGTCAGAGGCCGGTGGATCTCTGTGAGTTCAAGGCCAGTCTGGTCTACAGAGCAAGTTCCAGAATAGCCAGGCCTATTACACAGAGACACATTGTCTTGAAAAATCAAAGAGAAAGAGACAGAGAGAGATTTCTTCTTTTTTTTTGTTTGTTTGTTTGTTTGTTTTGTTTTGTTTTTTGTTTTTTGAGACAGGGTTTCTCTGTATTGTTTTGGAGACTGTGTTCTGGAACTCACTCTGTAGACCTGGCTGGCCTGGAACTCACAGAGATCCGCCTGCCTCTGCCTCCCGAGTGCTGGGATTAAAGGTGTGTACCACCAACACCTGGCACAGAGAGAGATTTCTAAGGCCAAGCTTAGTGATTCATTCCTTTAATCCCAGCATTCAGGAGACAGATGCAGGCAGATTGCTGTGAGTTCCAAACCAGCCCAATCTGCATAAGGAATTCTAGGCCAGCCAAGGTTACAAAGTGAAACATTGTCAAAACAAACAAACAAGAATATATTTCCAGAAGTACACTTTCTTCTTGGTCAGAGAACCTTACATTGTTAGTTTGAGAGTAGTCAGTTTATCCCAGATAAGTCATTTTTCTTTTCCTGTTATGAGTCCTTACTTTTTTTTTTTTTTTTTGAGACAGGGTTTCTCTGTATTGTTTTGGAAACTGTCCTGGAACTAGCTATGTAGACCAGGCTGGCCTCGAACTCACAGAGATCTGCCTGCCTCTGCCTCCTGGGTGCTGGGATTAAAGGCGTGCACCACCTTACTTTTCATTGTAGACAATTTCTACCATTGACTTCATGACTGTTGTACCCCTGATCTCTCTGAAGACTTGCCAGATCATGTCCCAATTTGGGGAGGAGAATCTAGACAGCACTCTACCCTCACACTAAGATGGTCACAATATTGTGGTCAACATTAGAACAATGCTAAACTAAATATTATAATAAATGGTTTTCCATAGATACCAAAAAATTAATTCTAGTAAGTCCATACAAATGTTGCTGTAATGTTTTGATAAAGAGCCATTAGGAGTTTAAGAACAGAAGATGAATTGTCTTAGTGTTCTTTTCTTTCCTCCCCCTTCAGAATGAAGTCACATTACTACGAAATGAGGTGGCTCAGTTGAAACAGCTGCTGTTAGCTCATAAAGACTGCCCTGTCACTGCACTACAGAAAAAGACTCAAGGCTACCTAGGTGAGTGGTTCACAACCTAAGCAAAACCAGTTAGTTGGTAACCTCAAGAATTGAGTATTCTGGATGCTTATAATGCCATTCTATGTGGCATATCAGTCCTACCAAAATAAATAAAGAAATAGATAGATAGATAGATTTTTTTTGCCTTTATAATCCTATCAAGCAAGAGGATCAGTTGAAGTTTGAGGAAAACCTGAGCTACATGAAACTTTCTATCAAATAAACAAAAAATAAAACTTTGACAGTAATGCAGAATTATCCTAATTATCTATAATAGTTGGAGAGAAGCAGTAGCAATATTTCTTGGACCCATTTTATCTGCTGTCCTCACAATTCTCCCATGAAGCAGCTATTCCATTTGTAAATGAGAAAACTCAGATCATTTACCAGAACAGGAAAGTGGTAGGAGTCTTCTGATCCCAAACACAGTCTTGGCCTGGAGAAAAGACAAACAGCTGACAGTGTCTAAGAGATGAAGAATGGGGGCTTGAGGGCAGATTTCATCTTTACAATGGTCTTGGTTTCAGTTTGTAATCAGAGATGTCCATAGAATTGGGCTCAGCATTAGCACTATTATAAAGTAAATATTACAGTGAATAGTTTGCTGTGTATAATAAAAACTAAAAAATTCTAACTTTCCTTTACAGATTAAATAAACACATAGAAATATTGGATATAGCAAATAGTTTTTCCACTAATTGTCTTTATCATTTCAGAAATGTATTCTGAGAAAAAGCTTAGGACTCTTTATTGAATTATTTATTTAAATTTCAATATATACTTCAGAGTGCATTGATTTGTTAAGCAGGTACTGAGTTCCTGTTCTGTAGTAGGCACATACTGGGAATAACAGGAACCAAACAGATTAGGTTAGATCCCTGTCCTTGAACAGCTTGTATTTTAGTAGGTAAGAGCAGTAAAAGAAATAAGTGAAATATGTGATATATAGTAAGTGTAAAAACAAAAAAAAGAGCCGGGCGTTGGTGGCGCACGCCTTTAATCCCAGCACTCGGGAGGCAGAGGCAGGCGGATCTCTGTAAATTCGAGACCAGCCTGGACTACCAAGGGAGTTCCAGGACAGCCTCCAAAGCCACAGAGAAACCCTGTCTCAAAAAAACAAAACAAACAAACAAAAAAAAAAAACAAAAAAAAAGTACAGCTGGGAACTAGAGAGATTGTTCAGTGGGTAAGAGCATTTGCTGCTCTTGCAGAAGACCTGGGTTTAGTTTCCAACACTCGTGTTACAAGCTCATAACTGCTTGTAACTCCAGTTCAGTTTTAGATGCCTCAGGCACCAAGCATATACATGGTTTATAGATGTACGTGTAGCTCTGGCTGCCTTTAAAATCTGTATGTAGCCAGGCTGACCTTGAAATCACAGAGATCTGCCTGCCTCTGCTTCCAAAGTGCTTGGAATTAAAAGCATACACAACCATACCTGGCATAAATCTTAAAATAATAATATAGCTGGAAATGGTGCTACAAGAATATAATCCCACCACCGAGGAGGCAGAGACAGGAGGTTCATAAATTCAAGGCCATCCTGAGCTATACAGTGAGAGACCTTGTCTCAAAAACACAAAAAAAGAAGGGAAAAAAGAGTCAGGCATTGTGGTCCATGCACTCAGGAGGCAGAGGTGGGAGGACTACTGCAAGTTCATGGCCAACCTGATCTACACCATGAGTTCCAGGTCATGCACAAAGAGTCCTGCCTCAAATACAAAGAAACGCTAGTGTGGCTGGATGGGGACAGCGTCATTGGAATGAGATGGAGAAGTATTAGGAGCATTTCACATGCAGTCTTGGTTATAACAATGGCTTCAGCTTTTATATTGTAAACAGTGAAGGTGCAGCATGAAGGATCTGATACTCTGCCGGAGACATGGGGGGGGGTGCACACGCAATCTACCTGGACCAGTTATTTCAGATCCTCTTCATGGGTTAAAGAGGATAAGTGTTCTTCAGTATGCAGTCAATACATAGTTTTCTATTCAATCCCTGTAGTAATTCTGACTGTCCACTAAACAACTTATTTATTATATCAAAGATGCATTTAATTACTACTTTGAGGCATCGACATTATAAGGTACTTGACATAAGATAAGGCATTGTCCCTACCTCTCAGAGACTCATTGTGAACCTGTGAATGAGGTAAGAATAGATATCCCAGTAAATGGGCCCTGGACTAGGAGCTTCTGCTGTATACTCCAGTGCCCTTCCATGTGGATGATGCTCAGTAAATGTCTGATGAATAAATGAGTGTCTGCTCTGAAAGCCCAGAGCACAAGACAGTTTCTGGGGGTAATAAGGAAGTGTTTACAGAGGATGCAGGATTTGAATAAATAAATGTCTGCTCTGAAAGCACAGAGGACAAGACAGCCTGGTCTGCAGAGCTAGGATACACAGAGAAACCCTGTCTCAGATAAAAGAAAAAAGTGATTTGTTGATTTCTGTAGCTCGTGGGTCCACATCCCTTTAAAGGTTTTCTTTGGAAGAAACAAGTGACCTTCTCTGTGGTACTGGATCGAGGACAGGCTTTAGAAAGGGGCTTTTACCCACCTAGCAATGAAAATACAAGAACCTCCTCCATCAACAGGCAGTGGTGGTGTATGCATGCCTTTAATCCCAGCACTCGGAAGGCAGATGCAGGTGGATCTCTGCGAGTTCAAGACCAGCCTGGTCTACAAGAGCTAGTTCCAGGACAGCCTCCAAAGCCACAGAGACACCCTGTCTTGGAGAAGAAAAAAAAAAGGACCTCCTCCATCACAGTGCATTAAATGTGTGCTGTGCCCCACTTTGGCTCAGTTCTTGCTTCTCCAGGTCGTTCATGACTTGAGGTCAGGATTCTGGAGAGTTTTCTCCAAAAAGAAATATGGGATTCATTTTCCTTTGTGTTCTTTGTAATTATGACAAAAGATGGTCCTTCCTGTTTCCTTTGTCCTGTTTTCTGACTACTTGCTCTCTACTGTTTGCCCTCCTTCCTGGCAGAAAGTCCCAAGGAAAGCTCAGAGCCAACGGGTTCTCCAGCCCCAGTGATTCAACACAGTTCTACAACAGGCCCTAGCAATGGCCTTAGTGTTCGATCTGCAGCTGAAGCTGTGGCCACCTCGGTTCTCACTCAGATGGCCAGCCAAAGGACAGAACTGAGCATGCCCATACAGTCACATGTGATCATGACCCCACAGTCACAGTCTGCGGGCAGATGATGCCTCCCATGATGGAGAGATCCCCAGCCAGAGCTCGCCCGCCTGAGCCAAGAGAGAGATCAACTTACCCTTCCCTTCTGCCTTGGATGTGGCAGTGTGGGAGAGGAAGAAATTGTGTGTTGTGAGTATGGACAGATGTCGGGCTTTTCTGTTTAGCCACATGATCATGTATGCTTGACACCTGTACTAGGGGCTTCTGGCCCCAAGCCACATAGATTATCCCCCCATCAGTGGGGTTTCTTATGTACCTACAGCCAAAGGCCTTTCCATATGGTCTGAGCAATCATCCCTGGCCCTGATGCATGTGTACCTGTCTCTTAACACTAACCCTTGCACTTGTAGGTTTGGGGTTTCTCAGTGTCCTCTCCTCCCATTGAGCTGTGGCTGTTATCTTCTTAATCCTTACTAGCATGCCACTTCCTGCCAGATAGAGGGAGACTAGATTTGATGACATGTTACTTGCTGTCCCAACCCCAGAGGGAGACTAGATTTGATGACATGTTACTTGCTGTCCCAACCCCAGCCACCCCATGCACTCAGGACTTTGTCTCCCAATAGCTACTTATTTATCTTTCGCCCTTTCCTAAATTGCAGTGAAAACATTCACTTACTGAGAATGTAAATCCTTTGATGTATGAAGTAGCAGTATTTTCCACTTCTTTCATGTGCTTTATTCCTTATTTCTATCTGCTACCAAAAACAAACACAAACCAAAAAAAAAAAAAAAAAGTAAAACTCTGAGAGTTTAAATCATTTTTCATTTCCAAATCTGTTGGGTACCTCATTTTGTCTCTTGACTTTCCTTAGTCTAGTGGTGGGGTATTTCCTACCTCCCCACTATGCCTTGGGAACCTCATCTTGTGGCCTTATTGTTAGTGGCAATGAAAAGGGAGAGAGCCTGGGATCTAACTGGGCTTTCCCTGTCTCCTTCCCTACCCTCCAGTTTTAATCATCAGGGCAGACAGGAACAGTGTAACTTAAAACTCGTTCCATCAGGTTACTGGATTAACAATTCTTTTATGTTTTACAATAGTTTACTGGCTAAAGTCTACATATTGTCATCTTTGGTCATCTGTGTCCTCCTTCCTCTCCACTTTGTTCCCATATCCACATCAATGCCTTTTCCTACCATAGCTACTTTAGATCAACCCTCCTGGAGGTTGTCAAACAGGAGCTGCTTTAATTTCTTACTCCTGTTTTTCTCCTCACAGCTCTCAGCCTTCCTTCTTTTTTGAGATATGTCTTATACCCACGAGTGTCCATCTCCTTTCTCTTTCTCTACCTTCTTTCTCTCACCAGGCTCCTACCTTAGCCACTAGGTGTCTCTAGTCCTGAAATTTCTTTGAACTCGTTTTTTGTTGGTGCTGTTCTCTGTCCTGCAAATGTAGTGCTTGTCCAAGGCACAGGCTCAAGGGCTCTGAAACATTGTGGTCAGGGTCCTGAGCGGCTTTTGAGTATAAGAGTGAATGGAGAGAAAAGAGTAAAAAGTATAACCTCAGCAAAGCGCTCAGGATACGGCCTGTCTGCCTGGGAGATTGTTGACTGTGGCTATTGGCTACCCTTATTTGGTGGGTTCAGGGAGAGAAATACACCCCTCCTTTTCCTCATCTTTCCTTGGCTCTGAACTATGAAATCTCTTCCAGAGCCAGAAGCCTGTGGATAGATAGGTCAGCTTTAATAGCTCTTGAGTAGAAAACCCTCCCAGTTGTCCCAGGCTTCTGCCACCTTCTGCCATCTGTTCAAGCCAAGAGTCTTTCTGCCTCCATCTTAAATGTGCAGGGTAACTGCTTGCTTCCTTTTTTATTTTGTCTTCCAAAATTCATTGTCATGGAAAAATAAGAAAATGTTCTACCTTACATGATTATTTCCTCAGAGCTTAGATAGTGAGCCCATCCTGTGACATGTTCTGCTGCATTTTATGTAAGTTTTCCCTCCTCTTTAGGGTCAGTGCTGATCAGGCCACACCCAGTGAAAAAACAGGAGATAGTTTTCTCATTCTCTACTACCAGGGACTCAACAGGAACAGCCCCTGAGATGACAAGGCTAGCAAATGTCACCAGATGGTCAAGGGCAAGTTACCATCCCCAGGGATTTCACTTGGCTTTAGAAATTCACAGCCCTAGTTTGTGCTCAGGACTTCTTTGGATGGCTGTTTCTTGGGTTGTTTTCTTGTTTGTTTGTTTCCTGTGTATAAATTTTCTTTTTTTATTTTAATCTTTTTTGTGTGTGTGTGGTTTTTCGAGACAGGGTTTCTCTGCGGCTTTGGAGGCTGTCCTGGAACTAGCTATTGTAGACCAGGCTGGTCTCGAACTCACAGAGATCCGCCTGCCTCTGCCTCCGCCTCCCGAGTGCTGGGATTAAAGGCGTGCGCCACCAATGCCCGGCTTGTTTTTGTTTTTTAAGATGGGGGTTTCTCTGTATAGCCCTGGCTGTCTTGGAACTCACTCTGCAGACCAGGCTGGCCTTGAACTCAGAGAGATCCACCTGCCTCTGCCTCCCAGGTACTGGGATTAAAGGAGTGTGCCGCCACCACCAGGCTTTTTTTTTTTTTTTTAATTTTCTTAACTTCCTACTAGCAACCTTGCACTAAAGCATGACTGAGTTTATGGCTCCCAAGGAGCCTTCATAGACCATTGGCTATTTTTCTTCTCCCATCAGTCAAGAGTTTTTAAAGTTATGAGTCTGTGTCACTTCATCCATACCCTAACAGCCTACCCCCATGTGGATATCTAGTATATGTGGGGGTTCTTTGTCACTTCCTTTACTTCTCTGGAGTCTTTATTTTCATAGCAGGAAGTTAGTACTGGAGACCTTAATGATGTCAGGCACCACCAGAACTGTAGTAGAGAAGCAACCCTGAAATTAAGAAGGGGCAGGACAACCCCAGATACCTCTGTAGTCAGTTCTCAGTTTTACTATTAAAAAGCAAAACAAAACAGAGTGACTGCCTACAATGAAGCTTCTTTTATAGTCAAGGGAATTGTCACCTACATTATTGCTGCCATTGGTCACTATCCAGACTTATGTGAATCAGAACCAGAAATCATAGAGGGTGTCAATAAATCCTTCTTGATATCCTGTGATATGTCATAGAGGAGTCTCTGGCCATGGCTATTTGGGGTTCTGTGTGCTTCTTGTATTTGGACACCAATTTCTGCCTCTAGGTTTAGGAAATTTTGTGCTATAATTTCATTAAATAATTTGACTGTTCCTTTTGAGTTTGTCTCGGGTCCTCCTTCTACCCCATGGGTTCTGAGGTTTGTTTGATCTTTTGAGTATATCCCAAGATTTTTGGAGATGTTGCTCATGTTAATTTATATATAATGTCTGAATATATTATTGGCTCAGCTTTGTCCTCCATTCCCAAACTGCTTGATCTTATCTCTTGGTGATGCTTTCTGATGAGTTTTTTCACTTATTTCTTTAATGTTAATTTATGTTTGGTTCCTTTTCCATATTTGAATGCCCTCACTAAAATTTCCCTCTATATTTCTGAGTTCCTCCTCTAGCTCACTGTTTTGTTCACTTTGGAGTTTTTTGTATACACTCATGTGTATTTGAGACTTCTATACAGTCATTCGTCCTTTAAAATGAGACTCTGAATTCTTTCTCGGACATTTCAGCCATCTTAGTACTTTTGGTTTCCATTGTTCAGAGTTGGGAAGGAGAACTAGAAAGAACATGGCTCTTAACTTCCTTCCTGCTGATTAAACATCCTAAATCTGCCGCCCCCTCCTCCACTCCTGTCCATGGGTGTCAGCACCAGTCCACATGCTAAAGGGCGCTGTGCAGTGAGCCTTGCCTTGCTGCCTGCCTTCTCGCTCCCATCCTGTAGCTCTTGAGTCCTTTTCTTGATTCACTTCTCCCATCTCAGGGACCTACCCTCCCACACCATCATCCTGAGAGATGGAATGCCACCAAAAAGACACACACAATTCTTCTCTTGCTTCCGAGAGGCTCTATAAAGGTGCTAACTCCTGAGATTATGCCCCCCAGTTTGTCCCTTTCATAACTTTCTTCCCATCCCCAGATCACATATCTATTAATATTTTCTACTATATCCACAAAAAAGAAATGCATTATAGTCAGTCTGTTTACACTCCAGTCTTCTAGCTGTGTCACGCGTGCCTTTGTTGATGACCTCTTCCTTCTTTCTTTAGACATGTTTGTCCAGAGTGAGAGGTCAGAGGAGCAGGACAGATGAGGACCTTAAGGCCTATTAGAAGACCCCACCCCACTACAGTCCAGCTAGACATTCTTACAAATTCTGTTTCTCTCTATACACATGCATGTGCATAGACAAATCCTCCTACTCCAACCAGAGCAGTGACCCCACAGGAATGAGCACAGTGCCTACTGGCCAACATTACCACCTTCTGCACTGTTACTTTGAGGTAAAATCGTACCCCAGAATGAACAGTCTGATGAGAGAGAGTAGGGCAGGTTAAGGCAGCTTATGTCCTTGAGCATGCAAGTTTCTATTTTAGCTACTAGGTGTTTTTTTGGTTTTTGTTTTGTTTTATTTTGTTTTAATGTGGAGCTCATACACTATACCCCAGCTACTGATGAGTAAGGTTTTAGCTGTTAAGTGGCTGTGAGCACTAGTTTCATTGGCTTTACCTTAGGGCAGTGGTTCTCAGAACATGGTCCGAGAGCAGCGTCAGCAGCACCATCATCTGGAGCTTGCTAGAAATGCACACTCTTGGCCATCCCAATCTCCTGAGTTGGACACCCTGAAGGTGAGCTTTAACAAGCACTCTGTGCTTCTAGTTCACACTAATGCATGAGTCCCTGGGGTTTGGGATGACAAGGATTACTTTAAATGTGTCCTCTGCCTTATCATTGAGTTTTTTATTTCCCTCAGTCCCTCCCAAACAGCTACTGCCATATCACTCGTCTCAAATTGTAGGTTTGTCTTCCCTCCAGTCTGAGCTCTAAAATGTTCTCCTGCGTTGTTCTGGACAGGATTTACCATATTCCCTTGCAGGCTTCTCACTCTGAATTTTTGGTTACATTAAGAACCAGCAGGAAAGCTGGGAGTGCTGGGACACTCCTTTGATCCCAGCACTTCAGAGGCAGAGGCAGAAGAATCTCTATGAGTTCAGGGCCAACCTAATCCACATAGGGAATTCAAAGCCATCCAGATTTACACAGTGAGACCCTGTCTAAAAACAAACAACAAAATCAGCAGGCGCCATAGTTGTCCAGTTTCTCCCTGTGTATGTGCTCGCTCTCTCTCTCTCTCTCTCTCTCTCTCTCTCTCTCTGTCTCTCTCTCTCTCTGTCTCTCTGTCTGTCTCTCTCTCTCTCTCTCTCTCTCTCACACACACACACACACACACACCCTCCCTCTCTTGTGGGCAGGGAGATTAGCCTCCACTTCCACAGTGGAGTCTGCTACATCCTGATAAAGTATCTCGTGAGAAGAAAGAAATGTTTATCTATGAATATATCTTTGTTCACCTATATATTTTTGACATGTAGCAATACCTCTCCATCCTCAAGGAACTCAGCTCAGTCTGGGTCTCCCCAGGCTCCAGTGGTAGACCCTGACGGTGGGAGGATACAGTGCTATGGGCTGTTTTGTTACAAAATTGTCTTTTCTCCTTTCCCTCTACCCAATTCAGCATGACCCCTGTGAGCAGGTTCTCACAATCTCTTGGGGCGGGGCTGAGGCAGGGGCTTTGAGCTCATCTCCCTAACCATCCCTTCTTTCTTCCCCCATGCCATTTAGTAGTTATCACCCAGCCTTGCCTTCTCCCTCCGTCCTTTGCCCTGACATATACTGTGCCTTATTTATGCTGCAAATATAACATTAAACTATCAAGAGAATTACTGGTATGTTTCGTGCTTCCCTAATCAGACCCATGGGGCCCCGATCACTCCTGGTGACTAACTGGGCTTTTATGTCTGATCAACCACTCCCTTCCACTTCTTAGGGCAGAAGGAACAGAGTTCTGGTCTCTGCTTTCTGTAAGTAACATGGTGTTACAGAAGGCAGAATTCAGATCTTTGAACTGCCTCAGGCAAGGCATCACCAGAATACTGACTGGAGAACTTAATATATGCTTCATTTAAATGGGGAGTGGGAGTGCCTGAAGACCAGGAACCTTTTCTCTTTCAGTGTTTAGTCATCCATCACCCTTTTCCAACAATTGAAAGGAAGAAAAGTTCCTACTCTCAAGAAAGAGACTGGGAGTGTACACAGAGACAAAGTCAAGCTTTCTATAGAGGGGAGAAAGATCTGGAAAGATGTGCTTAGGACTACGTACTGCTCTTGCAGAGGATCCAAGTTTGGTTCCCACGTCCATGTTGGTTGGCTCATAGCCACCTATAACTCCAGCTCCAAGGGATAAGATGCCCTCCCTCTTCAGGCCTTCACAAGCATGGCACTTACCTGCACAACCCCCTCCCCAACACACACACACACACACACACACACACACACACACACAAAATGAAAAATGGAAGGAGGAAAAAAGCCTGGAAACGTGAGGCAGACTTTGTTTAGAAGCAGATAAAAGCTCACAGGTGATGCTCAAGGGTGAGGAAAGGACAGGTGGTCCACTGGTTCCTCTTGTGTCTGGGTATTCTTTTATGAGTACCATTGCAAGTGAACAGTGAGCCGGGCATTGGTGGCGCACGCCTTTAATCCCAGCACTCAGGAGGCAGAGGCAGGCGGATCTCTGTGAGTTTGAGACCAGCCTAGTCTACCAAGCGAGTTCTAGGACAGGCTCCAAAACAATACAGAGAAACCCTGTCTCGAAAAACCAAAAAGAAAAAAAAAAGAAAGTGAACAATGAGTCAGACTGAAGAACTTGATGAAAGACAGAACAGGCACCCCTGAGGTTCCTGGTAGGACAGTTCAAGAAGTAGATACATTATTGTTGGTCCTCACTGTGTAGGGTTGGCAAGATGGCTCCGCAGTAAAGGCACTTACCACCAAGCCTAAAGCTCTGAGTCTGATCTCGGGACCCCGAGGTGGAAGTAAAGAACTGACAATGTGCTCTCTGACCTCCACATATGCTCTGTGGGACATGTGACTCATCTCACCCCCAGACAAATGAGTAAATAAAGAAGAGGGGAGCACATAGGGGGCTCAAGAAAGAAAGAACACTTGGGAGAGGGCCCAGAGAGATGGCTCAGTGGTTAAGTGCTGATCTTTTAGAGGTCTCAGGTTCAGTTCCTGGTCAGGCAGCTCACAACTGTCTGGAACTCCAACTCCAGAGTATCTTATTCTGGACTGTCCTCCCCAGGTACCTGCACTCACATACATGAGTGCAGACATCCACACAACTAAAAGTAAGTCTTTGAAAAAGGCTAGCCAGGCAATGGTGGCGCACGCCTTTAATCCCAGCACTCGGGAGGCAGAGGCAGGCGGATCTCTGAGTTCGAGGCCAGCCTGGTCTACAGAGGGAGTTCCAGGACAGCCTCCAAAGCCACAGAGAAACCCTGTCTCGAAAAACCAAAAAAAAGAAAGAAAAAGGCCATTAGGCCAGTCTGGTCTACATAATTGCGTTCTAGGCCAGAGCTACAAAGTGAGACCCTATGTTTATTTGGTTGATGTGTTGATTGGTTGGTTGGTTTTCGAGACAGGGTTTCTCTGTGCAACGGCCCTAGCTGTCGTGAAACTCACTCTGTAGACCAGGCACCTGCCTCTGCCTCCTCAGTGTTGGGACTGAAGCTATGCACCATCATTGCCTGGCTAAGACCATGTACTTCAGTAAATAAATAAGAATCCTGGGAGTTGGGAATCCTAAAGCAAGACAGTGAAACAGATTAGGAGGATTAAGTTATGTTGAGGTAGAGGTGCCTACTCCACAGTTAGAAGTCAGCTGGCTTCTTTCTGAATGCAGCTTCAGCCCAGACCCTGGTACACCAGCAGTGTGGTACCCCAGAGTGACTGCTGTGCATTTCTTCCATTTACTGTTCACAACAGCCTCTTGATGACAGGATGCCGTTGTTTGGGTGCTGGAGATTGTGCTCACAGCCTCCAGCATGCAGGTTGCTTCATTTTATTGAGGATGAACTGAAGTTTACAGAAGTCACAGAGTGAATTAAAAGAGCAAAGAGAAAATGCTGAACTCCTGCCGGGCAGTGGCAGCTCACACCATTAATCCCAGCACTCAGGAGGCAGAGGCAAGTGGACCTCAGTGAGTTCAAGACCAACCTGGTCCACAGAGCAAGTTCCAGGACAACTAGGGCTACTCCGAGAAACCTTGTCTCCTGCCAGGTGTTGGTGATACACATCTGTAATCCCATGACTTGGGAGGCTGAGAACAAAGGTCAGCATACTAGGCTACATACAGAGTCCCAATCTTAGAAAACCACAAACAAGTTGGGCACGTGGTGGCACAGGCCTTTAATCTCAGCACTTGGGAAGCAGAGACAAGCGGGTCTACATAGCAAGTTCTAGTACAGCCAAGGCGAAATAGTGAGACCCTGGTTTTTATTTGGGGGTGGGCATTGGGCATTGGTTCTTTTTTTTTTTTTTTTTTTTTTTTTTTTTGGTTTTTTGAGATAGGGTTTCTCTGTATTGCTTTGGAGCCTGTGTCCTGGAACTCCTCTGTAGACCAGGCTGGCCTCAAACTCACAGAGATCCACCTCCTGAGTGCTGGGATTAAAGGCATGCACCACCATCACCTGGCATGAGACCCTGTTTTAAAAACAGACAGACAAGAGAAAAAAAAAAAAACCAAAACAACAGAAAGCAGTGAACTGTTACGATATGACCATAATGAATGACAGGTTCTATGGGAAAATCATGAGACAGAGCTTGCAGAATGTTACCCAAGCCTAGGCTGCACCATTGGATAGATGCATTGTATCTAGGCCATCCTGATAGAAACCCAAACTAGAACTGAGGGTACCCTCTGCAATAGAGCACTTGCCTAGCATACACAAGGCCCTGGATTTGGATTTGATCCCAGCACCACAAAACTAACTAAAAAACACCTCTTATCTAAAACTAAATGTAAGTAGGTTACAATAAAGCACTGCCCCTTGGTCAAAAAAGACAGGGATGAATGGAATGTGTGGAGGGATTTTCATGCAGGATGAAAGATGTTCTGAGACTCCATGGAACAAGCTAAGACCGCTGACGGAGGCCATCGAAAAGCCAAAGCCAGCTCAGCACAGGGAGAAGCGTGTCCAAAGAAAGTATGTGGAGATGGTAAGTTCCCTGGGACTGGAGGGGGGGGGGTTGGAAAGCAAAGGTAATCACATTGACATTTGGAAAATAACCAGCTCTACACTTTGCTACAAAAGGCATCCCAAATGATGCTTCTCATAGTAATTCACTTTACTGTTCCCTTATGTAAGTGAGGACAGCAAGGCTGAGAGTGTGGGCAGCTTGCTTGCTATAGTAAGTCAGAACGCTAACATGGTCCTTCTTCAGTTTAGGCTAGAGACATGACACAATGACACCTGCTAGGCTACAACTAGCTCCTTTGAAGGGCCCTTCCCTGACTGGACTGATTCTATCTTTCCCTGAAGCAGGACCCTAGTCGCTAGCTCCAGTAGCATATTAGATCCAGAGCCAGGCAGAGGCGGTGCTGATGGGAGGGAAGCCCCCAAAGAACTCTGTCCTTAAATCCTCCTAGATAAAAAGACTTGAAAAAGGGAATGGTTGGACCTGACAATAAAGAGTAGTGGCCACAAGGTGGCAGCAGAGCTCCAGCTGTGGAGTCCCAGTTCTCGAACAAAGACTGGCCATCCACATAATTTACAAGCCGCCTCTACTCACTAAGACTCCAAAACCCACCCTGTCCTATAACTCACTTTACTGTCCATAGGTAGATTTTAAGAGTAGGGATTCTATGTTTAACCTCTCTAGAAGGAGCAGGGATTGGGATCCTGCCTTCCCATCCAGGAAATAACACTCAATCCAGTCAGGAACAAGAGTTGATCAATTGAAGCTCTCCAACCTGTTGAAGGATTGGGGGTTCTTATAAGGTTCCCCCAGGGCCTAGCTCTGACAAACCGTCTGCAATTAATGATGCCTCCTGAGCTCTGGAGACAGGATTTATGCATCTAATAAAGTCTATAACTCCAGGCTTAGGCTGGGGTAGGAAACTGAGAGCAGAAAGTCCCCAAGGGGGTGTGGGGGGTTCCCAGGTGGCTCTTAATAGAGCCATGCATTTCTATTGCCTGTCTAGATCCCCCAGGCTGCTGCTGAGGCGGGGGTGGGGGACAGCAGGTATAAGAGGATGGCGTGCCGAGGGAGGTGGAGGGCAGCATGGATTCCAAGCGGGTTGCTGTGCTGCTGCTGCTGCTGCTGCTGCTGGACTGGGGCCACACTGCAGAACTAGGAAGCCGGGATGGAGACCAAGCCTTTGCAGTGAGTGATCACCCTTCCCTGCACCATTTCCTCCTCAGCTGAAACTTGTGATAAGGGTTTGCTGTTTCCAAGCTGCTAAGGCCTGCGTGAAGTATGGCTTCTAAGGGAAATGGCTCCTTAACCTATGCAAGTTGCCCCTGGACGCCATTCTTTTCCCCCATGACTTGTGTCCAGGAGGATATTGCCTTTCCCTCTCCGTCACCCTCTCGTCACAGGAAGAAGATGGGGGACGCTACCCATCACAGTATGCCCAGACTCCTGGGTCCCTCTTGCGTTTTCTGCTCCAAGCCATGGAGAGACCTGGCAGGAGCCCAGCCTTCCTGTTTCAGCCTCAGAGGTGAAGTTCTTCAGGCAGAGGCTGGGAAGGGCGGAGGAAGAGGTAAAGGAAGGTAAGACAGAGGGAGCTTCAACTGAGGATGAATCTCTCCAAAGGTTTGGCAGAAGTGCCTGGGGATCCTGGAGCAAAGAGCAACTAATTCCCCGGGCTAGAGAATTCTGGAGCCTGGCTGCCCCTCAGCGCTTTGGGAAGAAGTAACAGCCTCATCCTCTGTGATGTCTGCATGCAAAATCACCACCACCCTGTGTGCCATGTTTCTCCCCCAAATAAAATGGTCTGGCTTGTGAATGCATGTTTGGACAAGACTTTCAGGGACTGGGTGGAGCCCAAGGGCAAGAAGCATAGCCCCTTCACCTTCACGCAGTCCAACTCCCACATTCTGCTGAAAGGGTCCCCAACTCCCTGCAGCTAGCCTCCTGCTTGCAGCAAAAATAACAGGGAATCAGTAAAATAAACAAACACACCATGTTTATTCCTCTGACAACCACATGACCAAGGGCAGAGAAAGCAGGGTTTAGGAAGCCAAAGAGCAGCATTTATTCTGGACTCCAACAGAATTCCAATTTCCTTTTCATTCGTCACCCATAGAAGGAGAGCAGATCCTGTGCTGGCTGGGGCCCCGTGGTTCATGGCTCCTTGCTTGCCTGTGCCTTCCTCAGTCTCAAGGCAGGCAGTCTGTGCCAGAGGTAGAGACGGCACCTCTGGAGGGCTCCAGAGCATGGTTGATGCAAAAAGTGAAAGGCGTACATCCATCACTGCAGCCAGGATGTTACTTGCTACCGGCCATGATCCTGAGGTACTGGAGGGCGCGGCGAGCAGCCTCACCTCGGGCTGCCTCCCTGGTAGTTGCAGAACCATGGCACACAGTGGCTGGCTGGGTGGACAGTTCCACTAGGCACTGGCAGAGCCCACTCAAGCTCAATTCTTCTAAAAACCAAAAAAGAGGAGGCAGGCAGTGTGGGGGGGGGCACCAAATAGGGCATATGTCACCCTTCTCCTAACCCCTTTATACTTGCTCTGGTCCTGCCCCCTCCTCACCCAATCCCCTAGCTGGCCATACCAATGTCCAGGTAGCTGACATGGAAAGCCTGCTCCTCAGAGAGTTCACTAAGGACATTGCAGCAGGCAGAGCCCAGAGTCCCTAGAGAGCCCACAGAGCAACTCCGAAGGGACAGGATCTTTTCTCCCACAGAATTGCGCAGGGAATCCCAGGTGCAGCCTGGCCCCCGGTTCCGAAGTCCATCCAGGCGGGAGCTCACACCCTAATGAGATGAGAATGAGAAAGCGCTAAGGACTATGGGACCCAAGCCTCTGGCAGGCTCTAACTTCTGCAACCTGGTCTAGTGGCCAAGCAGCCTTCCTCACCCCAGTAAAAGTTGCCCACAGGGCTTTGCCCTAGGCGAGCTTCCACCATGAGTACAGAACAGGTTGAGGAGCTGCTGGGCTCACAAGCTCAAGAAGTCCTGGGGGTTGCTAAGAAGCAGGTCCAGACTCACTTCCAAATCTCCAAATCACAGACCCAACCCAATTCCCACCATGTCCTGCAATGTGAACCACATGGCAGGTCCACACAAGTCACTTACAATGGAAAAATGATCGTCATCAGGTTCCGCCTCGTTGCCATCCCTGGCGTCCAGGGGTACTGTGTGCACTCGAAGCAGCATTTTAGCTGCTGCATTACGCTTTGCCAGCTTTTTGGAAGTGCCACTGCCTGAGTGTGGGGAGGGGATTGTTGGACTTGGGGCTTTCTAACAGGCCAATGCTCCCCCCCCCAGAGTTATACTTAGATTGAGGGTCCCTGCAAAGAGGAGCAGAAGGCTGTCCTTTTAACTGAGAAGCTGGTGGGCCAGAGAGAGGGGGAAAGATAGGTAGGGGCAAGGAAGACACAAGGAGGGAGAGCTGAGCAAGGGGCTGCAAAGCAAAGAAAGCTGGGACAGAATGCAGCTATGCTCAGGGTCAGAGTGAGGCAGAGACAGGAGTAAGCCACCCTGTCTCCAGTTACCAATCTCAATGAAGCGCTCCACTCGGCAGGTCATGGTGAACTCTTTGCGGTGAGCAGGTCCAGACTCCTGGGTCACCATGTACTCTGGCAAACGCCAGCCCTTTTGCACCACAAGTTCCTTCAAAGGGAGACACCGGGAGCCCAAGGCTGAGTGAGGAAAGGCTCCTGAGCCACATGGCTTCTCTTTGCGTGAGAAAGATAATCACCCCTCCCACAGCACACACACCCCTGCCTCAAAGCCCTAGTTCAGAGACAGCACACACGAAAATGAAGATGAGGCACACCTGCAGAGCACCAACAGGGTTGCACTCAGACTGCTGAGGGGAGACAGGGGGCTGCATCTCCATGGGAGGGCTCCTGAAGGAGAAAGAGCCCAGACCAATGCTGAGGAAAATGGGTTCTTCTGGGCTGGTCATGGGCTCAAGTACCCACTGCTACCATCTCCCAATTTCTCACCAGGCAGGCAGCTATATCTGTCCAAATATCCAGTCTTGCTCCCCACACCCTTCCCCCATCAAGCTAACCCCTGCTAGTTCCCAGGGGCATTTTGATGTGGAAATACTTCAGCAGTATCCCCACAACAGAGGTAAAGGGTCTGTACAGTCAGTCCTGGAAGTACCTTCTGGGTCTCAAACATGGGACCTGCTGTAGCCAACTCAGAAAGTGGAGCCTGTAAAATGTTTAAACAATCTAATATCCTTCACATGGCTATTTAAATATCATAAATTACCTATCTCAAGCTTACCAATGAGCTGGTGCACGTTTTTTTCAGCTCTTCATTCTGTGTTTACTTCTCACTCTAACCTGCCTGGGTCCAAGGGCTATGAGGCTAGGGGCCTCCCTCCCTCTGAGATGTCAGGGAACTCAAGGTACCTGGTTAGTATAGCAGATGGAACAGGGACAGCAACTTCTGCAGCAATGACAGGAGTATCCTCAGGCAGTGAAGAGTCTAGGAGAGAAAAAGAACTTCCCAAGGGGAAGGGAGCCTTGGACTCACACCCATGTAGAAGGGAATGGGGTGTGAGGTCCTTCTGACCTTTCCATCCTGAGGGACCCCCCCATCCAGACTCAAGAGAGCCTCAGCAACAGCTCTTCCTCCTGGGGTCCTCTGCTGACCCACACTGGCTCAAAAGCCCTGAGGTGGGGTGGGGGTGGGGCCCAGAAAAGAGAGTTTCTTCCTACCCAACAAGCGCCAACCTGAATGTAGAAGAGGGAAAGTCACGTGGCTAGAACGGGAGCATTTTGGGATCATCAGCCTTATCAGCCGTAGTCTCCACCCTCTATGGCTAACCCCAGCCCAGAGCAGCCACCACCAATCAAAGGGGCTATTACCCTAGAGGCACCCTAGAGGAAATTCTCAGGAAGGGTGGCCATGAGTCACCAGGCCATGGCTTAGGAAGAGAAGTAGGTGGTGAGGAGGCCTGGTTCTCAGCAGAGCTTCTAGTGTGCCTTGACTCTTCCTCCCTCACCTGCTGTCCTCCAGGGCTGGTTCCAGCATGCTCCCCCCTTTGAGGTGTTTGAGGGCCACCTCAGCTGCCTTGTGCTTGGCTGCCTTCTTGCTGGGGCCCTGACCTAAGAAAAGGGGGTGTGGGCAATACTGGAGGTCACCAGCAGGACAGCAGAGAAACCAGCCCCCACAGCCTCTCTCCTTACAGCCAGGGGGAGTGAACAGCTCTCTGACCAATCTCCCCTGCCAGACTGAAGGGTTCTGCTGATTGCTGAAATAGCCTTTGTCCTAGTTAGTTTTAACTGTCACCTTGGCACAACCTAGAATCATCTGAAAGGAGAAGGTTTACTGAGGAATTGCCTAGATCAGACTGGCCTGTGGACATGTCTGCGGAGACTGTTTTGGTTGTTAATTGAGGTAGAGATGCCCAACCATTGTGGCACCGTCCCTTGGCAGGCGGTCCTGAATGTGGAAGCATGGAGCATCTGCCATGGTCTCTGCTGTGCTTCTGTGGCTGTGAAGTGAGTTCCTTGGTCAGCTGTAATGTTGTGTGGGGCAGCAAGGACCAGTTTCTCTCTCTGCTCTGTGGATATGAGCTCCTACCTTCCCCACAGTGATGACTGTAAGCCAATCGAGCCTTTCCTCCCCTAAGCTGCTTCAGCTCAGGTGCTTTATCACAATATAAATGGCCTTGAGCAGCCCTTATCTTTCAGTTAGCTCCCATAATTAAGTCATGCAAGGCAGGACTTCTGAGCTCCAACACTGGGGAGAGGGGAGGTGTCTTCCTGTTCTCTGCACAAGCACTTCTTTTCCCTCGATAAATAAACAAGCAATAGAGACAACAAAGGATCAGTTCTAAAGTCAAAGCTCCACTCTGCCACTTATTAGGAATGCTCCACTCATGGGTCAGTCATGCTCAATATGGGACATGAGGCCAGTGCTCCCCCAAATACCCATGGGGAGTTCAGTGTCTCATCTACTTTTCATCTAAGGTGGTAAGAGTAGCAGATCCCTGTGACATTTCCTGTTCTCACCAGTCAATCTCTCAAGTCCTATCCACCTTCAGACGGTGGCTTTCCCCCTGAAATCTCTCCATCCCTCCCTGGCCTTAAAGGAGAGGATGTGAAGCGATTCCACGATATTAAGCCACGGTCCTATGAATGCACACCCCAGCCAGGCTGCCCAAGCCTTCCTCACCAGTGCAGCTGGTGTCGCCAACGGTGACCCGGAAGGTGAAATTAGGCTGATGGGCTTGGCCCTCGGCTTTGAGAAGGTCGTACACGGGCGTCTTTCCTATTCTGGTCCCATACTCCTGAAGAAGGCTGATCGGGGTCTTGCCCGGGTTGGCGGCCAGCATTTGCTCTATGCTGGGAGGGAGGGGCACAGACCAGTATCACACTTCCCCTTTCGGCACCCACCTGACCAAGCACTGTCACATTCGACCTAGCCACATTATAGGGCCATGGATCCCCAGGCAGTATAGCATCCATTGCCTGGGCTAACAGTTAAGGCGCAGGAAGGAGGGAAAGCAAGGTCCTCAACCCCAAGACAAGTCGAAAATGTACTGTTCTCAGTTAAGGCGAGGGAGCCTGTGCCGTAGTGCTGGTTGGACATGCATTTCCCCCTGGCACAATGGAATTCGGGAACCCAGTACCCACCAAAAGCACTGAACATCGGGGCTTAAAGCTTCAGTGCAGTCTGGGAATCAAGCCAACCCCAAACTAGAGCTGGAGGCGGTGGCCACCGGCCCAGTGCATGCCGGGAACCTCTGCCCACTACCCCAGTGCTTGCTGGGAACAACCCTCAGGCCAGGTGCATGCTGGGGCTGCGCCGCTACCCTCCGCACCGCCTCACACTTTTCGTCCTGCAGGAGTCGAAATGAGGCAACTCACCTGGGCAGCCCGCAGCCTGTGGTAGTGCCGGAGCCCTGCTCCTCTTCACTCATTCCCTCCTCCGTCCCCGCGGGCGCCACCGTGACTACAGCCTCCACGCGCCCCAGTACACCGCCGACGAGCTAGGGCCGGGGCCAAGCCCGGAGTCGCGGCCGGTAGGGCCCGCCGCGGGGCATGCTGGGATCTGGAGTCCCCCGCCCATCCGACTCCTTGTGTCTTCATCAGGAGTCGAGCTACCCGCCCCACAACTCTCCGCGTGGCTCGCCCGGGCGCCTGCGCCGCCCTCTGGGAGGAGCAGATCCTCCACGGAAGCTTCTCAGCCTACCAGTGGTTTTTGTTTTCTAATGTCGTCCCGCCTTCTTCCTTGCGCACTGCCTCCTCCCAGGCCGAGACTGTGAGCATGCGTACTAGCGGGGTGGAGGCGGCTGGGGGCGGGGTGGTAAGGGCTACAACCCTCAAAGAACTACAAAACCCAGGTGTCCACGCGCCATCCGGTCGCCGCCGCAGGCTTCGCGGTTTCATTGGCTGTGCTGAGAGCGACTTCCCAAGGCGCTTTTCGATTGGTCACTTGGCCCAGAGGGCGGGGACGGGGGAAAAGGTATCGACTTCTTGAGGAAGGGTTGTAATTGGCGGAGGAGGCTGCTGGCGTGTTTCTTTTGCTGCCCCAGAGGGTGGACATCACCTGGCCGCCCCCACCCCAGAGCTCTGGGGCTGTTTAAGTTTTTTCAGACGCTGTCTCCCCAGGAACCAGTCTGAGTCCTAGGCGCCTCGGGCCTCCGTATCAAAAAACCTGCTTTTCTTTTTTTTTTTTGTGGCTTGCCCTTCGCCCCTCTTCATTAACTTCACGCAGCCTGTCAGACTCTTTAAATAGGCCCTAGTGAACCTTTCTTTAACTGTCCGGGAATCTAGGGCCCGAGAATCATTAGATGAACCTTCTGCTGTATTCTATAGTCTCAGCTGAAAGAACACGGGAGTAATTAGCGAACTAAATTACGCGCAGAGTAAACAAGTACTTTGGATCCCCAAAGTCTTGATACCACCGGAGTGCAGAATGTAGAGGAAATTTTGTGACCTTGGACAGAGTAAAAAAGAGATAGATTCCACGAAAAACGTGGTTCAACGAGTGTTTTAAGAATGGGTCTAGGAAGATATGTCTTGCTAAGAAGGGGCTGGAGGTGAGGAATCTTGGAATGATAATCAGGGGTCATCCAGGAGCTCTGAAGTGGGAAGGGACTTACGACTGAGTGGATTCCAACTGGGTGAAACTGGAGCAGTGACAAGGGCAGACCAGCTGGCGATATTGGTGTGAGAAGGGACCAACGCCAGAGCGTTGCTATCTGAGGAGCTGGTCTCTCGGGGTATAGGAAAGAGTCTGTAAGACAGGTCACAAGCGGTTCTTACAGAATCTGCATGAGGCCCAAAGTGGGACTGCCGTAGGACACCTCCAGGAAGGAGGCACAGAGCCTCGGCGAGCCAGGAACGAGCCTGGAGCGCGCCGGATGGCAGCCGTGGGCTCCTTTAAGAGGCCGGCGGCTCCAGCGCAGCATCCCCCGCTCAGGGCGTGTCCGTCCCGGGGGGCCAGGGGCGGGGGCCTTGGAAGGAGCGGGAGTTCAAGTCGAGTGGGGACGGGGCTTAGAGTAGAGGGGTGGGGGCCAAAAGCTGGGGCTGACACCCGAGCACCTGTGCTCCGCACGAGCATCGCCGGTGACAGCGCCCCGGGTCCGGTGGAGGGCAACGGGGGGAGGAGGGAAAGAGGAGGAGGAGGCGGGAGCAGCATCCGGAGCCGAGCTGCTGCAGCGCCGCCTTTTGTGCTGCGGCCGCGGAGCCCCCGAGGTGAGAGCCTGGGCGAGTTGTGGGGGTGGGGGGCAGAAATGGGTTCGGGTCTTGGGATCCTTGTATGGAGGGAGAGTCGGGATACAATTGTGGCATGGTGGGGGAGGTGACTCGCGGATGCTGAGGCTGTGGGATGGAGGAACTGGGGACCTGGACCCGACGCCTGGAGATTGGAAGGAGCAGGGCGAAGCGGAGGGATGCGGCGGCCCAGCTTGGAGACCAAGAGCCTCCTGAGCTGTGGTGGATTATGTGGGGGTGAAGGTGGCCAGGGGAAGACTCAAAGGACAGCACGTCCTCTTTTCTCCTCACCCTCAAGACCCAGAGAAGGAGAAGGGAGAGTCGTGGCCCTCTCCAGGGAAGGAAAGGAAGGGCAAGGCCTAATGTTCCCACTGCCCCCCTCCCCCACACCTGCAGCTCTCATGCTCCACCTGAAAATTAGACTGCACCCATTCCTGCATGCCCTGGCGGGGTTCTCTCCCCTTCCATCTGTAATGCCTCTAATCTGCAGCTGTGGCATTCCCTACCATCCAGCTGTTGCACCCTCCCCCATTTGCATGTGGCTTTCTCTCTCTAGCCTGCTCTCTCCTCTGGCTTCCCTAACCCATTTCCCAGGTCAGGTGCTTCAGAAAGGCCCTCCCTTTTCTCACACACTCACCAAACTCCTTGGCTTACAACCTTGATGGCTAAGGCTTTGGCTGAGGGCAGGCTCCATAAGCAGTAGTAGGAATGGAGGGAGGAGTCCTGCAGGTCTCTATTTGCTGCCTCTTTGGCTTTCAAGCAGGAGAGCAAGCACTTGAGGCCTGCAGTCAAGCGGGTGCCTCACGCTAAACCTCCTCTCTTGCAATTCTCTGGGCTGCCTCCATGGTTCTGGGAGCTCTGGTTTCCAACCAGAGGGTCATCCTAAGCTTACAACAGCTGCAAGGATTTGGGAAGGAACGAACCCAGTGCTCCCTGGGCCTTGGGTCCAGAGATTGAAGTTTCCAAGTTCAAGAGCCCTTCTTCCTTTCGTGTCACATTTAATGAGGGGAAGGTGTCTGGGCCCCGAGCTAGCCCTAGCCAAGGTTTATCACTCATGAAGTCCTCCATCATTGGTAGAAGAGGTGTGGCCCAGGATTTCCTAGGCTTCATCACAGTGGCAAAAGCCCTCCGAAAGGCAGTCAGTGCTCTGAAGATGCATCCAGGGGAGGCGTGGTGGTAAGATGATCGAAGCCCCGAATTCTAGCACACACTTCTGCTTCTGCTATCCATGCCTAAGGAGTAAGAAAACTGGGGACGCAGCTTTTCTGGGAGTCCTTGCATGGGTGCGAGTAATCTGTTGAAAGGATGCCAGCAGAGGACATGGTGGCTTGGGGAGAGTTTATCCACTTGCTCCCAGAAAGCCTGGTCATGTGTCCATTGGAGAGTGGCAACATGGCTGTGGAGGAGCAGCTCCGGGACGGAGCCCCCGCCCCTCAGCTTGTTTCTTCATGCATTAGGGATTGATCCCGGGGCCTTACACATTCTGGGCAAGCTCTCTACCACCAAACAACACCATCAACTTCTTTTTCTACAAGTTTTATTTTGAGACACAGTGCCACTAAGTTGCCCAGTCAGGGCTTGAACTCTAAATCCTCTTGCCTTTGCCTCCTAAATAGCTGGGCTTTTGAGGTCTGTACCTGGCAGACTGCATTTTCCTTTGTATTTTTTTTTCAGCTGTTGTTTCTCCGTCTCCTTTCTTCCTGTATCTTCGGTATTACCTCTTGTTTTGAGGAGGTAAAGGGAGCAAGAATTGAGTGTGGTGGCTGGTGCACAGTGGAGGCAGGTGGACACCAGTTTAAGGTCAACCTGGTGTACATAACAAGTTTCAGGGCAGCTGAGGCTACGTATAGAATCTGTCTCAAAAAACTAAAAAGAAAGAACTTCGTATCTGGGAGTGTGGCTCAGTTGGTAGGGTTCCTAACAAACATGCATGGAAGAAGCCATAAACAAAGCCTGAGATTGATCTCTAGCACTGGGTAAAGCTTTGGTGTGGTGATTCACTTCCCTTATCCTACAATGGGTGGTAAAGACAGGACGGTCAGGAGTTCATGGTCGTATTTAACTACATAGCAAGTTCAAGGCCAGTCTGGGTGACTTAAGAAAAAATTCTTTGTACTTTGTCTGAAACATCCTGACTGTTGTTTATAGAGAGGATCCCTAGTGCCAAGAGCTTCTGATTACCTCAATAATTTGTATAATACCATTAAGTTATGCTGTTATCTCAGCGTTAGGTATAAAGAGACTGAAATGAGTTAGTTATTCAAGACCAGTTAGCCAGTCTGCCACATAACCAATAATGCAAGGAAGATGAAAAGTCTGAGTCTGGCACAACAAGAAAGCAAACACCTTTAATCCTAGGACTCAGGATGCAGAGGCAGGCAGATTTCTAACTTTAGGAATAGCAGGGGCTACATAGGGAGAGCCTGTCTCTCTCAAAACAAACAAAAAGGAGTCATCATGTGACTGGAGCAAGGCCTGTGCTCTTACCCAGGCAGCTTGTAAACTGACATAGGTGCCACTGCCCCTTAGATGCAAAACCAGCTTTGTTAGCAGATCTCATACTGCAGGGCACCCAGCCGATCAAAAGCAGGAATGGCGTCCCAACAGGACCTCTGTTGGTCCTGAAGCCTGTGGCTCCCCCAAGCCTAGGAGAGGGACAGGAATAGATGGGCATTACACAAGTTTCATTTCTTTTTTACGATTAAAAAAAAAGTCATGTAAAATAAAAACACTTTTTTGTTGTATTAAAGGGAACTCAAAATTATTACTGCAATAATATAGATAAGCCAAGGAAGAGAATTGATAAACTATGTGTGTTGATGCATGCCTGTAATCCCAGCACTTGGGAGAAATAGGAGTTCAGGTCCAGCTTGGGCTATATGAGACCTTGTCTTATTTAAAGAAGAAAATAGTTGAAATACTCATAATTTCTCCTGTCACCTTTTTTAAGACAGGGTTTCACCATGTAGGTTGGCCTTAGCCTCTGAGTTTACAGGTAGGTTTCAACTCATATGGTTCATTTCAGATATTTTAACCTGCAAATTCAGCACTGTGGTATATATTAATTACATCCAGCCACTTTCAGGCCTGGCTTACTGTAGGGAGACCCTGTGGCCCAGGCCTTGCTGCTCCTGCTCTCTGCTTCTGTGATCTTCCTGAGCAAGGCTGATCAAAAGAGAGGTTCAGTGAGTCACTACTTAAGTAAACAGACCCCCTAGGGAACCAGCTAGGGGATGAGGATGAGGTGCAGGGTTCAGCCTTCCCCGAAGTTTGCAGAGGCCCACTGTCATATGACCACTGACACCTGAGATTATCATTGCCCTGGGCTGTCAGAAAGTCTGAGACAGTCTTCCTTTTTTCTGGTTGGAGATAAGAGCTGGTCTGACTCCCTGGGATCCACAAAGAAAGACCTGTGTCTAGGTAGGTGGGAAGACAGCAGAGGCAGGAAGGTGGCGGGCATGGCTCACTGTTCCCCTACCTTTTCCTACCCCTCCTCAGCCCTTAAGGCCAGAGAGAAGTCTCTGAGAGTCAACCTCCGAGGGCCTAGTGCAAGGCTGCTGTCATGGCTGTTTTCCCTCTAAACCCACAGCTGGCTCTTTGTCCCTACGCAGCACTGGCCCCTTCACTCCTTCCCAAGGTCCCTAAGAGAGTGGGAGTCCTTTCCATCTTGAAAGAACTCTGAGGTAAGGGTTGTGGGTCTTGTCAAAAGGATAATTAACAGGGCTCCATCAGAAACCTCCATCCTTCAAGGGTCTCAAAGCCTTCAGGATAGAGAACCAAGATTCCCAAGTCATGCTCACTTTCTCCTCTGCAGCTTCTGTCTTCCAAGGTGGAACCTCTCAGCCTGAGAGGAAAATGAGGTCCAGGCAGGAAGAGAGAGTTGAGTGTGAGAATGCAAGGCATAGACAGATGGGCACACCTGAGCAGAGAGCATCCAGGACTGGCAACTAGACAAGCTGTTGGGTTCTGTTGTTAGACCAGGAGGGAGCTAGAATAAAGTTCACCTGCCTTGGCCTTGTCTCCTCCAGGCCTAAGAAGAATGAGGAGTAGGTGAAGGGGCCCTGAATGAACTGGTAGATAAAGTGAGGGACCACTCTGTTCCCTCAGTCAGACACACATCCTCAGGCCACATTTGGTCCTGTAGTTTAGAGTGACTGACAGAAATCCTTACTCTATGACCCTAGGCGCTGCATAATTGATGGCCAGGGAGACCGGTCCCCTCCCCCAGGGTGACTGAATGTCTGGGCCTGGGGCTTCTAGTCTGCCACCCACAAAGCTCCGGCGCCAAGACCCAGCTGGGGAACAGTGAGGCACAGCTGGTGGGTCAGGAATAAAAGAAGCAGAAAGGGGGACATTGGCTGGGAAGAGGAATCTCCCGTTTACCATGGCTCCCTGGGGGCCTTCAGCTCTCCCTATGTTCTTTCAGGTCAATCTAGAAGAGCTGTCATTAGCCTGAGGGGTGGTAGGGTACCCGAGCATGGGTCTCGTCTCCAGCTGCTTCAGCTATTCCCACTGCCCTAAAAGGCGTGCAGGTGGAATGACTCCTCAGCTCTCCCCAGCTGCTGGCCCTGGATACCACAGGGCCCTCTGGGGCTCCCTGTGTGATCTGAGGGAGGCAGAGCTGCAAACGGATTCTGAGGATGACATCCTCCGCATGACTGTAACCCAGATGATGCCAAAACCAATAAAACCTGAAGGTTGTGGGGTTGGATACGTAAAACTCAGATTCTAAATAGGAAACAAACTAGGAAAGGGAAAGCTTGTCTGTGTTTTTCATCCCCTTTTCGTCTCCATCTTCCCAGGGTTCTGTTTTCCAAAACTAGCTTTTCAGGCCCTCCTCAGTCTCGCACCCAGTTCCTTTGAGTGTTCCTTTCCTTTCTCCCCATCACCATTTCTTAACCTCTGTGTGGTACTGAACCCCCAGGCAACCCTACGAGTCCTCCCCTTGCCATTCACTTTTCCTCCACCAGATGCTCAGTACAAGTATCTGCGCATGCGGGGGTCGGAGGAAGATGGGCTTCAGGGGACACACGTGGGGCCCACTGAGGCACGCACCTGCCTGTGAGCAGTCAACACTGCCTCCACTCTTGAGCCTGCCCAGGTCAGGGGCGGGCTCCGGCGGGGCCCCTCCTCCGTCCCCGGTTCACGTGACCCTAGGCTAATCTTGTCCCGGTGACTTCACGGGCCCAGTCGTCATGGTTACGCCGCAGCGCCCAGCCCTTCCCCCAGCCGGCTGTGCTCTCTTCTCCCCTCCTGGACCCCTCCTACCGCCGCGCCCCCAGCCCCGCGCCACGTGACTGTCGGGAAAGGAGATCCGCAGGGGAGGGGGAGCTGTGGCCGTAACCTCTTCCACTCGGCTTGTGGTGGTGCGGTCACTGGTGGCCCGGCGGTCCAGCAGGTGGGCCGAGAGCATGCGAGAGCCCCAGCCTTGGGACCGCGGTGAGAGAGGCAGAAACCTTGGGGTCGTTTGCAGGAAATTCTCCTGTGTGTCTACAGGCTGGTGTGTGTTTGTAATTTATGTTATCGTAGACAACCTCGCTCTCGAAGCCGCAAATTTCGTGGGATATGTTGGCAGTTCAGAGGCTGTGGTTCCTGATTTCCTGACCTCGGTTTTCTCTAGACTATAAGAGAACTAATAATGCCTTATGCCACGCTGTCCTGAGGATTCAGGCAACTGAGAGATAACACAGGGCATGTGCTGTCCTGGGAGGGTAGAGCAGCCAATTCAGGTGGCAACGAGCCTCGAAGCTGGAAGCTCAGGGCCTTGCCCACTCAGAAGGGCATTAACTAGACAGGGTTGAGACTGCACGGGAGACTTACGGGTGAAAGTGAGGCTTGGAAGACAAAAAGGGATAAACGGCTCACCTGGGGGTAATCTTGATGGCTGTGGCGCCACCAACAGATAATTACTTCTGTGTCTGTGCTAATGCCAACTGTATTTGTATAATTTTTAGTTTCTTCATTTCATATCTTTTATGTGTGTGTGAGAGCCTGTATGAGCTTATGGCACTTCGCGTGTGCAGGGCCTTGGATCCCCTGGAACTGGAGTTACAGGGGGTTGTGAGCTACCATGTGAATGCTGGGAACAGAACTCCAATCATCTGCAAGAACAGTAAGCACTCTTAACCCCAGCCATCTCTCCAGCCCCTTGGCATATATTATCATGACATTTTAATATTTGTATATAATGTACTTGATCACCCATATTCCCCATAACCCTGGTCCCATTTTCCTCCACTTCTTACTTACACCCTTCCCTAGCAATACTCCTTCCATTGTCACTTTTTTTGTGACCCGGAGTTTAATTAGGTTTGCTAATAGCCTAAATTCCAGTTAATTTACAGTAGCATGGGCATCTTACCAGTGGGTATGCCATCAAAGAATGTTTTTTCCTGTCCTCAGCATTTATCATTTAGCTGCATTTATCATTAGCTACATTTATAGTCTCAGTAACAGAGGGCCAGAGGGAGGAAAAGTGTTGTGGTACTGAGAGCCCTCTATACCCCAGGACTGCATGTCGACATATCCAATATTGTGCAGGTCTTGTGCTAGGAATCACCGTATCCCTGTAGTTTATGGGCTTTCTGTTTTTTTATTTTGTTTTTGGAGACAGAAGGTTTCTCTGTGTAACAGCCCTGGATGTTCTGGAACTCACTTTGTAGACCAGGCTGGCCTCAAACTCATAGATACCAGCCTTCCTGTGGAGTGCTGGCATTAAAGAAATATGCCACCATGCCCAGCTGTTTATTTTAAAAACAAAGTTTCACTCTGTAGCCCATGCTGGCCCAAAACTCACACTGAAGCCAGAGATAATCTTGAACTTGTGGTCCTCTCATTGCATGCTAGGAAACTGGTGTGTGCTGTTGGAGACTGAACTCAGGGCTTCTTCCTTGCTACACAAGTACTCTACCAGCTGAGCCACATTCCCCAGCGTTGGTTCCTTAGTGTCACATTGTGTTGAGGGTTAATTGCAGCAGTACACTTTATACTAAAGGCTAACATAATAGTAACTTTCTGAAAAGCTCACATTGTCTTTGGACACCTTAATTCAGAGTCCTGATATAGCTTAGTGCCTCGGGTGGCCCGGCTATCAACAGAAGGGAGTCGCTAAGGGATCTGAAGCACAGACAGGGCTGATGAGTTTTATGCTCTGGATCTTTCAGAAGCTGAATGGGAAATTAAGAGAGAACCTAAGAGGCATTTGTCCTAGGCCAGGTTCTGACAGCTAATGAGGCTTCAACTAAAGCAGTAACAGGACTAGAGAAAACAGAATGACAATATGTAATATTTAATACTTAATTTTTTTAGATTTATTGAACTTTATGAATATTTTGCTTGCATTCATGTATGTGCACTGAGTGGGTGCCTATTGGATCCCCTAGAACTGTGGTTACAGGTGGTTGAGCCACCATGTATGTGCAGGGTTTCTCTGTGTAACAGTCTTGGCTGTCCTGGAACTCTTTGTAGACAAAACTGGCCTCAAACTCAAGAGATTCGCCTGCCCCTGCCTCCCAAGTGCTGAAGTTAAAGGTGTGTGCCACCACTGCTTGGTCCAACTAAACCTTTTTTTTTTTTTTTTGGTTTTTCGAGACAGGGTTTCTCTGTGGCTTTGGAGGCTCTCCTGGAACTCACTTTGTAGACCAGGCTGGCCTCGAACTCACAGAGATCCGCCTGCCTCTGCCTCCCGAGTGCTGGGATTAAAGGTGTGTGCCACCAACGCCCGGCTGGTCCAACTAAACTTTTAACCAGCCTAGCAGGTAGGATTTTCAAGTGTGGTAGTCACAGGATAAATAGAGGTGCTTGTTACCTGTGCAGATCCTGAACCTACCCAGTGAGTCTTCAAGAAAAAGGACTGCAAATGGTGTTAGGCCAGCTGAGACTGTCAGTTTTCCAAATGTCCTTTATTTGTACATCAGCTCTGAGCATAGATAACCCTCCACAGCATCCCCTACACACTGTAGTTCACTCCCAGATGGCTTCAGGGACTCAAAGACTTGTCTCAGGAGCCATGAGAGGGATCTTGATCAGGAAACCCCATTCCTCATCCTATGGGGCTGGGCTGGGCCGGGCATTGGTGGCGCACGCCTTTAATGAGGCAGGCGAATCTCTGTGAGTTGGAGACCAGCCTGGTCTACAAGAGCTAGTGCCAGGACAGCCTCCAAAGCCACAGAGAAACCCTGCCCAAAAAAAAAAAAATGGGGCTGGGAGAACAGTATGACTCTTGGTGTCAAGTTCTAAAGGAAGTCTGAAAAGTTGGGAGAGTTTGCTGTGCCTGAATGCTAGCTAGTTCTGCTCTATGTATAACTGGAGAAGTTGGGACTCAGCTATAATTTTCCTGAATCAAATGTAAAATTTAGAGTTTGTTGCTATTGTTTCTATAGTGCCAGCTAGGGACTAGACCCAGGAGCTGTGCCTATTTGTGTGGCATTTTGGTTTCTCTCTCTTTCTCTGAGGTAGACTGGCATCAAGGTCAGGATAGATACTCTTCCCTGTGACTCTTATACCACTAGGCCCAGCTGAATTTTTGGAGACAGATTCTTATGTAGCTCAGGCTGGCCTCAGATTCACTACTTAGCCAAGGATGATATTGAATGTCTGATCTCTTGCCTCCGCCACTAAGTGCTAGGTTATAGGCCTGTGTGCCTTGCCCAGATTTATGCAGCCCAGTGCCTTTTGCATTTTAGACAAGTACTCTATCAAACTCAGTCACATCCTCAATCCATCCATTGTTTTTTCCAGACAAGGCTTCTCTGTGTAGCCCTGGCTGTCTCAGAACTCACTCTGGCCTCAAACTCAGAGATCTGTCTGCCTCTGCCTCCCTAGTGCTGGAATTATAGGTGTGCACCACCACCTGGTCTAGACTTGTCATTTTAATGGTGCTATTTAAATAGCACACAAATAAGCACACAGCTATGAACTGGAACATATATTTCTGTTGCCTAGAAAGCTGGATCTTGGTTTGGGGACCTAGGGAACAGGATGATAAGGAAATGAAAAAAGAGAAGAGCCCTCTTTTGACTTCCAGAAAGCAGCTGGTGAAGGTAGGGCTGGAGAATGAAGCTGAAGGCCTTAGCCTCACACCAGCCCCAGAGATAACCCCCCTCCCTTGCCAGCTGAGATGATATGAAGGGATAGCACAGCTCTGTGGTTATGGTTCTGGACATGATCACATTCCATTGGAGAGAACTGAGTGGTTGATACCTGTAAGCATAGAGAAGAGAGAAGGACCCAGATGTATGTCCTGAATTGAGTGTTCCTGAGAAGGTTTTAGTGACTGTTGACTAGGGAATGCCAAAAACATCTGAGTGTAAAATCCTACTAGTGCCATGTATGATTCAACATGACGGAGGTTTAGGTGTGTGCCTGAGCTTGAGATCCAGCTAAAAGTGTCTGAAACACAGGCTGGGTTTAGTGGCACATACCTTTAATCTTAGCACTAGGGAGATAGAGACAGGCAGATCTCTGTTAAGTTTAAGGCAAGGTTGGACTACATAGAGTTCCAGGACAGCCAGACCTATATCCTGAGACGTTGTAAACAAAAGAAAAAAAAAAGTGACTCATGACATCTGTAACAGAACCTCAGCTGACAAGAATGGGTGCTGCAAGGGTTAATGACAATTCCATAGCATAGAGGAACTATTATTGCAGCTGCTTTGTTAGTCTCACTATACAAACCGTGGGGTTCAGATCCACCAGGCCCTGCCTCCCAAGTGCTACTATAAATTTTTTTTTCACAGATTTATTGTGTATTGGTTTCTACCTGTATTTATGCGAGTGCACCATGTATGTACAGTGAATGACTGGGAAGGCCAGAAGAATGTTTTGGATCTCCTAGAACTGGAATTTCAAATGTTGTTAGCCATGAAGTAGATTCTAAGAACCAAAGCCAGGTTCTCTGCAAAACCAGCAAGTGCTCTTAAGTGCTTACTCCAGCCCTTACTTTTGTATTTGGTTTTGCAGTGTTGGGCAGGAAACCCAGGCACTCAAGTATTAAATGTTGGATGGTGAAACCTTGTTCACACCACCACTGCTTTTTCTTTTGCAGCAGTGAGTTGGGTCCAGTACCTTATACATGCTGAGTTCTTTATATTCTATTACTGTAGCCTTGGGGTTTGATACTGAAAAAAACTTTTGTTGGCATGTGTGTCTAGTGCACAGGTGGAGGCTAGGTTGACTTTTGGGATCTGGCTGTCTCCTTCCACTGAGGGACTCAGGTCTCCAGGCTTGCACAGCACTTTTTACCCACTGAGCTATTTAATTTTTTTCTCTGGCTTTGGAGGCTGCCCTGGAACTCACTCTGTAGACCAGGCTGGTCTTGAACTCACAGAGATCCACCTGCCTCTGCCTCCCAAGTGCTGAGCGTAAAAGTGTGTGCTGCCACCACCTGGCTTCTTTTACTTTAACCAGCACCTGAGTGGGTTTGTTACTTCTCTTTGCTTGATGATACTCAAGTATATTACTGCATACCAGAGTATTGTATCACTGATACCAAGAGGAAACTCAACTGAATTAGGTTTCCCATAGGGGACTGAGAATGATACTCAGGTCAACTCTAGCTAGGTACTACTATAAGCTAGATTGTGGCTGTGGCTGACGGCCCCTCCCTCCTTAATTCCTCACAGGGCCCGCTGCTCAGCACACCTGGCTCCAGAGGCCATGGCTTGCCTCCATGAGACCCGAACACCTTCCCCTTCCTTTGGGGGTTTTGTGTCTACTCTGAGTGAGGCTTCCATGCGCAAGCTGGATGCAGACACTTCAGACTGCACCCCGGAGAAGGACCTGACTCCTACCCAATGTGTACTTCGAGACGTTGTGCCTCTGGGTGGACAGGGTGGGGGAGGGCCCAGCCCCTCCCCAGGTGGAGAGCCTCCCCCAGAGCCTTTTGCCAATAGTGTGCTGCAGCTACATGAGCAGGATACAGGCGGGCCAGGGGGAGCTACTGGGTCACCTGAGAGTCGAGCATCCAGAGTTCGAGCTGATGAGGTGCGACTGCAGTGCCAGAGTGGCAGTGGCTTCCTTGAAGGTCTCTTTGGCTGCCTGCGCCCTGTCTGGACAATGATTGGCAAAGCCTACTCCACAGAACACAAGCAACAGCAGGAAGGTAGCCCAGGTCCCTGAAAAGTACCCGCTATTCCCTTCAACAGTGCCACCAAACTTACCCATCCCCTTTCCCTCTCTACTACCCACCTACACAGGTTTTCCCTTTACATCTTTTCAAGCACTGGGATTAAACACATGTTAGACAAGTGCTTTACTGCACAGCTGAATCCTTGGCTCATCATTATTTTCTTCCACTGAACCCAGGAATCCTAGGTTTTATACATGCTGGCTAAGTGCTCTACAAAATTAGCCACACCCCTAGGTCCACCCAGCTTTCTACAAGGCCACCCCAATTATCTCTTTTCGGCCTACGTTGTCTCATCACTGACATATTCACCCAACCCTTGAGTGTCTCACAGGGCCTTCAGTGCTGCCCTTTCTGAGCCTGTGGCACTGTGCCTCCTACCCACAGATCTTTGGGAAGTCCCCTTTGAGGAAATCCTGGACCTGCAGTGGGTAGGCTCAGGGGCTCAGGGTGCTGTTTTCCTGGGTCGCTTCCATGGGGAGGAAGTGGCTGTGAAGAAGGTTCGAGACCTCAAGGAGACCGACATCAAGCATCTGCGAAAGCTGAAGCACCCCAACATCATCACTTTCAAGTGAGTTCCACGGCAGGGTCTGGGAACACCATGCTAAGCCCCACAACTCCACTCCCATTCTTTCTCAAAAGAGACCCCAAATGGTCCGGGTGGGAATGTAGGTTCCAGCTACATAATGAACTTTACCTGTCTGGCCCCCAGGGGTGTTTGCACACAGGCTCCCTGCTACTGCATCCTTATGGAATTCTGCGCCCAAGGCCAGCTATATGAGGTGCTCAGGGCTGGCCGCCCTGTCACGCCTTCCTTGCTGGTTGACTGGTCTATGGGCATCGCTGGTGGCATGAATTACCTGCACCTGCACAAGATCATCCACAGAGACCTTAAATCCCCCAAGTGAGTAAGAAAGCAAGCTGATGTGCATGTAAGTGGCCTACCTGTGGCAGGGCGCATACGCCTATATTTTAGGTTCTGAGAAGTCCATCAAGCAACAGTCCTTTGGAGGACTGTGGTGAGCCTTTTTCAACTTTAGGTGTCCCAAACAATATCATAAAAACAGTGACATCAGTTAAATGGGGCTATGGAGGGATATGGATCCTGGCTAACTATACTTTTTACCAGCATGCTAATCACATACGACGATGTAGTGAAGATCTCAGATTTTGGCACTTCCAAGGAGCTGAGTGACAAGAGCACGAAGATGTCCTTTGCAGGGACAGTGGCCTGGATGGCCCCTGAGGTGATACGCAATGAGCCTGTGTCTGAGAAGGTTGACATCTGGTAAGCACCAGGGTGGTACTTTAAGAACTTATATGGAAATCAAGTGGTGGTGGCGCAGGCCTTTAATCCCAGCACTTGGGAGGCAGAGGCAGGCAGATCTCTGTGAGTTCGAGGCCAGCCTGGTCTACAGAGTGAGTTCCAGGACAGGCTCCAAAGCCACAGAGAAGCCCTGTCTCAAAAAAAAATTTTTTTACAGGGAAGTCATACAGGTCTGCAGTAACCAGGACCTCTGGAGGGAATCTTCCCAAATGATGTCCTCTTGTCCTTAGGTCCTTTGGGGTGGTGCTATGGGAACTACTGACTGGAGAGATTCCCTACAAAGACGTAGACTCCTCAGCCATCATCTGGGGTGTAGGAAGCAACAGTCTCCACCTGCCTGTGCCCTCCAGCTGCCCAGATGGCTTTAAAATTCTGCTTCGCCAGTGCTGGTAAGGATGACAGATTGCACTGACAAAGTTGAGGAACTAGAGACTGACGACCTGGAGCCCAGATGTCTAGGCCTAGAATCCATTGCGAAAGCAAGCCAAAGCTCCCTCCCTAATAATCTCTCAAAGGTCCAGGACACAGGATATATATCAGGGAACTACAATGACCAGCAGGAAACAAAGATTCAGACTTGCATCATGATGTCCTCTTTGAACCTGTTTCTGAGCTGAGAAAGTAGGAGTGCTTTCTAATAGGTTGCTGTGAAGCAGGAAGGCATCACTGAGCAGAACTGGCTCAGCATCAAGAGGACCTTAGGACAGTGAGGAAGACTGAACTATCACTGCCATTCCCAAAGTGTTTCCTTTGATGGAGTCATTTAAAATTTGTTTTTGCAGGTGTATGCCTGGCTGGTATGGAAATAAATATGTAGACGAGGATTAAAGATTATGCCACCACAACCTGCCACCAAAAGGGTTTTATTTGGGCATACAGAAAATATTAGGTCAAATAGCTCCGAAATACTAAGGAAACCTAACAGGTGGTCTCATGACTCACTTGAAAGAGGGCTCTGGCTCCTTTGTAATTCCTCCCCACCCCTGAAATTTTACCAACTCCATTCCTTATAGGAATAGCAAACCACGAAACCGCCCATCATTCCGACAGATCTTACTTCACCTGGACATCGCCTCAGCGGATGTGCTCTCCACACCCCAAGAAACTTACTTTAAGTCCCAGGTGTGCTGTGGGTGGAAAAACAATGGGTCACTGACTTTACAGACATGGCAGAGCCTTTGATGGGGCCAGAAAATGTGACTGAAATGAATGAGTTCTCTTGGACATGTGTCCCCATTCCTCTTACTCCAACCCTGGTGGCGCAGGCAACATTCCCCGAGACATGGCTCTCACCACTCACCCCACGTCTCTCCATCCCTAGGCAGAGTGGCGGGAAGAAGTGAAACTGCACTTTGAAAAGATTAAGTCAGAAGGAACGTGTCTGCACCGCCTCGAGGAGGAGCTGGTGATGCGAAGAAGGGAGGAGCTCAGGTATGTGCCTACTTAGGAAAGATAATCTATAAATGATAGGAACTGGGTTTACCTGCTGCCATAGTGGACCCAGCAGGTAAACCCAGTTCACGGCACAAAAATCATCTGCCCTTTCAGGCATGCCCTGGACATCAGGGAGCACTACGAACGGAAGCTGGAAAGAGCCAACAACCTGTACATGGAACTGAACGCCCTCATGTTGCAGCTGGAACTCAAAGAAAGGGAGCTGCTCAGGTAACGGACCCCTTAACATACTCCATCATTGATTTTCATGAAGCTGCCCAACTTGGGAGACCTAACAAGGTGTCTGGATTTTCAGGAGAGAGCAGGCTTTGGAAAGGAGGTGTCCAGGTCTCCTGAAGTCACACCCTTCCCGAGGGCTCCTACATGGAAACACGATGGAGAAGCTTATCAAGAAAAGGAATGTGCCACAGAAACTGTCACCCCACAGCAAAAGGTAAGACCCAGAGAGGACTGAGGCTCACATATGCAGGAGGGACACTGGCAAGGCAATGTGTATTGTTACTGGGGACCATTTATCATTGTTAACCTCAATCTTGTACTTTCCCTCCACTACCAGGCCAGATATTCTCAAGACAGAGTCTTTGCTACCTAAACTAGATGCAGCCCTAAGTGGAGTCGGGCTTCCTGGGTGTCCTAAGGGCCCCCCTTCGCCAGGAAGGAGTCGTCGTGGCAAGACCCGTCACCGAAAAGCCAGTGCCAAGGGCAGCTGTGGAGACCTGCCTGGGCTTCGAGCAACTTTGCCACCCCATGAGCCTGGAGGACTAGGAAGCCCAGGGGGCCTAGGAGTGGGCCCTTCAGCTTGGGATGCCTGCCCCCCTGCTCTCCGTGGACTCCACCATGACCTTCTACTGCGAAAGATGTCATCATCATCCCCAGATCTTCTATCAGCAGCACTGGGAGCCCGAGGCCGAGGAGCCACAGGGGGAGCTCGGGATCCTGGCTCACCTCCTCCACCCCAGGGCGATACTCCTCCAAGTGAGGGATCGGCTCCTGGTTCCACCAGCCCAGACTCACCTGGGGGGGCCAAAGGGGAACCACCTCCACCAGTAGGACCTGGTGAAGGTGTGGGGCTGCTGGGAACTGGAAGGGAAGGGACTGCAGGCCGGGGAGGAAGCCGGGCTGGGTCCCAGCACTTGACCCCAGCTGCACTGCTGTACAGGGCTGCTGTGACTCGAAGTCAGGTAAAGTATGGGGAGGTTCCTCTCTCCCTTCCCCCTGTCCTTACTCTCCCTAGCAGTCCACGTGCTGTAACCCCACCCAACTATGTATGCCTTTCCCCAATTCTTAATGACTTCTTGCCATTTTTGAATGTGTTACACACACACACATACACACACCCATCTCTACTATAGAAACGTGGTATCTCATCTGAAGAGGAGGAAGGAGAGGTGGACAGTGAAGTTGAGTTGCCCCCAAGTCAGAGGTGAGTGCTGGTTGGATGGCAGTTTCCTTTGGGAACTGTAAAAAGGACCACACTGTAACCTTGCCTCAATGTTTAGGTGGCCTCAGGGCCCGAACATGCGTCAGTCACTATCTACCTTCAGCTCAGAGAACCCATCAGATGTGGAGGAAGGTACAGCTAGTGAGCCTTCTCCCAGCGGTACACCAGAAGTTGGCAGTACCAACACCGATGAACGGCCAGATGAAAGGTCTGATGACATGTGCTCCCAGGGCTCAGAAATCCCACTGGACCCACCTGCTTCAGAGGTGGTCCCTGACCCTGAAACCAGCTCCTTGCCCATTCAACACCAGGATCTACTCAGAGGTGAGCAGGTGAGTTAAGTGAAACAACCAGATACTGACCATGAACTGGGAGTCGTTTGAGAACCTTTAAGGAAGACAAACAGGCTAGCAAGAGATATTTAGTATTTAGTCTTCAAACTACTCAAGTTTCTTCCTTCCATATCAATGAAAACAAATATCTATATAAATAGAATTTGAGACAGTTCAGAGCAGTATTGTATCCAATGTTTTAACTTGTATGGCAACCACAAACTGTCATCAGCAAAGTATCCCAAGAAAGGAGTCTGTCATGACCTGAGCCTGTAAGCAGTAAGATAAAAACCCTTCAGCACTAAACTAAAAGCACCCCCTGAGGGGCCCTGAAGGAATCTGTAACGCTGAGAGATGCTGGGCTCCCCCCACCTCACTGCATTTCTACTCTTCCTCACAGGGCCCCAATCCTGAGGACTCAGACTGTGACAGCACTGAATTGGACAACTCCAACAGCATTGATGCCTTGCGGCCCCCAGCCTCCCTTCCTCCATGAAAGACACTCTTATTCCTTGTACATAGAGAAATATTTATATAAATAATATATATGCGCCACATAATCAACAGATAGATGGGGCTTTCTTAGCCTTAAGTCAGGCTTGATAATGAAGGACCCCCCCCTGACCAACTACCGAGTAAGTTCTAGGGACTCTGGCAGCTGTAGAACTGAATGATTCCAAGTAACACCCTAGAGCTACAAGGAAAGTAAACTGGTCCCTTCTTGCTTCACACCATTCCTTATGTTCAGCAAGCAACTAGGCAATAGAAAAGCCAGGCTTGTCTCTACACTGTCTACCCCTTTAAACACTGGGTGGGGGGGGAGGGCAGGAGAGGATCCACTTAAGACTGCACTTTTACTTTCCGTTTACTGTTTACACATTTTGCACTTGGGAAGAGGAAAACTAAGGCTGGGTCCTCCCCCCTCTGAGGTCTCTCAGGTGGCAATGTAACCCATTTCTTTGTCCCTGTTTCTCTGCCCCAGCCCTGGCTTAGGGCCCAGAGGCAAGTTAGAAGACTGATAGCATGTGACGGCTCAGGCTGAAGAGATGAGAACTGGGGTGCTGCTGTCTAAGTCCCTACTGTTATCCTGTGCCTGGTAGGGTGGGGACTGTCATATTGTAACCCCTGTGAAAAACCTTGAAATATAACCACTCCATGCAGGCCCAGCTGTCGAGGGTTTTCTTGGTGAATGGATGGAGTGGAGTGGAATACATGGATTTAAGACAACTTTCTACTTTTTCTAAACATGTTGAACCCAACTTCCTAAGATAACTTTTCTAAATGATTTCAGGACAAGAACATAAGTGGGTTTCAAAATACCCAGTGAACTAAAACATATGGTTAAAGTACAAAAGCTTGAATAAGGGGCATTCTATCGAAAGCTTACATATGTACCAGATACGTGTGTGTGTGTGTGTGTGTGTACACAAGCAAAATGCATACACAGCTTTCCTGACCCAGCTCCAGAGACACACTGTTGCTCTACAATCCAATTGCCATCCTTCATGAGTAAACTTCCTAAAGGCCACCCAAAATCATGGAGGGAAAGGATCAAGGGCAATTAAAGCAACAACAACCAAAAAAATGGAGTGGTAAAACAGAAGAAAATATCTTAATTCTATTCAAACCCAACCAGGGCTATGTGAAGGTTTAAAGGTATAAAAATAACATCAAGACAGGAATAACACCCACATGAGTCACTGTGGCATCCAGTTTCTATTCACAAAGAAAAAGCTCCAGTCCATCTTTTAATTTTTTTTGAAAAATTCCTGACATTACAGAACTAAACTGAAATGTATTAATATTCCACTCTTACATTTCCATGACAAACAAAAATTCATGAGCCAAAAAAAATGGAAAAAAATGGAAAAAGGGGAGAAGCTTATAAAACTAAATATGGATATCTCAGCATAACTGCTGAACAGAGAAAGGAATTAAAACGCTTTGAATTAAAAAAATCATGAGTGGATGATAAAGTGTGTAGAAACTGAAAATGTACAAACTATTTAAAACCTGGAATCGCTGACTGTTGAGAAACTACACAGATGGATCATGGGTGGTGGTGAAGAGCAGGAAGGGATCATGGATGAACCTGCACTGCTCTAGCTGCTCCCCATGCCACCTGTCTCCGAGGAAAGCCTGCAAAACAGAAACAAAAGTCAAGTCAGTTTTCCCAGGTAGAGTAGTACTAACAGGGCATGTCAAGGGTTATTAACTAGTATGGTGTTACGTGGGGATTGTGTGTGTACTAGAGCCAACGGTCCTGAGGCATTTTCGGAAGAGGTTTAACAAAGCATGCCTTGCTGGTGACACCTTTGTTAAAGTGTTTCTAGAGATATACCACTCATTTTTGTTGGGGTGGGGAGACAACACTTGTTTGAAAGGCGGGGATGGTGCACAGCTGTTTCTTTACTGTTCTGCTTACCTCCTTCAAACACAAATACTGGTCTGGGGAGAACACTAGCCTTCAGAAAATTAATGCTATCATGTGTTACAGCATATGTACTAGCTCTATCAGTGTAAAGGAAATCCTTTGTGGGTTGGGAGCACATTTGAAGACATTACATAATTTCAAATATTAAAGGACGTTAGAGGGAAGAACTAAGTATAGAAACTACAGTGAAGAACTCAAATTATTGTTTCCAGGCTTAGGTTTCAGTACAAAAATGAACAGGAAAGCAAACAGCGTGGCTACAGTTTTTAGCTCACTCATTAAAACCTATGGCCTTCTTATTGTGCTAAACCCTCAATGTAAACATACCTAGCTACAGTGCCTTTCTACTTCTGTTTTAAATAGGCCATCTGAGGTCATGGAACCAACTTTGAGGAAAAGTCGTTAAGTACACTTCACTGATCAGGGAGGCAGCAAAATGCCTCGTTTTGAAGATAAACTAAAAGGTTTTAGTCTCAGTTCCATGCCATAAGCTTAACTTCATTAAGAACCGACTGACATCCATTTGTGGTATTTGAAGTACACTGTGTGAACTAATATACAAATACTGTAGTGGGAGGGGGTTGTCCCAGAAACCACAATGGTCATCCTTCAATTAATGTGTTTTCTTAAAGTCAGAAATGATTGCTCCTGTCTACCTTACTACCCTGAATGTGCCTAAATTAAACACAAATGTGAGATCCCTGAAGCTTCAAAGTCAGGCCTGCTTAGTATGCTCAGAGGTAAAATTCAGTATGAAGGAGAGTACCTCATTCTTTGCTACTTGTAATACCAATGCTGGGGAGGTAGAGGAGGACACATCTGTGATGTGTGCTAGGGATATAGTCTAGTTAAATGAGTGAGCCCCAGGATCAGCCAAAGATGTCCTCTCAAAAAATAAGTTCATAAATGTCCTAAGTTGGAGAATACAGGAGGAAAAAAAACATGTTTCTACTCCATGCACTCGCACACATGTACACATGCACTCACATACATGTGCACACACAAAACAGGAATACACGGGCTGTGGGATGGCTCAGTGGATACAGTGTTTGTCATAAGAGCATAAAGACTGATTTTAGTGCCCCTAGTAGACTCGTTAAAATGGACACAGAAGGTGGTCCAGTAGCAGAGAGAGGAAAATGCCTACAAGCTGGAAAGACAGCTGTTAGCAAAGATCAAAAAGACCATCTGGGCTCAGTGGCTAAGAGCAATGGCTGTTCTTCCAGAGGTCGTGAGTTCAATTCCAGCAACCACATGGTGGCTGACAATGATCTACAGTAGGATCTGATGCCCAGGTTGTACATGCAGATAGAGCACTGACAAAAAAAAGTCTGAAACAGGGAAGACAGTAACTTCCACCAGTGCAGTATGGCATACCCTCAAACATCAACATACACAAGCATTTAAGAGTGAGCATGCACCGGGCGTTGGTGGCGCACGCCTTTAATCCCAGCACTCGGAGGGCAGAGGCAGGCGGATCTCTGTGAGTTCGAGACCAGCCTGGTCTACCAAGCAAGTTCCAGGACAGCCTCCAAAGCCACAGAGAAACCCTGTCTCAAAAAAAAAAAAAAAAAAAAAAAAAAAAAAAGAGTGAGCATGCATGGGCAAGGTAAACAATAAGCTTTAGGGATTTAAGAGACATCTCAGGGTTACAAGCATTTGTTACTCTTGCAGGAACCCGGATTTGCTTCACAAATGTCATTTGCTGGTTTACAAGTGTGTGACTCTAATTCCCTGAGGGCCCTGCACATACAGTGCACATGCATATGAACATAAGAAACTCATACAAATAAGTAAACAATAAACTTTGAATGATAAAGCTCAGTAGGAAACAAAGGCTGAATGAAATTTGTTAGTTTAAATCTAGACTTTTAAAATACCCCACCATATAGGCTGGTAGCACTGTGGCCATATAAACAGCTGAAGAACTGTCCAGTTATTCACTATAATTATAGCCTAAGCAAGAATTTAAGGGCAAGATGCAGTGGGTGAGGCACAGAAGAGAAATCTCAACCAGAAACACATCTCATTCGTGATAGCCAAGCCCCTTCAACATCTGGATTCCTTCAGCAATTCTTTACTGGGGATATTTGTTTGATTAAAAGGCCTTTCAGTGAGGCAGTGGTGGCGGCACACACCTTTAATCCCAGCAAAGAGACAGAGTCAGGTGGATCTCTGTGGAATTCCAGGACAGGCTGGCCTACAGTTTCAAGACAGCCAGGGCTACCCAGAGAAACCATCTCCAAAAAATAAAAAAAAAGAAAAGAAAAAGAAAAAGAGGCCTTCCAGACCCAGACCTGAAATATGTTGCACACAAATGTGTGACGTCAATCTGGAAGAAAGGAGCCACAATAACACTACAGACTGAAAGACGATGTAATAAACATGAGCAGCAATGACTTTCTGATGTTGGGAAAGGCCATCAGGAAAAAAAAATCTACATAGAAAACTTTACTGCTACCAGTAAAGAAAACTCGCAGTATATCCCCTGGTTGACTGGAAGAGAATCCCACAGCCTTCTAACTATGAGATACAAACCCAGGGTCTTGCAAATATTCTACCACTGTCTATGTGGAAATCCTTAGTCCTAGCAGATGTCTCTTTTGTGGAAAACACCCATAGCTCATCTAGATTAAAACAAAAAACAAAAACAAATGGTTGGGATTTACCCTTGGTAATAAAAGGTAAACAAACTTGCTTGACCAATTAGTTGGTTTAGAATGACTATTCAACATACTCAGATCAATGAAGTCCTTCCTAATTATCAGAAGGATATTTAATGATCCATTAAAGGAATACAGACAAAAGCTACCTAACTTTTGACATTACCCATTATTATGGATAAACAAGTAAATCCTATGTATGCCTTTGAAATAACCACTCATCAGAGGAAAAGAGTTAGGCAAGGACACCTTGTTATCAGCCGGTGTTAGTAATGTAAGGAAAGCTGTTCTTGACTAAAAGCTTCTGGGCAATAAAATGAAGACTACTGAAGGGTCTTCTACTTAAGAATATTGATTGACAAAGGGTTTTGAAATTCATGTGGGATGCAAAAAGGCCCAAGTAGGCAGTATAGCCATCCAAGCTTAGGAAGGCACAGATCACAAGTCCCCGCCCCTTCACCCGTCACATCACACAGTGAGCTACGGTTCTTACTGTCGCAACTTTATTATAACTAGAGACACAGATCTGGCCAAGAAGGCCAGCTGACAGCTTAACCATTAAAGTTAAAAAAAAAAAAAAGAAAGAATTAACGGAGAAGATTTTATTCATCAACACAGAGCCTAACACATTGTTTATATATTGCAAGGCAGAATAAAGCTACAAAAAAGGTGTAACAGAATGAGAGAGAGAGTAAGAACTGTGGCTCTAGATAAAGATTTCAATCAACAAGTCAGACTCTGAAACAGGCACTGATTTGTAAAGTCCTAACCCTAAACAAGAATAATTACCCCTGTTCCCACCCCCACCCAGTTATCCCCCCCAATGTAGTAAAAAGAAAAGAAAACGGTCACAAGCTCACAACAGTTTGGTTCTCACCAATGTTAACAAAGAAAAACAAAATGAACCAATTGAGGAGGTTCCAAGATAAGCACTCAGTAGGGAGAGAATCTCTGTTTCTCGCCTTTCAGTTTGTTAGTTACACATGGCACAGTAGAGGTGGTGGTGGTGGTAGCTGAAGCCCCGGTACCCTTAGCAGCAGACACAACATTTAGAGCCAGGAGAGGGATGGGTTTCATGCCAAGCAGACTGGAGACACAAGGGGCGGTCGGAAGAGGGTTGGGGAGGCTGGAGGGTGCGTCGGAAGTCCCCGCTGTGGCGAGCGAGGGGGTGGTGGTGGAGGAGGAAGAAGAAGAAGAAGGGGTGGAGGGTTGAGAGAGGTTGATGCTGAGGTGATCAGGGATCGTGACGGAGGCTGCCTGGGAGGAGGGTTTAGCGTTTTCTAAACTGTAACAGAGGAAAAAAGGAACAAAAAAAAGGGTGGGTGGAAGGGAAGAGCACAATAGGGAAAAAGTACAGGACAAAATCCGCTTCAGTTACATCAGTAAGTGCCTTTGGCTGCCATTAGGAAGAGCTAATATCAACTTACAGCAAACTTTTAGATTGTGCCCACCCTCTAATATTTATATCATCACCTTCCCTCCCACATACAGTGCTATTCAAAACTACTTTGGTAAAGACATCTCTCACAAGACTCAGAAAAGGAACCATAAGAATACATACTTCCAAGCATTATATATTGACCCAACACAGAAACCAGAATGAAATGGTCAATCTGGTGAGTGGCACAGCTACTATGGAAGTTGAGGCAAATCATCAGACGTTCACACACTGCCTGGGCTACACAGTGAGCTTAAAGGGCAACTTGAAGACCCTCTTTCAATCTCTGTGAGTTCTAGGCAAGCCTGATCTACAAAGCTACACAGAGAAACCCAGTCTCGATGAAAAAAAAAAAAAACCCTTTCTCAAAAGAAAAGATGGCTGGGAATTACCTAGTATACAAAAAGAACTTAAGTTCAGCCCACAACAGTTAAAAAAAAACTGATAAAGATTTAACTGCAAACAACAACAAAAGATTTCATACAACCAAATCATCAGTTTAAGTGAAGGATCAATTATTCAACAATTATTTAAGAAACATTACATGTTATACTGCAGATACTTAAATTTCAGACAAGGGTCTTCCTTTGTAGCCCAGGCTGACTTGGAACTAGTTTCTTGCCTCAACCTCACAGTTGCTAGGATTACTAGTGTGAATCACCATGCATATCTAACAATAATTTTTCCTGTAGTTAATAAATATTAAAGTCTATGTATAGCTTCATAGCAAATGACCCAAACTATTACAATGGAAGGAGGCAAAGAGTCCAAAGTAGGTCACTGACTAGGCTAACTTTAAAGAATCAAAGAAAGTAGCATTTTCAATTTAAAAAAAAAATCTAAAATCAAGTGTGGATGAGATCCAGGAAAACCTTTCTGGTGGGAAGCTGTCTCTGCGTTTTAACTAGATTTTAAAGTTGAAAAACTCAAGTACTACTAACATTTGTGTTTAGAACAAAAATAATGCACTTCTATTCCTATCATAGGGCCCCATATATTCCTTATCTAAGCCAGGAACAGTTATTTGCTGAGATGAGACAAACTCCCACAAGGTCACTTCCAAGGGCAGGAAACCCCTAATTTCATTTTCTTTAGCTTGTTCAGGGCCATTTCAGTCATTAAGGAATTATCACAGCAATGAGCCACAATGACCCCTATGACAACAGTTCAGGAAGTACAGCAGAAATGCTCTGAAGTCAACAATGGAAATAAAATCAGTTTGGTTTTTTTCATTCAAACTCAGCAAGAGAAGGTTAAAAAAAGGAAATTTTGTTTTCTTTTTTAGATTTATTCATTTATTATGTATACAGTGTTCTGCCTGTATGTATGTATGTCTGCAGGCCAGAAGAGGGCACCAGATCACATTACAGATGGTTGAGAGCCACCGTGTGGTTTCTGGTCATCAGTTAAAGCCATCTCTCCAGCCGCCACCCCCAAAAACAAAGTTATACTTATCCTTATCCTGGCATTGGTGATAAGGCTTTAAAAAGTTCTGATCCAAACCCACAGTTTGGATAGTTTCACTCACCAGTTTAAACAACTCTGCAGTTACTTCAAGTAGTGATGTTTTGCTTCCATACAAAAATAGACACTAACTTATTAAAAACAACAGATAGGAAGGTCAGATTTAAAGTTATAATAATTTGAACTACCTCACCCAAAGCACAAACTGACAATTTCTAGATTCCAAAGGCTTTTTTGCCACATAAAGCTTCCCTCCAATGTGAACTAGAATTCAGGGTTACTAATAGGATCTGTATAGGATTAATATTTTGGACGCCAGGCGGTGGTGGCGCACGCCTTTAATTCCAGCACTTGGGAGGCAGAGCCTAGTGGATCTCTGTGAGTTCGAGGCCAGCCTGGTCTACAGAGCAAGTTCCAGGACAGCCTCGAAATAATACAGAGAAACCCTGTCTCCAAAAACCAAAAAAACAAACAAAAAATATTTATTATGTATAGTGTTCTGCCTACAGGCCAGAAGAGGGCACCAGATCTCATTATAGATGGTTGTGAGCCACCATGTGGTTGTTGGGAATTGAACTCAGGACCTCTGGGAGAACAGTTAGTGCTCTTAACCTGTAAGCCATTTCTCCAGCCCCCATATAGTCCTTTCTATATGAAGAGCTGCAGTAGCTCAAAGGGAATTAACAATGTTCTCAACTAGGGATACACTTGTTGGCTGGGAGGTGGTGGAGCATGACTTTAATCCTAGCAGAGGCAGGCAGAATTCAAGGTTCAAGGCCAGCCTTGTCTACAAAGCTACAGAGAAACCGTCTCAAAAAAAAAAAAAACTCCTGTTGGTATAAATACATAAATACATGTATAACATGAATATAGACTTTATATTCATGAATTCCTTCAAGTATTAGATTGAGGAACTGTTCATTTTAATGTGGAAGAGAATGGCTGCTATTAACAATGTGACTGAGGCAGAGCTAAGGGTGCTCATTTGACTATATACAATTGTCCTACAACAGAAAGTATAGCAGCAGTACCTATGGATAGGGAAAGAAAACCTTAGGAAGTCACTTGCAGATATGAGAATGAGGTGAGGAATGGGAGAGAAAATATGCCCACAGTATCTAGAGCACTCCTAAGCTTGTGCTTTTTCCCCTACAAACAATGGAACACACTTGCCATTTGAGAAATAAGTTTGCAGAATAAATGCTAACAGCTTCCTCCAAGAAGCTACTTAGATGTCTCGTTATCCCTAAAAATTCAATGTGCTTTGGACTTAAAATTCATAAGAAATGACCTGTCTACATGATATGTAAAACAAGTAAAATACAACTGTGCTAGGGCACTGTCCTATTCAGCAAAGACATATACTGCCACCCTGTCCACTGTTCCAAAACAACAAAAACAAAAAGTAAACAATCTATAAAACCCCAATCTAGTTGGTTATTTTCCTCTGCTAAATACAGAAGCAGAGGTCAAGGAAACAAAAACGAGGAGAATGTTTCAATCTGTATCCACCTTAAATAAACTCACATGTAAATCTATATGGCAACACCCTCCCTCATTACTATGTTTTGTTTATAAATCACAGAAAGGCCAACACTTACCTGACATTGATAAGATACTGGGCCAGGCTAATGCTGGCAGCAGACCCAGTGATGGTGACCTGCCTATCAGTAGATCCTTCCACTGGGTTTGCAATTTTGATCTGCGCCCCAGACATCTGACGGATCTCATTGATTTTGGCGCCCTGACGCCCGATTATGCAGCCAATCAACTTGAGAAACAAACAACAAAAAAGCATACTAAATTAAGAGCCAAATAGCTACACAGAAGACCATATATATAACAAGCAGTTTCTACACTTTGTGCCTAAAATTACTCTGCAATCTTCTGGTATACCGTTATCAAAACCTTGAATTATAGTTTCCCACTTGAATTTCTGAACCATTCATATGATTAACTACAAATCAAGGTTAACTCCAAAACAATTTCTCAGCCCAACCATTAGTATTTGTTCTTATCCCCACAGTATCGCCTCCACTCCAAAGACAAATTAACCACAACAATACTTGATAATGAATCCAGCAAGACAGGAATACGTGTTGGACCATCAAAAATCGAGAATTCATCCTGACATCATCCCTCCTCCCAAAGCATAGTTAAATTCTGATGCTCTTGAGGGAAACAGGAGTTCCAGATGCTTTAACAGAAAGGCAAATAAGAATTTCTACAGTATAGGAAGTTCTCCATGTGAAATCTGTAACACAGTTAATTGTATCAATTCTCTATAACAAAGTTTTCCTCAGAATTCTAACCTACTTTATACTTACATCATTTGGAATGGTGAGTTCATGAGAAGTAGTTTGAGCAGACGCATCCAAACCTGCTAAAAGACAGAAAAGAGCAAGAAAGTTTAATGGACAGCATTCAGAATCAGTGATCTGCACATTAAACTAACAGAAGGAAATAAACTGGAAACCCAGCATTGGCTGTTGGGATTCATCACTAACTCTGAAGCCTCCAAGGAGGAAAGATGGGAGAGGGGAATCAGAACAATGCTGGAAAGATTCTTCTGTACAATCAGAAGAGCTGATTTCATGCCATTTCCTGCAAAGCCCAGACTAACAGGTAGGGAGAGAACAAGGGGCAAAAAGTGTGGCATTCTTAAACAGGAGCAAATTCTAAACAGCAAAGCCTCTACACATCTATCCCCCTTTCTGATTAAGATTACTGTTGTGTCCTAATTTTATTTCACCCAATGCTCACTAGAATCAGTGCCAATTTCATTCCTGGTATGATACCAGGTATCAGACTCTTGGCACAAACACTGAGTTGCTTTAATTATACCTGTATTTAGAGTAACACCTTCCACCTCAATGCTCCCCCAACTAGACTTAAAGATCAAATAGATAAAATGGCAATCAGTTTGAGGGGAGTTTATTTCTCCAGATTTATTCTGTCTTTTGCTCTAATTGTTCTGCCTTTTGTTTGGTTCTCCAAAGAAAAAAACAAAAGAAAAAAAATCCCATCATAAACACCCCTACCCATCCATTAGAACACAAGGATTGGGCCATTCCGGCTGGCTAGCCCTAACAGTTCTAGTCCTGCTCTCAACTACATTTTTAGAAGGTGGTTGGCCAGATCCATCAAGGGACCCTCAGGGGCACCAGGCCCACCCCTTTGCTCTCTCAGCTCCTCTCTGCCATGTGCATGTTGCTGATATGGTTTATGGGCAGTGAAACAAGACTCCCACCAGTTTATTAATATAACAGTAGAATACTACAGATTTTTTTTTTTAATCATTACCCCAATAGCCTTTCACCTCTGGAGAGCTGGATTCAATGCCTGTTAAGATACAAGTGAAAATGAGTTTGGTGGTCTCATTCTAACCCTATCGGACAAGTTATTCCTTATACAGAAAAAAAAAGCCCCAAAACAAAAACAAAAACAAAAATACACTACATAATTTGGAACAAATGGATTGTCTCTACCCAAGTCTTGTGAACACCTGGTGGAAAGAAAGGGGATGCTAATCAGATCAAGGTGGCCACTATCAGGATGGGCTATAGAAATATCAGCCTACCCCTTTCTTGACAAGCATCCCCAGACCTCACCCCAAATCTTCCAGGGCTTTTTATTCTTTTATAATTAACTCACCCCAAAATGAAAATCATGTTAACAAACACTTTACCTCCTTTAGCCACAGTAGGTCAAGTTTATACCAGCAGGTGCTGGATATAATCAAGTTTCTTTTAAACAGTTGTCAAGCTGAGACCTTGGGACTGGCCTCTATCTTGTACTACACCTTACAAAAATAAACACTGAGGTATCCATACCACTGAATCCGGTGTTGCCATGGGTCATGGGAAAATGAGACTGTTGCATTGCCAACTGGTGCAGCTTGGTCAACTGCAGGAAAGAAAACAGAAGAGCCCAGCATTAGAAAGGTAACCTGGTCAGCACTCAAGCACATCCAGATGTGAGAATATACACAGCTCCTGACTCCCAAAGTTGACTCTACTATTCCAACTATAACATAGGATAAGAATGGGGCTTACAGTACAATCCAGGACAGGCAGAGTATGACAGGTAAGGGTTAGAAACAGAAAGGATGTCAGTATACAAATGCATTTTGGGTTTATGAAAAGGAAAGCAGTTAACACCGGCCCAACGACCATCCCCTGTGGACTTTTTAATGAAGGTGTTCACAGCCATTGCCAACAGTTGCCCCAGGGACAAGCACAGACAGGCTAGATAAACAAACTGTGCAGTGGTGCTAGGGAAAACACACCATGCAGGGTTCCACCAGTATTAGGAAAAGGGAAGGAGATGGGGGGGCAGGGAGACTGCAAGGAGAGAAGCTTAACAAGAAACCAAACTGGGCATCAACCCCAACAATTATTTTTTCAACTATCTTATTCATAATACACATTCATAATTGTCCTAGATGGTGACGAAATAATCCCTCTCCTACTCTACTTCACACTAACCAACACCAAACTCAACTTCAAGTCTAATGTTTGGCACCTGAAAGGGTTTTAATAAGTATGAAAGAAGCGTGAAGGAAAAAAAATGTTTCTGACAAAAGTCTACATACCAGTACTTTTAAGTAAGAGATTCTTAGTAAACTTTGAGTTGAATTCCAACAACAGTTGTCTAGTGTTCATATGTAAACAAACCCTTAATGCTTTTTCTAACCTTTTTTATAACCTCAGACTGAGGGGTGCCTATAGGCAAACCCAACCTCCCACTCTCCCAATGGGAAGCACACTTTATTGACAGTTTGACTTGTGCCAAGGTATTAACAGTGCATCATGGAACATTTATTTTAGAGTAATCTGATACACAGGGGAAAGAAACTAATAATCTGATAATTTCTAGGGTAAAAGTCAAAGGCAAACAAGTCCATACTGTGGTTCACCTTGTAAGCCATAACAACACCGCAAAGGTTCAAATCCAACATAATCCTGTCTACTAAGGAGAAAGAAATCAGACAATTTTGGATGGAAAGGGAGTTTTCCAAACAAGAAGTGAAGTCAAAACTTACATCTGGCTGTGGAATGGCATACTGTCCTTGAATGGTATAGGCCTACAAAAGGAGGAAAACAGTTCCTATTAAAAACCAATCACGGACAGCCACCCAGTGTGGGAGGGATGACAAGTTTTCAACTAGCCAGGAAGCCAGATTTGAACTAGAGAAGGGGAGGCAGATTGAGACAGTAGAAGAAATCTCACAAATGGTCAGGCCTGGGGTGGCCTTCTTTGAATCCTAAATACAGTAACTTTATTCCATGGATCCTCTTAAAATGGTGTAAAGTTCTTTTTGATTAAGGCAAAATACACATACTTGCTTTTTAACAAAAATGTGGCAAATGAAATAAAAGCAATGGCTCAACTGACCAATCCCCCACCGATGTATTCAAAGTAGTAACAATGCTATTATGAATGATTTTTATCTACACAAACCTGTACCACATGTACTCAAACATTGCCTAAGACCTTAAGTTTACTAGAATCTAGCTAGGTCTCTAACACTACGGACCTCATCACAAAAGGACTGGGGGTGGGGGATGTGCTAAGTCCTGTTCCCCTCACCGCACCCCCTTGTATAAAAGCACTCCCACTATGCCCTCCTCCCCACACCATATCCTCCCAAAAAGGGAGCTGGGTCTTCAGGGCAATGGGGTGGGGAAGACAAGGAGGAAAGGAAAAAAGAAGGGATGGAAGGAAGGAGTGGCTGGTTACTTAATAGAATGTGAAGTTTCTCACATCAGTCACAGTGGCCAGTACCCCCAAAAACACATCCAGGTGGGGGGTGGGAAGGTGAAAATGGGATGGGAAGAGTGGGAGAGGGAAAAGAGGGATTGAACAACAACAAAAAAAAATTTTTTTTAAAAAGTTGGTGTTACCATCTGGTGGGCTACGAGGCCTGTGTGAAATGAGGTGGGGAGGTCAGTCCAGGTCCCCGTGGACAGGTGGTGTCCACAGCACAAAAATCACCAGCGCCACAGGCCCCCCGTGTTGGCAGTCTCGGCTGAGGCGGAAGGATTGAGTGAGCCTTGGAGACTGAACATCCCCTCTCACCTCTAGAGGTGGTCCCTCCAGGTCAGGGTTGAGGCACATGGACGGGGTGGTGTGGGGAAAGCTCGCACTGTCGCTGCCTGTGCTGTACCTGTCCTGTGGATAAATAGAGGATTTCAGTCTCCAGGGCTGTCAATCCGGCACCTTGTCACCAGCATGAAATTCACACCAAAAAAAGTTGTTTATTTTTTTTTCTTTTTTCCTTAAAAAGGAGCTCAGAACACAGATTTGAAACGAGCTGTAATCAGTGAATAAAAAAAAGTTACCTAATGGCAGATGACACTGCACAATTGGGTTATTCCAGTAAGAGTGAGGGGTGAGGTAGCAGAGCTGATGCCAGATCTTGGTCACTGTAAGATTAAGTTGAACCTCTACAGAGCCCACCTTGCCACAAAGAAAGAGGTCCATCCGTGGACATTATATGAACTGATCCATTTATAAAAAAGCCCATGGGAATGACCCACGACAGGGCAACTCAAGAAGCTGCAAGCTTTTAGAGGGCAGATTAACTGAATAAAGGGGAGGGAGGAGGGAAAGGAAGCAAAGAGGTACAAAGGGAGGAGTGACGGGGAGCAAAGGTAAGGAAGGATTGATGGTGACAGCACTGGAGAACCTAGAATCCCATGGAAAAGGGGTACCTCCTGAGGCTAACCCTCCTGGCTACAATGACTGAGCTGTTGCTTTTCCTGCCCAAATACTTGTATTGACAGCCCTTTGACAAACCTGTTTAAACAAATCTCATGCTAAAACAAAGTTCTAACACATCTCAAGATAACACTGAAATATGACTATTAGTGAAAGATCTCAGCAAGACATAAGCTTGTTCATTTTTATTTAGTAAAATCTGAGATAGATTCCAAGTTGATGGTTTCCCCTCTCAAATGGCTTTCAGACCAAATACAAATAAATGAAACTAGTTAAATATAGATGTTTTTAAATAGGACAGGCCCAAGTGGGAAAGGTACTTTAAGCAATGTACCTTCACCTACCAAAATGAAGGTGACTATTTCAACCTGAATTCCAGTATTCTAAAAACCTATTACTCAAAGCACCAACCATCAAAATACATTAGTATCACAACATTTATCAATGCTCTTCTCAGACAACACTAACTTTAGAATAAACCGTATGTCAAAGAGAAATGGTTTAGGTTGCTCTCCCCATCCTAGCCATGTATGCTCCTCTTACTCCTGCTGATTTCAATTATGCCATGGGTTTCAAACCAGTGTTTATGAGGTTAAGAGTCTGGGGGATCACACACTGGAGTTTGGGGGTGAGAGGGTAGGAGTAGGGGAGGTGAGGTGAAGGGGAGGGAAAATTTGTAAGACACTCAAGTTCAGTACCCTACCACCCTATGCCCCCACGGCATTTGAGATTATCGTCCAGAATCTCCAGAGGTCCAACTTCTTTGCTATCATTACTCAGACCTCTAACATCCCACACATACAAAAGCATGGATGGGATGGAGAAATAGGGAGAGAAGTATTAACACTGAAAGAATTTAACTCTAGTCCAAACCACCTTAAATTACCAAATCAATTACTCTTCTGAGTGTCTACAAAACTTCCATTGCCTGCTATAAAAATAAAATAAGGTCTTGGCATTCAAAACCTTCTCCAGTACAAAAAAAAAAAAAAAAAAAAGCAAATCAAACTATGGCCAAAAGTACAAGTTTTCAGCAAGCATGCAAAGTAGCTTGGTGTGCTGCTGGCAAACTAGATTATTTAAAATATAATCTTTGCTTATTCTAGTCCACCAATAAAAATTCTCTTACCTGACCACCTGCAAAGATGACTGGAGAACTTGAGGGCTTGGGCCGGTACGGGATGGTCACGCCCTTCGGAGGGGACTGGGAGAGAGTCAGAGGGGAAAAAAACAAAAAGAGATAAGGTTTCAAAGCTGCTTCAGCTGTGTGGCTATAGCACACACAGGTCAGTTAAATAAAAATTATTTCCATTCCCTAGACTTAACAAGTTTTAGATGATTAGATGTCATTTAAAATGACATTATTTACCTTTAGAGCAACAAGAAAATTCATGAATTATAATTATATATAGCTCACACTAATTCTCACCAATGATGTCCTGAAATTATTTGTCATGATTTCCACACTCGTAAATAAATCGAATTCACACACACACAGAAAACAATGTGTAGATAGATATACTTTGACTGGCAATTTTTAGAATCTCACATTTCTGTATAAATAATAAAACCAAATTTGGATATGAAAGTCTCAAATGTTATATATATATGGTTCACAGACACAAGCAAAATCTTTTCCCTTTCTGATTCAACGCCATATAACTTAAGATGTAATTGCCCTTAATTTGTGTACTAACAGGACTTTATAATTCACTCATAAACACCATTGATACTTTTTCTATGATATGTTACTATTGTTTTGACTATATCCCTGTTTCAAAATGAAAAATGAAAGAAATGTGTCAATGTCAAACAATTCAAAGGATCAATTTGTGTTTAAGAAATCCAAGTCCTTGTAATCTCATCTTAACCATGATACTAGAATTGTTCTGAACTACAAGACTACTTAACAGATCCTATTTTTGCTCACAGACTAAGGTAAGTCAGAACTGGGAAAAGGAAAGTATGAATGCAGGAGAACTTTACCCATCCCCACTGATAGCCACCAGCTTCACCTAATTCTAGTCTCACTAGACTAGATCAGTTCCAATGTCCCCAAATCAACCCCACCTCCAGCATGAGCCTGAGGGCTTACCTCCAACATGACCACGCAGATTTGTTTAACACACTCAATGATGGATTGCGGGATGCCAGCAATAGTGATTGCCCGCTCAGTTGAGTTGGGGAGCATATCCCCTGCCACCTGGACCTGAGCCCCTGTACTCTTTAAGGGAAAAGGAAATTAAAAATCAAAACTATGTTCTTCAGTTCCACCCAACTGCAACTTTAAAGTGTAATGTTCACTACTTATTACCCTTTCTTTCTCTTTTCCTATTCTTTTCTTATCAGCCATCTTTCATACTCTTACTGAGCAAATATTTTCATTAATCCTATTCTGAAATAGGATTAAGTGCACTGGCTGTACTTCCAAAAGACCGACCAGGTTCAATTACCAGCCCCTGTCTAGTTCCAGGAGATATGGCACACTCACAGACATACATATAGGCAAGACACAAATACACATGAATTATATAAACAATAAGGCTATAAAATAAACAAGACATATCATCAAAATGAAATTTCAAACTAGTTGCTCACAACTATAATCTCTGAAGCTAAAAGAGAAGGACCATCTGACATGTCTGTGTCCAGTTAGACACTTATGCAACCCCCGGCCCCCCCCCCCCGTGCCAAAAAGCCAAAAACTACCAACAATCCTGTACAAAGACTCATTTAGTACTTTTCACTGAGACATGAAAAGTTGATCAAGAAGCTTGGATGGGGGCTGGAGATCTAGATGGCTCAGGTTAAAAGCACTGGCTAATCCTCCATAGGATTGAGTCAAGTACCAACACCTACATGACAGACAGTTCATAACTGTCTGTAACTCCATTCTAGGGGATCTGGCTCCCTAACCCAGACATACCTATAGACTAAACACCAATGCACATAAAATGATAGACAGTCAGACACACAGACAAAAAGAAGCCAAGTGGGTGGTGGCATACCCCTTTAATCCCAGTGTTTGGGAGGCAGAAGTAGGCAGTTCTCTCTTAGTTCAAAATCAGCCTAGGCTACAAATTAAGTTCCAGGATAGCCAGGGTTACAGACAAATCCTGTGTCAACAGAAATGATAAATGACAAAATGATGAAAGAAATGGAAAACAGACTGTCTTAAAAACAAAAAAAAGGGGCTGGAGAGATGTCTCAGCAGTTAAGAGCACTGACTGTTCTTCCAGAAGTCCTGAGTTCAATTCCTGGCAACCACATGGTGGCTCACAACCACCTTGAATGAGATCTGGTGTCCTCCACTGGCATGCAGGCAGAAGACTGTATACACAGTAAATAAATAAGATATTAAAAAAAAAAAAAGTAAACTGGGCAGGGGTAGCACACACCTTTAATCCCAGAACTTGGGAAGCAGAGGCAGTCTTAATCTCTGAGTTTGAGGCCAGCCTGGTCTAAGAGTTAATTCCAGGGCAGGTTTCAAAGCTACATAGGGAAACCCTGTCTCAAAAAAACAAAAACCAAAAGCAACAAAAACAGCTAAGCAAGAGGCCAGCAAGAAGTGCTTGCTGCCAAACCTAACAACCTAAATTCAATTCCTGTGGAACTTCACTTGGTTAAAAAAAGAGAGGGCCAGATATCGGTGGCTCACGCCTGTAATCCCAGCACTCGGGAGGCAGAGGCAGGAGGATCTCTGTGAGTTCGAGGCCAGCCTGGTCTACAGAGCGAGTTCCCAGGACAGCCTCCACCAAAACAATACAGAGAAAACGGATACCTGGTGTACATACATACATGCAAGCAAAAAGGTCATACATATACAAGAAGAAAAATTTTTAATTATTATTTTAGGGCTAGAGAAAAGGTTCTGCTGTTTACAGCTTCTCACAGATAACCTGAATTCATCCCTAGCACTCACATAAGTCTGCTCACAACCACCTGAAACGCCAGCCCCCAAGGAATCTAAAACCCTCTTCTAGGCTTCAAAGCACCTGCACTTGCATGCAAATAGCCACAGAGATGAACATATAACTAAAAATAAATCAACCCAGGCTTGATGGCTCATGACTTTAATCCCAACACTTAGGAAGCAGAGGCAAGGTGGCTATAAATTTGAGGTCATCTTGCATACAGAGTGAGTTCTAGGAACCTTGCCTCGAAAAATCAAAATAGATAAATACATAAATCTACCAAAAAAAGTTAGTATTCAGTAGGTAAAGGCAATTGCCACTAAATCTATCAACCTGTGTTAATCCCAGTGAACTCACATGGTAGAATAAAACAACTGACTGCCACATCACAAGTTCTCTGACCAGTATGCATGCATGTGTACTATATAGGAATAAGCGGGGAGGATGGCTCAGTACTTAAAGTGCTTGCAAGCACAGAACCAAGAACACACAAAAAAGCTGGGGAGGGGGCTGAAAAGATGGCTCAGTGGTTAAGAGCACTGACTGCTTTTCCAGAAGAACCAGGTTGTTAAGCACCCACATAGTAGCTCACAAGTACCTGTAACAGTTCCAGGATATCTGACACCCATGGGGAAATAATACACACAAAATATAAACAAAAATTTAAAAATCTGAGGATATAGAAGTAAGGATCACAGAGACATCAGCTAGATCAGAAAAATCTGTCTCATAGGGAGAAAAAAGGGACTACAAATGGCACACGGCTGACACCCACTTTTAATCCCAACACCCAAGAAACAGACACAGACAGATCTCTCAATTCCAAGCCAGTCACAGCTAGATAGACCTTGTCTCAAAAAAGAATAAATGAACCAGGCCTGGTGGCACATGCCTTTAATCCCAGAACTCAGGAGGCAGACAGGCAAATCTCCTTGAGTTTGAAGCTAGGCTGATCTCCAGAGCAAGTTCCAGGACAGCCAAGGCTACACAGAGAAACCCTGTCTTGAAAAGCCACCCCACACACACAGAAAAAAACCAAAATAATATAAATGTGGTATCTATATGCAAAGTTACACATTCTAATTAACACTATCATATTCTGACTCATTACTGAACCAGGCAAAGGCTATATGTTGTCCTAGGTACTTGGGAGGTTCAGGTAAGATTACTAGTAAATTTATAAGTTCCAGGCTAGCCTAGGGGGTAACATAGTAAAGACCCCTTGCCTTTAAAACTAAAGGGGGGTAGGGAGTAGTATGCTAGGATGTACTAAACGGGGGAGCCTACACCTAGTATTTGTGACACCCACATTGAACACAAAATTTGAAATGTGTTTTTTTAAACAGTCAACACTTTTAAGTCCAGTATCATCACACTATAGTCTTCATGGACTGCTAATCACGATGGAGAAATCAGTTATCACGGGTTAAAACTAGGGCTCAAAAGTTAAAAACACTAGAGCCTGGTATTCTGTCCTGAGTTCAATTCCCTGCCATCACATGATGGCTCACAACCATCTATGAGATCTGGTGCCCTCTCAGGCCTGCAGGATTCCTACAGACAGAACACTACATATAATAAATAAATCTTTAAAAAAAATCTAGGGCTACAGACATACTAAACAACTATTATACAACCATACCAAAATCAGAACACCCCCTTTTATTTATTTATTTTTCGAGACAGGATTTCTCTGTATTGTTTTGGAGGCTGTCCTGGGACTCGCTTTGTAGACCAGGCTGGCCTCAAACTCAGAGATCCGCCTACCTCTGCCTCCCAAGTGCTGGGATTAAAGGCATGAGCCACCAACGCCTGGCAAAACACACCCTTTTTTAATCCCATGGTTTTTTTCTTTAAACTGAGAGGGCCCCGTGTAACCCTTGCTGACCTGCATTTTAGTATGTAGACAGATCATGCTGACCCTTGTCTATGACTCCAAGTGGTACGATTATTTTTTTCCTTTTTTTTCTTTTTGGTTTTTACGAGACAGGGTTTCTCCGTAATGTTTTGGAGGCTGTCAGTCCAGCCTGGCCTCGAACTCACAGAGATCCGCCTGCCTCTGCCTCCTGAGTGCTGGACTCCAAGTGGTACGATTATTAAAGGCATGCACCACTATACCTGGCTCCATTCTTGTGTTTTTTTTAGAAAGGGTATTGGTCCAGTAAACTGGCCTTAAATTTTACAGAAAAAGCAGCAGTCTCCTATGTAACTGAGATTACAGACCTGAACCACCACCAAGTCAAACTTAAATCTTCTCATCAAATGTTAACCTTTTCTAGCCATTAACACAATCCGCTATGGGTACAATGGTGTTCCCATTCAGGAGGCGACAGAGGCAGGAGGCTCTCATAAAGATCCTTGTCTAAATAGTCAGGTCAATCAAAGCTAAAAATCAAACTGAAGGGAGAATGCCAGGGGCCGACACAGGACACAACACAAGACACACCAACCTCTCTTATTTCCTTGATCTTGCAACCACCTTTCCCAATGAGAGAGCCACACTGACTAGCAGGAACCACCAACCGTAAGGTGACGGGGGGTCTACTGGCAGCTGTGCTATTGGTCATAGAGCTGCTTATGTCCTGTAAAAAAAGAAGACTGCTCAGAACACCAAAAAGATAAAATAATCATACATACATATACAGTTGAAAGTGAGTAAAAGAATCACGCTTGGACATGTAAAGAACAAACATGTATAACAAACTATACCACACTAAGTTAAGATTACAATTTCTAAGCCCAATACAGCAGCACTGCCTATAATCTAGCACTCAGAAAAGTTAGATCAGGGTTACAGGTAAGAAGACAATCAGAGGGCTGGAGAGATGGCTCAGAGGTTAAGAGCACTGACTGCTCTTCCAGAGGTCCTGAGTTCAATTCCCAGCAACCACATGGTGGCTCACAACCATCTACAATTCAATCTGGAGCCCTCTTCTGGCAGAACACCGTATGTGTAATAAGTAAATAAATCTTAAAAAAAAAAAGAAGACAATCAGAACAAGTTCCCCCTTCCTTCCAAAGGGAACAGACTGAGGAACTTGTTCATTGGTAGAATGCTTACCCTAGGCCTAGAAATGGATCCCTTGCAGCAACACAAAACAGAAGTAGCCATAATCTTATTTTTCTTCACAAAGGTACAGAGAAAAGTAAAACTACTAACAAACTGAGCTGATGTTCCTTGCATTTGGATTACAAATATAACTTGGTACTTAAACATCTATCTAGCATATGCATGAAACCAAAGGTTCTAATCCCAGCACCTCCATTTTTTTTTAAGTATAGAGATAAGGGACCAGGAAATGGCTCAGTGGGTAAAGAAAGTTTGCTGTGCAAGCAATAAAGACCCAAATCAGTTCAGATCCCCAGCACCCACATAAAATGCTATATATGGCTGTATATGCCTGTAATCCCACCATGGGGTGTGGGGACAGAAGTATCCAAGAACCTGAAAGGCTGACAAAAGCTTATCTCAAAGCTATAGAGAAAGAAATAGAAAACATCTGATATCCTTCCTCTGGCCCCAGTGTGTACAGTCACACTGACATGCATAAACACATACACAAAAAGTAGTTTAAGCAAAAAGTGGAAATTTGTCAAAATTAAATCAAATATGAACACATAAAACAATGCAACCAAATTCAAACTGAAAGTCCTCTTACAAAATCAATACTAGAAAGCTAAAATGATTTAAGGTCTATATTTTTGTTTTCTGCAGAGCTAGGACTTTTATATGCTTACCAAACACTCCACCAGGAGTTATACCCAACCTCAGATTTCAACTTCCCAACTAGCAGTTCTATTTATTGAACAAAAATATATAAAGAGCTATAAAGACAATGAAACAATTTATTATCTATAATGTTTGAAATGGTATTTGGGGGCTGGCAACTATCAATTATAGGAGTCCATGCTTTGTCAAGCATTGGGGCACACGCCTTTAATTCCAGCACTAAGGCAGAAAACAGTTCCATGAGTTCAAGGCCAGCCTGACCTACAGAACAAGTTCCAGGACAGCCAGGGATACACAGAGCACTCATACATAAAAAAATAAGTTTTTTTTTAAGACACTTGTCTGTGTAATCTTCATGTACCAGGTGTATAAATTGCTCACTTTTACTGGGGCAGATGGAAGTGCACGCCTTTAATCCCAGTACTTGGGAAGCGGAGACAGGCGATCTCTGTGAGTTCAAGGCCAGCCTGGTCTACAGAGCGAGTTCCAAGACAGGTTCCAAAGCTACAGAAAAACCCTGCCTCAAAAAACAAAATAAACAAAATAATAGCATGTATTTCTATTTGGAGTAACAGGGCCCTACACTTCAAAATATAACATTTCTGACCTGGACAAGGATAAGATTTCAGGGAGCACAACTCTGCCTATGATATCAAAGGCACCAATGAAGTAGCATTACTGCAAGGAGGAGGAAGATGAAGCTGAACACATGGCCTAGGATAGTTGTTCAGTCTCTGAACTTCTAACAAAATCAGTAATTCTTACTTTGCTTTTAGAAACCTAGGGCTTTACCTCCAACTTTTAAAACAATAGTATCAGTATCTGTCTATACATATAGTTTAAAATGCAAAATATATTGGGTGTTCAACAGGATCCTAATAAAAACCACATTAATTTCATTCAACTGTAAAACCATCAAGGATGCGATGGCACTTTCCAAACAGTTAAGTGAGAAAAATTTTAAATGACAAAGTTGGAAAGGATGACGCACTTTTTTTTTTTTGGTTTTTCAAGACAGGGTTTCTCTGTGGCTTTGGAGGCTGTCCTGGAACTCGCTTGGTAGTCCAGGCTGGTCTCCAACTCACAGAGATCCGCCTGCCTCTGCCTCCCAAGTGCTGGGATTAAAGGCTTTTGTGTGCCACCAATGCCCAGCTGGGTAACACACATTTCTATGTAATCCTAACACTTGTGACACAGAAGTGTTTAAGAACATCTTCAACTACTAGTAGTTCCAGACTTACAAAAACTTACAAAATGAGACACTTATCAATAAATAAAAACACCAAAATAAAACCATACCACTGGGGGAAGGAAAGGCTGGAGAGATGACAAAGCAATTAGTATCACCGGCTGCTCTGAAGTACTCTCCCAGTACCCCAGTTCAATTGCCAGCACCCACATGACAGTTCACACCTGTAATTCCAGCTATAGGGCTTCTGACACCCTCACAGAAACAAGCAAAACACCACTGATAAGCCAGAAGGTCCAGATGGTGGTAGCACATGCCTTTAATTCTAGCACTCAGGAGGCAGAGGCAGGTGGATTTCTGTGAGTTCTATGCCAGCTTGATCTACAAAGCTACACAGAGAATCCCTGTCTCAAAAGGCAGTGGCTGAAGGTATAGCTCATTTATATACAAGCTTTTGAACTTGGTGTTGTTTTGTTTTATGCCTGGAATGGGACAGAAGAGGCAATCCTAAAAGAACAACAAACCTCTTCCAGTTTGTCAATGATCATAGCAAAGGCTTTGAAGATGGCATTAGTCGGTCCAGCCAAAGTGATAATTCTCTCAGGACAATTCCCTTCTGAGATGTTGATCCGTGCACCACTCTGGATAAGAAAAACAAGGGATTTTAATAGATAAAAAGAACGGAAATTGTACAGGATAGCCCGTCCTAGATAACAGGCAAGAAACTGCCTACATGCAACAGTATTTCAAATACTGTTCTGCTTGTCTTCAAATGACTTACTGCATTTTACGTTTTTGGTACTTTTCACAAAAATCACTTCCTATCACACTATTTGTCATTACAAATGCTTTCCCCCTTTGAGCTCCACCCCCGTAACCTCTCACACAGAACTTTTTCAGGGTCTTCCAAAGCTAGCAAATCCCAATGTTCCTTGTAACTTACCTCCTCGCGCATCTTCTTAACAGATTCTCCTTTCTGTAAGAGGAAAAGTCACGCATGAGCTCCAACTATTTCAGCCTCAACTGACTAAATAGTAATTAGAGTTGAGACAAAACTGTCTTACCTTTCCGATGATACTGCCAACTTCCTGTAACGAAGTATTGGTAATAGGAAATTCAGAATTCATCATTATGAAAAGAAAATTCTAAGTATTCAGCTATCCAACTACAAACTATGCTAATTACCAACCCAAAGGAATAAAAGGATTTTAAGATTCATGGGGGGGCACTTATTCATTTCCTTGCACAAAGTTCATACAGATGCTATCAAAGAATTAAGATTCATCAGGGTGTGGGGAAGGGTCTAGGCCCTGCCCAGGATGAAATGACAGACTATGGACACCCCCATGGAGGGCCTCACCCTCCCTGGGGAAATGAGGGGATATTGGGGGTGTTGGAGGGAGGGTACAGGAGGGAGGGAAAGGGAGAGGGACCTGGAACTGACTTGTGAAGCAACCTTGTTTCTAATTTAAATTTAAAAATAAATAATAATAATAATAAAAAAGATTCATCAGAGTGATTAAATCCAATACCTTAGTGTAATATGCAAAATGAGGCCTAGGGATACAACTCAATGGTAGTGTTTGCCCAAAGGCCCTCAATTCAATCTCTAGTACCACCAAAATAAAAGGCAAAACAAAATCTTCCTTTCTGAAATTATAAGCTACAACATCAGAATGTTTACCATCCAACTAGGACTGCTTTTTGGCTCTGTTTGTTAAGTCTTTCTTGCTCACTGAAGCTTCCTAGTAAAAGCTGTCCATTTTATTCACCACACTCCATTAGAGAAGAGTGCTAAAGCCAGATGTCCCACAGTGCTAATCTGATGAGCTCCAAGATACTTGTCTGCTTTTCCTGGCCCCACCCATAGCAGTTACTATGACCTAATTTTCCAAGCTAGTGCATACCTTTCCATGCATAAGTAGCCTGATGGTGAGAGTGACATTTAATCCACCTTCAATCACACCGGTGTCCATGTCTAGTAGTAACAGGGAGCTGGACTTGGAGTGGTCAAGTCTTTGGTCACTGGTGGGAGTGAAAGCCAAAACTGAAATATAAGAATGACCAAAATTAAGAGGGAGGAAGTAATCCTTTTTCAGTTATTTTCACTCCACCTTTATCTAATTGATTTTTTTTTTTTTGGTTTTTTGAGACAGGGTATCTAATTGATTCTTTTCCTTTAAATGTTAGCCTATCAGACTTGTAAACACACCCATCACGACTTCATAACACTTACAGATCAGGTTTTGTTTCCAGTTTGCTCATTAATGATAGGGTTTCCACTGATGATTGGGATGAGAAAGATTCGTTCCTTCCACTGGCAATGGTTCTAAGGGAACTCTTAAGTGCACGAAGTTGTACTTCAGCTGAGTACATTTTGAAAAGGACTGAAAAACAGCTGAACAAACTTTACTATATACAGTGAGGGCAAATTCAGCGTCTTCCTTCGAGGCAGTTGGAAGTGAAGGTAGAGTACATACGTAAATGTTCTTAGTGTTAACCACCAAATGATTTTAAAATAATTCAGTTCAGATCTGCATATGGTGGTACATACTGTATTACTCTTTGCATTTCAGAGCTTCTGACATGATTGCTCTAAGTTCAAAGCCACCTTAGGCAAGATATTGAGAACAACGTCAGCTGCCAGGACTACACATTGGGACAGTCACAAAATAACAAGAAAAACAGTTTAGTCCAGGAGTCTCACTGAAAAAAAGCATTATCCAAGATACATTCCACAGCTGGTAGGATTCCATATTCCTCCTCTGAAATCTGATTCTGTATATATCTCAATTCTTTTCTCAAATTCTCACTCTAATCAATTTGAGAAATTTTCCTTATCCTTGTATGTTAACTTTGACTATCACACACTTCTAAAATCTTTCAAAACTTAAATTTTCTTCCAAATACAAATAGGTACATGGTGCTGGGCATTGGTGGTACACGCCTTTAATTCCAGCACTTGGGAGGCAGAGGCAGGCGGATCTCTGAGTTTCAGAGCAGTCTGGTCTACAAAGGCTAGCTCCAGGACAGTCTGCAAAGCCATAGAGAAACCCTGTCTCGAAAAACAAAAACAAAAAAACTGATAGTAGTAAAATTTTACTTCATATTTGCTTTAAAGAATCCCTAGTGAAATTACCAGGATGGCCCATGTACTCATCCTCTAAACAACAGAGAATTTGGATTTTGATGTTTTTGCCTTTAATAACCTTCCCATTTAGCACCAAACACTGGTAGTTTCCAAAGAGTCAAGTTTTCAAAAGTCCTGAAGCTTCTCTAACAGCAAGTCAAGTATTCATCCCTTCATATCAGTATCAATGATTTCTCCTAATTTTGTCCCTTCAAAACATCACTTCATTTTGCTGTATACACAATCCCCATACCCTCAAGGTTTTGGGGTTTTTGGAGACAGGGTCTCACTATGCAGCCCAGGACCAAATGGAACTTCTTAAACACCATGTTGGCCTCCAAACTCGAGGACCCATCTGCCTCTGCAGCTCTAAACATTGAGAGCACTTAAGAGTGGCTGTCACACCTCTCTGTGTATGGCAATGATGTTGTCTTCTGGTTACTTCGCAATGATTAAATGATTATGTAAATGCACCCCAAAGCACAGCAGTTACTTGCTGTCAAAAAACTCACAAATCAACATCTCACTCGTGGAAAAACAAGGCTTATTGACTTAAGTCTGTAAGATTAATTTTTCCCCTCAAATGTACGGAATAAATCTGGTAGGTTTAATTTCGTATCCCTACTCAAAATCCCATTTTACAAATACAGTAATACAAGTTCAAGGGGACAAGAAAACCTATCTACAAAACCACTTAAGTAAAACACGAAGATGCATTTAAAAAAAAAAACTCCAAGCCCTCTAATACAAAAAAAAAAAAGACACCTCTGTGACTTCCTCTCCTGAGTAGGTCAATCTAAGTGTACCCCATCCCGGGAATCCAGCTGTTAATCCTGCAGTCAATTACCCCTCTATAAATAGCTCGGTCTGGTTTATAGCGGCAGGCATTTTGTAATTTCAAAATTCGTTACCCGAGAGAACGTCAGAGTAACTCGGTAACTGGGAGTCTGCCTACCCTTTAACTCTGCAGCCCCCACTCCCCTCCCCCCCGCCCTGGTCATCTAAGCATTTTCCACTTTAAAAAAAAAAATAATAAATCCCCCCTTCCCTTAACTAGAAGGGGGGAGGAAATAAACGGTTCGGTCAGGGGGGGGCGCTGCGACCCAGGGGGGAGGGGCCGGACGAGTAGCGCCTCCTCGTGTGGCTGCGCCAGCGCCTGACCCCCGCGGGGAGCCGCGCTCACCCTCCCGGCCAGCAAGCCGGCCATCGCCTCCCCAACCCCCCTCAACCAACAAATCCACCGCCGCCCCCCCCCTGCCGCGCGCGCGCCCTCCCTGACTCCTGCGCAGCCGCCACCGGGAAAAGGCGGGGGGAGGGGGGAAGGCAGGCTTTGCGCGAGGCCTACTAGGCCGCGCCAGAGCCAGGGCCTCGCGTGAATGGACGGCCAGGAAGAGAGAAGTAGTGGACGCTCAAACGGGACTACGAAAGGCCGAGGCTCCAGACTAGGAACGAAGTCCTTCGAGAAAGATGACATGAATGGAGACAGAAGACATTGCCGGGGGCGGAGGAGAATTTTTTAAGCTTACCTGGAGGCGCGAGTCGACTGAGGGGAAAAGGGGAGCGGGCGGGAAGGGGAAGGGCGGGAGGCCGGGGGCGGAACAATAGGGGCGGGCGGGAAGGCGAGGGGGGCCCCGCTAGCGGGCGGAGGAGGGGGGGGGTGGAGGAGGAGGAAGGGGGAAAGAGACCCCGGGGCGGGTGGAGGGCGGCGGAGGGCGGGCGGGCGGGCGGAGGGCGGGCGGGCGGGAGAGGGCGCAGGCTGCGGCTGCTCCGGCTGCTGCCTCTGCTGGTCTGGGAGGGGGACGGGGCGGAGCGGGCCGCTTTCAACCCCGCGCACCCTTCGACCCCGGAAGCGCTAACCGCCCCGGGGGCCGGCGAGTCGACTGCGTCGTCCACACCTTCCCCACGCAATGCGGACGGCCTTCTCGGAGCCTAGAGCGGCTCCTCGGACAGCGTCAGCACCAGCGAGACGAAGGCCGGTAATCAACCGGGAGATGTGGGATAGAGCGGCAGCATTGGGGTGCGGAGAAAACTAGTGGCCTCTAGCGGGCGAGATGGGAAACTCAGGCCTAAGTGCGAATTGAGGTGGCCATAGCCATGGATCAACAACAGAGGAGGAAATGGGATAGGAGGGAAAGGAAAATCCAGTTGTCCAAAAAAAAAAAAAAAGAAAGAAAGAAAGCATCACACTAGCTGCTTACTCTAACAATAACCCCGTTTAGTCAGTGCAGAAGAAATGAAAACATCATTATTCTGCAGCCCAGATGCCGAACCAGGTAATAAAAATTATAATGAAGAGTTCAATTTAAAATGTTCTTTCCGGGCGTTGGTGACACACACCTTTAATCCCAGCACTCCGGTGGCAGAAGCAGGCGAATCTCTGTGAGTTCGAGGCCAGTCTGGTCTACAGAGCAAGTTCCAGGCCAGACTCCAAAGCAACACAGAGAAACCCTGTCTCCAAAAACCAAAAAAAAAAAAAAAGATGTTCCTAAACTCAGAGGCAGGCCAACCTCTGAGTTACAGGCCAGCCTGGTCTGCAGAGCAACTCCCAGGACAGTCGGGCTACATAAAAACTGTGTCTTTAAAAATAAAAGGAAAGAAGAAGAAAGGAAGAGAAGATTCTTAGATGTTCTTAGTGTGATAGTGGTGTCACCACAGACTGTTTTCAAACTGAACAATAATAAAGTAACTTTCAATAGAGATCTGACAAGTTACCACCTTAACCAAGTAATCAAATTTCATTAGTATTACAACTTTGATAATGTGAGATCCTTGATAAGATATGAGATGTATCTATACTATACTACTTGAATAGAATTCCTGCCAAGCCAGGAGGCGGCGGAGTATGCACGCCTTTAATCCCAGCACTCGGGAGGCAGAGGCAGGCGGATCTCTGTGAGTTCGAGGCCAGGCTGGACTGACAGCCTCCAAAACAATACAGAGAAACCCTGTCTCATAAAACCAAAAGAAAAAAGACTTCCTGCCAAAAACAGTTTATCTTGTTATTAGATCTATTTTGCCTTTTACAGTGACAAAGGAACAAGTTGAACATCAGTACAAGAAGATAGTCTGGCTGAGTAACAGTGGTGCACACCTTTAATCCCAGAATTTCGGGGGCAGAGGAAGGAAGATCTCTTGAGTGGGAGGCCCAAGCCCTGTCTAGGGAAAGAAAAAAGAAAGCAAGATAGTCTTCGGGCAAGCACAGTGAGTAATGCTCTGGGGAAGTTAAGACAGTGGTGAATCCCAAGACAGGACACCCTGGGATGCATAGCAATGCTGTTTGGTTGTTGATTTTTTTTAATCTGTTTTTCCTTTTTTTTTCTCTTTTTTTAAAATTTAAGTTAGAAACAAGCTTGTTTCACATGTCAATCCCAGCTCTGTTGTTGATTCTTGCTTTGTTTTTGTTTCTTAACAAAACACTCCACAAGACATCTGTCATGGTTTCTTTAAAAAAGTAATAAACTTTTTTTAAAGGTTTATTTATTATGTATACAATGCTCTGCCTGCATGCATGCTTGCACACTGGAAGAAGGCACCAGATCTCATTACAGATGGTTGTGAGCCACCATGTGGTTGCTGGGAATTGAACTCGGGACCATTGGAAGAGCAGCCAGTGCTCTTAACCTCTGAGCCATTCCTCCAGCTCCCAAAAGTAATAAACTTTTAAATGTTTATTTTAACTCATGTATGGGTTTTTGTCTGCATACCACATGTGTGCCTTCCAGAAGAAGTTATCAAAACCCCTGATACTTGAGTTCCAAATGGTTGTGAGCCATCTTATGAATGCTAGAAATTGAACTTGGGTCTTCTGCAAGAACAGCAAGTGTTCTTAACCCGTAAGCCATATCTCCATCCTGCAATAAACTTTTTAAAACATTGTCTTGTATCTGTATACACAAAGTGTGTGTGTGTGTGTGTGTGTGTGTGTGTGTGTGTGTGTGTGTGTCCACTACAACGTGAGGAAATCAAAGGGTGACTTTTAGGAGGAGTCAGTTCTCTCCTTCAGCCTGGAAATCAGACTCAAGACATCTGGCTTAATGGCAAATGTCTTTTCCACCTTGCTGAGCCATCTCACTGGCCCTCAGAGCTGGAGAGCTATCTCAGTAGTTAAAAGGGCTGACTGCTCTTCCAGAGGATCAGGGATCCCTCTCCAAAATCAACTAAGGGTCTCACACTGGCTGTAACTCCAATTACATAGGATGCAACGCCCTCTTCTGTACTACTCAGGCACTGCATGCAACACACACACACACACACACACACACACACACACACCAAAACAGGTAAATCTGTCAGGAGTGGTGGCACACACCTTTAATTGCAGCACTCTGGAGGCTAAGGCAGGCAGATATGTTTGAAGTCAGTCTGGTCTACATATAGCAAGTTCCAGGACAGCCAGTGCTACACAGTAAGATCCACTCTCAAAAAACAAAAAAGTAAACCCAACATTGATGGCACATGCCTTTAATCCCAGCACTCGTGAGGCAGAGGCAGGTGGATCTCTGTGAGTTCGAGGCCAGCCTGGTCTACAGAGCGAGTTCCAGGACAACCTCTAAAGGATTCGAGAAACCCTGTCTCGAAAGACCAAAAACAAACAAACAAACAAAGTAATAATTTGCTGCTCCCTAGTAGATGGCTCACAATTCCCTGAAACTCCATCTGATGACTTCTTCTGGACTCAAGGGCACCTACACTCTAATGTGTGAATAACCACCATACATATATACATGTACATATAAATATTTTATTCTTTCTTTTTTATTTGTTTTGGGTTTTTTGAGACAGGGTTTCTCTATGTAGTCTTGGCTGTCCTGGAACTGACTTTGTAGACCAGTAGACCAGGCTGGCCTCAAACTCACAGAGATCCACTGCTTCTGCCTCCCCAGTGCTGGGATTAAAGGTGTGTGCCACCACTGCCATTCTAAAGTGGCTATTAATCCCAGTGCTTTCGAGGCCACTAACACCTGTCTTTTTTTTTTTTTTTTTTTTTTTTTTGTTTTTCGAGACAGGGTTTCTCTGTGGCTTTGGAAGCTGTCCTGGAACTCACAGAGATCCTCCTGCCTCTGCCTCCCAAGTGCTGGGATTAAAGGCGTGCGCCACCAACGCCCGGCTCTTGCTATAGTCTTAAGTAAAGCAAGATTTACACTGAGGGGCCGGGCGTTGGTGGTGCACGCCTTTAATCCCAGCACTCGGGAGGCAGAGGCAGGAGGATCTCAGTGAGTTCGAGGCCAGCCTGGTCTACAGAGCGAGTGCCAGGACAGCCTCCAAAACTACACAGAGAAACCCTGTCTCGAAAAACAAAAAAACAAAAAAAAAAATTTACACTGAGTGTGGAAGACAATAAGAAACTCACAAGATCTAAAAATACAAGTTCAGAGGCTAGAGGTGGCTCAGCAATTACTAGCATATACTGCTTTTGCAGAGGATCAGAGTTCAAAATTCCCTGAACCTACATCAGGTGACTCACAATTACACATAGCTCCAGCTCCAGGGGATCTGATGCACCTAAATTCATATGAACAAACACACAATTTGAAACTGATGCACAGCCGGGCGTTGGTGGCGCACGCCTTTAATCCCAGCACTCGGGAGGCAGAGGCAGGCGGATCTCTGTGAGTTCGAGGCCAGCCTGGACTACCAAGCGAGTTCCAGGACAGCCTCCAAAGCTACAGAGAAACCCTGTCTCGAAAAACCAAAAAAAAAAAAAAAAAAAAAAAAAAAGAAACTGATGCACAAAGCTTTCAGGAGCCAGGTCGCTCATGGGATTGGGAAAAGCCAACAGAGAGTGGCGAAGACTAGAGTTGAGACCCATTTATACTAGGCACAACCAGAACTTACATCTTCAGAGGTGTAAACACATGCTAGTTTCAGCTGGAAATCTAAATCTTTAGGAAATGACATTTTAGCAAGACAGTGTTCCCTCCAAACGCCTCAGCCAGATATAGCCTACAGCTCCCAATTTTTCACCCTCTGTTCACTATAGTAGTTGCGTATATACTAGATACTGGCTAAGCCAAGTGGCACTGGGGAGGCAGAGGCAGGAGAACCCAAAGTCTGAAGCAAGCCTGGCTACCCAGCAAGTTCCAGGCCAACTTTAAACACTTAAAAACACCCTCTCTCAAGAAAACAAAAGGAGCCAGTACGTGTTCCACACCTCTAATCCCAACACAGCACAGGCAAAGGCAGGAGGATCTCTGTGAGTTTGAGAACAGCCTGGTCTACATAGTGAGTTCCATGAGTCAGAGCTACATAATAGACAAACAAACAAACAAAAAGCCGGGTGGTGGTGATGGCGGTGTCACAAACCTGTAATCCCAGCACTCTGGAGACACAGGCAGGCAGATCTGTTTGAGGTCTACCTGGTCCACATCGTGAGTTCAAGGCCATCAAGAGCTACATAGATCATTAGAAAAATACAAACAAGCTGGGCAGTGGTGGCACATACCTTTAATCCCAGCACTGAGGGTTAGAGTGGGGAGGCAGAGACAAACAGACCTCAGTGAGTTCAAGGCCAGCCTGGTCTACAAAGTGAGTTCCAGGACAGGCTCCAAAGCTACAGAGAAATCCTGTCTCAAAAAAACAAACAAAAAAGAAAGAAAAGAAAAAGAAATAGCCTCCAGTTCCCTACTGTACAGGAGCATGGCCTTCTCTCTCCTAAGCTTCCTGTAGGTGATGCCTGTTATTGGGATTAACAAAAACCCAAGCAATAGGGTACACCTGTAAGGGATTACTCATTTTTCATTTTTTTTTAATTTAGGTTAAAAACAGTCTTGCTTCACATGTCAGGGATTATTCATTTCTTAATTAAGTCATTTGAAATGGGAAGATGTATTTTTTTTTCCAGGATGGCCTCAAACTCAGAGATCCACCTGCCTCTGCCTCCCGAGTGCTGGGATAAAAGTTGTGCGCCGGGCATTGGTGGCGCACGCCTCTAATCCCAGCATCCCAACACGGGGGGGGGGAGGGGCAGAGGCAGACAGATCTCTGTGAGTTCGAGGGTTCGAGGCCAGCCTGGTCTTCAAAGAGAGTTCCAGGACGGTCTCCAAAGCAATACAGAGAAACCCTGCCTTGAAAAAAGAAAACAAAAAACAAAAAAAGTTGTGCACTGCCAGCACAGCCACCTGACCCAGCAAGACCCACTTTTAATCCAGACCTTTTGAGGCAGGAAGACCCACTTCTAGCCTGGGCCACACCTTCTGGTGGAATCCTATATACAGGACATGGAGAAAGGAAGCCCTCTTGTTGCCTGGTTGCTCTGTGGCACGTCCATTCCTTCACTGGCTCTAGAACCTACTTCTTCAAGATTCTGGTGTATACTGAAAAGCATCCAGCTTCATGGGCTGAACAAACACTGGATCCTTCAGTTGGTAGACAGCTGTTGTTGGATTATAGACTAGCTGGACCACAGCCTATAAGCCATTCTAATAAATTCCATATATATCATATTTTCTTCTATAATTTCTGTTTATCTAGAGATCCCTGACTAATACACTAATAAAATACTTTCTAAATTGAAAAAAACAAACAAACCTGGGCTGGGGAGTCCAGTTATTAGAATGTTTACGTACCATGCACAAGGTCCTGGGTTTAGGCCCCAGCACTATATAAAAACAGGCATGCTGGCACACAACACATCTGTAATCCCAGTATAAACAGGAAGATCAGGAAGATGTAAATCCTTGGCTACATAGTGAGCTTGAGGTTTGGGATGCATGGGACCATCAACTAGTTTTTTGTTGAAAAATTAAGCCAGGCTGTGTTGTCTCTAACCCCAGCACTCAAGAGTCAGAGGCAGGCAGATCTCTGAGTAAGAGGTCAGGCTGGTCTAAGACAGCGGGGGCTACACAGGTAAACCCTGTCTCACAAAACAACAACAACAAAGTGTGGTGATGGAGAGACTGCTCTTCCAAAGGGTCTAAGGTTGGTTGGTTCCAAGAGACTCACAAATGGTCTGTAACTCCAGTATCAGGAGATCCTATGCCCTCTTCTGGCTACCACAGGAACTGCATCCATAAATGCACACACATACATGAAGACCAAACACCTGAACATTTTTAGACCCTCCAGGGTTTTCTCTCTTATTTAGTAGATCCAGGGAAGAACCACAATTTATCGCTTAAATTTTGAGTAGCCAAAGATTGGAGACCTCTATAGCAGTCTGGGCATGGTGGCACACTCTTTTAATCCCAGCCTTGGGAGGCAGAGGAAGGTAGATCTCTGTGAGTTCCAGTCTAGCCTGGTGTACATATTGTTCAGTTCAGGCCAGCCATGGATACATACTGAGACCCTGTCTTAAAGAAAACTTCTGTAGCAAATGAAAATATGCTATTGTTGGACAGTGGTGGTGCACACCTGTAACCCCAGCACTCAAGAGGCAGAGGCAGGAGGATCTCTGAGTTTGAGGCCATCCGGGTCTACAGAACCAATTCCAAGACAGCCAGAGCTACACAGTAGTGTCCTCCTCACTGATGCGCTGGCTCCCTACTTCAAATGACACCAGCCTGGGGATGTAACTCAGTTGGTAAAGTGCCTGCCTAGCAAGCACGGCTGAGCTCAAGTCCATAAGCAGGGTGTGGCGGCTCCAGCTTGTGATCCTGGCACTCGAAGGTAGAAACAGGAGGATCAGTGCACCCAGTAACCTTCGACTACATAGTGAAGCCTGGGTGGTGTGAGAATCTCAGAGGAAGAAAAAAAGGGACACACCTTAAAGGGTGTGACCAGGAGTAGCAAAAGTAGCCCAGGGTGTTGAACCCAGTCAAGGCAATGGCACAGATAGCAGAGGCCAGGAGAATAACTTTTATTTGGACTTAGGAGCCATCTGAGATAGCATGTTGAACTAAGTTCTAGAAGAGCTCATCCAGCAAGGTGACTCTACTTCCCAGCAGCTCTGCAGTTACTGCAATCAATAAAAAGCCTATGGGGAACATAGTTCCCACTCCATCACCCTAATGTGCCATCATTACAAAAGTACAGGTTTTTTGATCATAAATTTTCACAAACCCCAGTCACAAGCATTACAAAAGATTACATGGCGCAGATCTTAAAACTGTCTTCACCATTTAGCTCAGAGGTCTCACCATCTTCAAAAGACAGAGCTCCTGCTGACCTCATCAACTATAACACCAAGCAAGGACAAGGCAGCATTTGCCAACTCATGGCAATCTTCTTCCCAGTCTCCCTAGACAGCCAGGCCAAACAGCAGGGGAAGGCGCAGGTAGGAGTGGGGCGGGGAGGGCTAATCTCCCTCAGCACAAGATGACAGCTGAAGCTCGGTGAGGAGGGCCCAGGCCCTGCATTCAGTCAGAGTCACTGCTGGAGGAGGAGGAGGAGGAGGAGGAATGCTGCAGGGGAAAGGACATAGATAGCATCAGATCCCAATGACCTTCCATCACTCCAACGGCCATTCTTGGATGCCCCGCCCTGCCACCCAAGTATCTAGCAGGCAGGAGTCTTAGCCCATCCTGCCCCATAGCCAACAAAATCAAGGGTTTCCTTCAGCAGGGAGCATACAGGAACAGATTAAACTTCTGCACAGAACTGAACATGTTGTTGCCTTCAATGGAGTTTCTCACTTTCCACGCCTAGGCAAGGCCAGGAACATGGAGTAATGAGCATAGCACCACTCTACACATCAGATGCTATCTTATACCTTATACCTGCTGACTGGCTGCAAGTAGGGATGATCACAAACTAGAATCTCTGTACCTAAGAGAGGGTAGAAACCCAGGGGCAGCTGTGTGGGTGATGCTGTACCTCTAAAACCCACCAGGGGGAAACGTGGGGAAAGTGGGAGAGACAGCTAGCTGGCGATATCCCATCCAAGGACCCATACAGACACACCTCTACCAACTACCACTACAAACATCTTCAGACTCTTCAGGGTTTTCTCCTTCATTTGGTCTCTCCTTCTTTACTCCTCACATTTCTACCAAAGACCTAGAATAGGAACTAGAGCCCAAGTCCACAAAGCAAACATTGGGCATAAAATCTAACTGAAGCTTGGAGACCCAGGTAGGTCCTCTCCCACCCAAGTCCTCAAGGAAACTTCTCCCACCCTCCCTAATAATAATTAGCATTCCTTCAGAAGGAAGATAAAACCCTTTTATGGCAGGGTTTGTTGGAGGCTGAGTCACAGAAGAAATGCCTAGGTAATTAACAACACCTTGGGAATACTGAAGGAGATAAAGGAAACCCTGGAACTAAGTCCATGTTTACCATTCTGTTAATTATTATATGTGGTTTTGCTTTGTCAAAAGACTCACTCAGGGCTGGAGAGATGGCTCAGAGGTTAAGAGCACTGACTGCTCTTCCAGGGGTCCTGAGTTCAATTCCCAGCAACCACATGGTGGCTCACAACCATCTGCAATTCAATCTGATGTCCTCTTCTGGCATGTAGGCAGAACACTGTATATGTAATAAATAAATCTTTAAAAAAAAAAGACTCACTCAATTGACAATTAGACAACCTCAGGGTGTGTGTCCAATTTGCCAAAACATACACCTGGAAGGTCTAGGGTTGGGGGTGTTTGTGGGAAAGAATTATTCAGAGAAGGGAGAGGACTCTTGGTTCTGATAGCCTCCAATGCTTCGCTTTCCCTTTTCAGAAACAGGAGAGAGCTGGTGCCTTGATATTATGATTACATTCCTATCAGGAGGATTCCTTTACATAAAGGAAAAGTCACCTACCAAATTAATGTGACTGCCATCTCCCACACCCACAGACCATGAGGCCCTTCCCCAAGCCCTGCTCACCCCAGTCCCTCTGAAGGACACTCCTTCCCCAGCCAGGCTCCAGAGGAAACTGACCTTTCCATGTTTGTGTTGTTTGTGCATCTTCTTATGAGCCTTCTTCATTTTCTTCCGTGTCTTCTTGTCTATCGCCATTCCCGGGCCTACCATGCCAGGAGCCAGAGGATTCCCAGGGCACATGCCAGGAGCAGGTGGTGGGTACGGGGGAGGGTGGGGCCCTGAGGGTTGGTATCCTGGACACCCTGGTTGTGGTACAGGATAAGGGGGGCGACATGGAGGGAAAGCTGGGTTTCCCTGGGGTATTCCTGGAGGACAGGGGCCAGGAGGAAAGGCAGGGTTCATAGGTGGTGGACAGGCAGGATTGGGACCTCCTGGACACACAGCGTGGGGTGGATATGGGTTAGGCCCTGGAAAAAGAACCAGAGAATAAAGATTAGAACTTTCCAGAACCTCTGTCAACAAATAACAAAATTTACTGCTTTTCCTAACACTGTGAAAAGGGAAAACTTGGTAGCAGTGGTCCAAGGCTTCACTTTTGCTTGGAGGTGGGGATTGTGGATACAGAAACTGTCTGTTCCATTGCAAAGTGGGCTTGGTGGGGCAGAGGTGAGCCCCCAGGTACTTACCAGCGTTAGGGTTCCACATGTCCAGATGTTAGCTCCAGCCTAAGAAGAAAAAGGCAAAAATCTGAAAGTCCTAGGAGAGGAGTCCGAGCCCCACCCTCCAGCCTTCGCCTTACAAAGGCTCTAACAGAACTACTACGTGTGATGGCCAACGCCTTTAGTTCCAGCGCTAAGAAAAGGCAGGCGGATCTCCGCGTCCAAGGCCAGCCTCATCTACAGAGAGAGTTCCAGGACAACCAGACCTACCCAGAGAAACCCTGTCTCAAAAAAAAACAAAACAAAACAAAAATAAATAAGAACTTCCTCTTTCCAGCGCCCTCTAGCCTACTCTAGCCTAGGGTCAAAACCACAGAAATTCTATTCCCAGGGCCCCTCCCATTTTCATTACCTCAAGCCACACCTGTAGGAATCTAACTCTCCCCATCACTCATTTCCTTTCCCCCCCCCGAAAAGGAACCGGAGGTCTTTAACCATGGGAAGTGCTAGAGGGAACCTCAAGCCACCTAAACTCCCTGGTCCGCTCCCAGGACACTCCTGATGAGGAGTTCAGAATAGGATTCCGCCCCGGAGCAGCAAAAGGAAGAAAGTTCCAGGTCCTCAAACGCTTAGATAAGGGGACACACACACACACACACACACACACACACACACACACACACACACACACACACACACACACACACACACACACACACGAGAGAGAGAGAGAGAGAGAGAGAGAGAGAGAGAGAGAGAGAGAGAGAGAGAGAGAGAGAGAGAGAGCGCAAACGGAGTTCCTAGTTCCCAGATACAAACAGACCAACAGACGCCTGGCCCCTATTAAGAGGAAAGAAGGGAATTAGGGAGGCCAGATGCTCTGTCACCCTGTCACCTTCCGAAGACAGCTGGGCCTGCTCTGCCGTCCGCCTTTCGAGTCTGAGTTCGCACTTCCTGGTCACCCCTATTCATTGTATGCTTCCGCAACGCCCCTGTGACCTAGTTGATAATTATGTGGTCATTCGGCATGATGATTGGAGAGCTGACCTGTCAATCGCTGTGGTCCAACTAAACTAGAAGGAGGCGGAGCCTTTTGGGAAGCTTGGAGGCGGAGCCTTTTGGGAAGCCTTGCATGATGAAATAGACACACAGGTGAAATACAGAAACACAGCAGAAACGCTCCTTATGGCGAAGCCTGGGCAGAGCCCGCTGCAGGCAAAGACCCTGCGCCACCAAGATAAACGCTCACTAGGTTATTGGTTTATTTCGTTTTTTTAATATATATATATTAATATTTATTTATTTATTATGAATGCAACACCCTGCCTCCATGCCTGCACGCTAGAAGAGGGTACCAGATCTCAATTATAGATGCTTGTGAGCCACCATGTGGTTGCTGGGAATTGAACTCAGGACCTCTGGAAGAGTAGTCGGTGCTCTTAACCTCTGAGCCATCTCTCCAGCCCCCTAGTTTTTTTTTTTTAAGATTTTATTGTTTATTATGTATGCAGTGTTCTACCTGCACACCAGAAGAGGGCACCAGACTTCATTACTTATGGTTGTGAGCCACCATGTGGTTGCTGGGAATTGAACTCAGGACCTGTGGAAGAGCAGCAAGTGCTCTTAACCACTGAGCCATCTCTCCAGCCCTAAATGAAATTTAATCCACTAGAGTTTAGTGCACATATAGTTCAAATTGTCTTCCATCCAAGTACTAACCAGGCCCGACCCTGCTTAGCTTCCGAGATCAGAAGAGATGGGGCGCGTTCAGGGTGGTATGGCCGTTTATTTAGGTTTTTTAATTTATTTTTTCATGCATATGAATGTTCTGCCTGAATGTATATGTATGTGCACTAGGCGCCTGCTTAATGACAGCGGGAGTCATCAAATCCCCTGGAACTGGAGTTGCTAATGGTTGTGAGCAACTATGTGGGTGCTGGGCACTGAACCCAGGTACTGTGCATGAGAAACAAGTGTTAACTGTTGAGCCATCACTCCAGTCCCTGTCATTGGTTTAAGGTTACAGTCAATGAGTATATTAGGAGTTGTTTTAAATGGGGGACAGAGGGGGTGCAAGCCTAGCCTAGTAGCACTTGTCTGTAACCTAGCGCTTGGAAAGTGGAGGAGGAGAATCATAATTTAAGGCCAGCGCTAGCTTCTGGTCGAGATTGAGGCCAGCCAATCCTACTTAAAACAGCAGAGGTAAGTGGAGCAGTGGAGCCTCATACCTTTATTCTCAGCAGTGCGGAGGCAGAGGCAGGCTGATCTCTGTGAGTTCAAGAGTTTGGTCTATACAGATCAGGTTCTAGGATAGCAGAGGCTACACAAACTCTGTCCAAAGCCCACACACAGGGGTGGTGCGTGGGGAGTTGCTGAGTGCCAGTACCAAGCCTCCATATCGCCAGCCTGTGAAAAGCAACATTCTTGAGGGGAAGACAGATTCCCTAATCTCTCAAAAATCTCCATTTCATTGCTCTGTCACCTGTGGGGTTGCTTGAAACAGAAACTTAGGTCATCCTTTTGTTGTTGTTGTATTCTTGAGATTGGGTTTCATTATGTAGCCCAGGCTGGCCTCAAACTTATAGCTGCTCTCCTCACCCAGCCACCTCATTATGTTCCAGGTCACCCACCGTGTGTCTTCCATCTTTCCCTTTCACCCTAACCCCAGGGCAACACAAGTTATACTTTTTTTTTTTTGAGACAGGGTTTCTCTGTGGCTTTGGAGGCTGTCCTGGAACTAGGTCTTGTAGACCAGGCTAGCCTCGAACTCACAGAGATCCACCTGCCTCTGCCTCCCGAGTGCTGGGATTAAAGGCATGTGCCACCAACGCCCGGCTCAGGACTGTATTTGTGACTAATTGTATAACGGGTTATTTTAGTTTCTGCTCTGTGGAAAGTGTAAAAGCATTCCAACAAAGGGTTTTACTATAGACCTTTTTTCACCCATGCTATTGATTGCTAAATATAGTAGTCTGATCATGACGCTTTTTTAAAAATGTGCTGTGTAAAGTTAGTCTACTCTGAAGCCATCTTGGTAAACTTCCCCAAGAGTGTGAAGTTAAAATTCCTTCAGAGTGGTGCCAAGTTCCATTTGGGATTTATTTATGATTGCTTGGATGGAGAAGCCGTTGTCTTCAAAAACCTTGGTGTAGTTAAACTGCCAGTTATTGTTGTGACTTATTAATGAGTTTTACCATTAAAAGGATAATCCAAGCCCCCCCAAGAAAAAGGTTACCTCCCCAACTATTACATTTCATGTTCAAGATTAGCCTGGGCTATATGAGACCTTGTGGAAAAGGGGAGATCAGTTACAGCCTCAATCAACTATATTTAAATTTAAATTAACATAATTCAATTATCAGAGGATTGCATAATACATACCATGTATTATTTGGGGTCTTGGTTTGTTTGAGAGAGGGACACCCTATGTAGTCCTGGCTGGCCTGGAGCTTGCTATATAGACCAGACTGGTCTTAAGCTTACAGCAATCCTCCTGCCTCTGCCTCCCTGGTACTCGGATTGTAGTCATATGTCACCATACCCTGTTCTTCCTTCCTTCTTTTTATTTTTTGTGGAGAGACAGAGTAAGAGACAGTCTCAATATACCCAATATGTAACCACACTCTTCCTGTTTCACCCTCCCAGATGCTGTGATCAGAGTTTCATGCTGTTGTTGCCTAGTGTCGAGTATTATTTTAAGGTGTGTCACATTTGTTTATGCCATGGAGCATTTTTTTTTTTTTTTTGGTTTTTCGATACAGGGTTTCTCTGTGGCTTGGAGGCTGTCCTGGAACTCACTCTGTAGACCAGGCTGGCCTCGAACTCACAGAGATCCGCCTGCCTCTGCCTCCCGAGTGCTGGGATTAAAGGCGTGCGCCACCAACGCCCGGCGCCATGTAGCATTTGTTTTAATGATGCAAAGATGTATTGCATTCTTTTATGTTGCATTTGTTTGATCTGTGAAGCTGTGATTCTCTGCTTGTCTAAAATACCTGATTGTCTAATAAACAGCTGAACGGCCAATATCGAGGCAGGAGAAAGGATAGGCAGGGTTGGCAGGCAGAAAGAAAAAAATAGGAGGAGAAATCAGGGAAAAAGAAGAGAGTGAGAGAACAAGGAGAGGACACTAGGGGTCAGCAACCTACGTACACAGCCAGCCACAGAGTAAAAGTGAAAGTAAGATACACAGAAGAAAGGGAAAAGCCCAGAGGCGAAAGGGAGATGGGATAAATGAAGAAAAGCTAGATAGGGGCTTGAGAGATGGCTCAGAGGCTAAGAGCACCGACTGTCCTGAGTTCAATTCCCAGAAACCACATGGTGGCTCATAACTACCTGTAATGAGATCTGCTGACCTTTAGACAGAATGCTGTATACATTCTATAATAAGCAAATCTTTAAATAAAAAAGAAAGAAAAACTGGCTAAAAATTGTTTTATAAAGAATGTTGTGAAATATCAAAATTTTAATGATTTTATTTACATATTATATATAGTGTTCTGTCCCCAGGTATCCCTGCAGACCAGAAGAGGGCACCAGATCTCATTTCAGATGGTTTGAAGCCATCATGAGATTGGTGGGAATTAAACTCAGGTCCTCTGGAAGACTAGCTAGTGTTCTTTTTTTTTTTTTTTTTTTTTGCCTTTTTGAGACAGGGTTTCTCTGTAGCTTTTGGAGACTGTCCTGGAACTAGCTCTTGTAGACCAGGCTGGCCTCAAACTCACAGAGATCTGCCTGCCTCTGCCTCCTGAGTGCTGGGATTAAAGGCGCGCACCACCACCACCACCACCACCACCACCACCACCACCACCACCACCACCACCACCACCACCACCACCACCCAGCTCTAGCTAGTGTTCTTAATCACTGAGCCATCTCTCCAGCCCTAAGGGCTGGCATTTATAAGTCAGATAAAAGTCTCTGTGTGTGACTTATTTTGTGGGCTGGATGGCAGGCCCTCCAAAAGAGCCAAAAGAGTAAAGAGAAAAACAAACAAAAAACAACAACTACAGTTTCCAGTAAATTGATGTTTTGTTTATTTTTTATTTTTATTTTTTTTGAGACAGGGCCTTCCTATATAACTCAGGCTGGCCTTGGATGAGAAGCAATCTTCCCACTTCTGCCTTTCTTGGATACTAGAATAATAGGAGTGAGCCAGCACTCTCAGAATTTTTTTCCAAGACAGGGTTTCTCTGTGTAGCTTTGGAGGCTATCCTGGAACTCACTCTGTAGACCAGGCTGGCCTCAAACTCAGAGATCCGCCTGCCTCTGCTTCCCAAGTGCCGGGATTAAAGGTGTGCGCCACTGAGCCAGGCAGTATGTAGGTGTTTTTCATCTGTGCACCATGTGCAAGCAATGACCTCAGAGGTCAAAGGGGGGCATCAGATTCCTGGGACTAGACTTTGGGTGCTGGGAATTAAATCCAGGTCTTCTGGAAGAGCAACTATTGCTCTTAACTACAGAGCCATCACTCTACCCCGTAAACACCTTCAATGGCTGGAAACCTTTAATCATGGTTTAAAAGCTACGAAACTTTACACACATTCTGAACTTTTCCAGGCTTTACTTTCCTCCAGTGTACAGGGGGCAAGAGAGGTGTCATGGAAAACACAAGCAGATTGAGCAGAGGCATGGTATAACAAGATTTCAAAGATTATTCTGAAAGGGACTGGCAAGGTGGCCTAGCAGGTAAAGGCACTGCCAAGCCAGACAACCTCAGTTCAATCCCAGGACCCGCAGGATAGGAGAGAGCAGACTCCTGGAAATTACACACACACACACACACACACACACACACACACACACACACCTATAAGTCTAGCTAAGGCAGGAGGATCTCAAATTGAGGTCAACCTGGACTACTGAACTACATAGCAATCCAGGCTTCAAAGTGAGGCCTTGTTTTGTAAGAAATAATAAATAAAAACAAAAAGATGTTTAGCTTAGGAAAGGAATAAGCATGAAATAAAGGTATTTATCTAGTTATCACCAAAAAAAAATAATAAGAGAAGAAAAAAAAGAAA